GGAGCTTGCACAGCTTGGAGGAAGTGTTGATCCAAACTGCACACATCCAGACATCCAACTCAATGCATCTGCTCTCTCTAGTCCCAATTCTTTACTTCCATCTGTAACTCTTCTTGATTATTCTGTTGATACTGTTTCTGCATTGATCAACTCCAGCTCTTCTCATTGTTTCATAGACCTGTCCATAATCAAAAAATATGCTATTCCTGTTTCCTCTGTTTCTCCACCAATTCCACTCTGCTTGTTTGATGGTAGTACAAATACTGTCATTTCCCAAGATGTAGATCTTTCCCTCCACTTTCCTTCCAGCAATGTCAACTCTGCTTCATTTTATGTTACTCCATTGGATTCTTGTTCGCTGGTATTAGGACACAACTGGCTCACCTGCTTCAATCCATTGATTGACTGGGTATTGGGCAGTATATTGTTCAAACCATCATTACAGGGAATGCTGACACCCCAGGCACCTTCATCACCTTCCACTGTGACCTCCACTCTGGATCTGACACCCTCTGCTCCATCTGCAGCTCCATCTGCAACTCTGACAGACTCACCATGCTCCACTCTGCTCATCTCACTCATCAATGCTGCTGCATATGTCAGAGCCTGTGCTCTCCCTGGCTCTAGACAGTTCCACTTACAGCTCTCTGCTGATGATGTGAAGCTTCATGCATCCTCTGCTTCTTCTCTGCCTCCTGACCTTTCCTTGGTCCCTCCTGAGTATCATGAGTTTGCTGACATCTTTAGCAAAGACAAGGCTACTGAACTTCTGCCACACTGCTCATTTGATCTCAAGATTGACCTTGAGGAAGGAGCTTCTCTGCCCATCAGCATGATCTACTCTCTGTCTCTGCCAGAGCTTGAAGCTCTCCACACCTTTATTGATGAGCATCTTGGCTACAGTCTCAAGCAGTCCACCTCTGCTCACAGTGCCCCTGTCCTCTTCATGAAGAAGAAAGATGGTTCACTCTGCCTCTGCATAGACTATTGAGGACTCAACAAAATCACAAAGAAAGATTGCTATCTGCTGCCACTCATCTCTGACTTACTTGACTCTCCAAGCTGCACTAAAGTCTACACCAAGATCAACCTCTGCCATGCCTATCATCTAGTCTGCATCACAGATGGAGATGAATGGAAAACAGCTTTCTGCACTCATTATGGTTCTTACAAGTGGCAGGTAATGCCATTCAGTCTGACTAATGTGCCTGCAGCTTTCCAGCAATTTGTTAATAGCATCTTTGCAGACATGCTCGATGTCTGTCATGGTATACCTCAATGACATCCTAATTTATTTGCAGGACATGGAGTTGTGCCACAAACACATAAGAGAGGTACTCCACCACCTTTGAAAGCATGGTCTCTATGCCAAGCCAGAGAAGTGTGAGTTTCACTCTGACTCCATTGAGTACCTTGGCTATGTTCTTTCTCCCTCCAGTCTCACCATGTCTGCTGAGAAGGTTCAGGCAGTCTGCAACTGGCCTGAGCTGTGGAAGGTATGAGACATCCAGTCCTTCCTTGGTTTTGCAAACTTCTACAGATGGTTCATTAATAACTACTCCAACATTGTCATTCCACTCACTTGCCTCATGTGAAAGGGTGCTCCTTGGAACTTTTCTGAGGAGTGCTGCTCTGCCTTCTTCCACCTGAAGGATGCCTTCAGCTCCACTCCTGTTCTCACTCACTGGGTTCCTGACACTCCACTGACAGTTGAAACTGACACCTCTAACTATGCCATTGCTGGCATTTTGTTGCTCACCTGCTCCAATGGTGAACTCCACCCAGTCACTTTCTACTCTTGCACCATGACTGTGCCAGAACTCAACTATGATACCCACAACAAGGAGCTGTTGGCCATCTTCAAGGCCTTCCACCATTGGCAGCATTACCTAGAAGGTTCCACCTTACCTGTCAATGTGGTGACAGACCACAAAAACCTTGAATATTTTTCCACCTCTAAGGTTCTCACTCATTGACAGGCCCACTGGCTGGAGTACCTTTCAAAGTTTAACCTTTCCATCTGCTTCTGACCTGGCTGCCTAGGAGCCAAGCCTGACACACTTACATGATGTTGGGATGTCTACCTGAAAGGGGGGGATAGGGACTATGCACAGGTGAATCCTCACAATCTCTGCCCTATGTTTACACAGGAGCAACTCACATCATCCCTCCATACCACAACCCTCATGGCACCTGTATTCCATGCTGCCATGGTCTTTGATGTTGAGTGCTTGCACTCCAACATCATCTCCACCCTACCATCTGACCCTGTCTCTGCCAGCCATCTCCCAATTCCAACTAAGCCTCAGTGGTCCCTGGACTCCAATTGTCTACTCTGCCTTTGTCCCAACTTTTTCACACACATCACAAGACATTACAATGTAAGTTAAGGTCCCACTTTCCCACCCTGCCTTCCAATGCATGCTAATGGCAGAAAAGTTTATGAAGATGATGTTATAATGACATAAGAATGATGGTGGGTTTCATCATCACTGCCTGATGTAGTCATTATATTTCCTTTAAAAGGCTATTTAAGGAGAGAGTGTCATAAGGCATTATGACAAGCTCTGTCACCATCAATATGCCATACTGTCATTATAACACCCTTAAAAGGCTATTTAATGTATGCAGCTATGCTAAGGGATTATGACAGGCTACCTGGCACCTGCCAACATGTCAACACTCATTATAATTTCATATTTATCATTATGATGCTACCTTCCACTCTACCAATGTTGACTCAGGTCAATGTAACATTTTTCTCATTCTCATTCTTTCATTCTCATTGCAACTCCAAGACATTTTTTTTTAAAAACCTGTGTGCATGGCATTGACTACAGTGTACTTAACCACATGGATATAGGTCATAGTACCTAAACTTGAGGCTAATATAAGAGGATGAAATGATGATGCAGCAATTCCAAGTAGGTGCAGGGTATCTATCAGGGAATAAGTAGTTCATAGCATGTAGGACTTGAGGAATCTGACATGTTTGATTGGCATCAAGTCAGTGAGTTGCAGTAACCTAAAGCAGCAGTGACCACATACTTGCACTGCCAAAACCTCACTGCAGGTCAGACAAATAGCAATCCCAGACCAGCACATGGGGGGTTGGTTGGCAATGCAACAAGTGTGCACAATGGCTGGGTATAGGAATACTGGGGATGATTGAAGGGAAAGGAAGTTGGCAGCATCATCAGTGTCAGTGGTGATTCCATTTTGTCATTGGGGGCAGTGGGGAACTGTCAACATTTAACAAGGGCCAGTTAATAATAATAACTTGACAGCATGATGGTGATGGGTACTTACTGCTGCAATGGTATGGGTGAAACTGCCTGACAAGTCAGTGGTATAGATGATACCCATGACGATGGTCATGGTAAGGGTGTGGAAGCAAGGAAGTCACCATGTATTTACAGTCCATTGGATTATATAATAATTCCCATCAGCTGGGTTTCAATACCTTACATTGACAGACAAATTGGCTCAATACTTAGTATGAACATTATTGTTGTCTAGTTTGCATAATAAAGATGTATAGTAATCTACATGCGGTGTATGACTACAAAAACATACTAGCAGATACGTGCCAGTCACCTGGGGAGACATCCAGCAAGAGACATAGGCACAAAGAAGAAAAATCCCAACCCCCATGATGGGGACATACTGTATCAGCACCCATGGTGAGTTTTACCATTTTGGGCAGGCCTCAAAGGTGACCATTATGGAGATGTTGGGCTATATGCAGGAGAAACAGGACCTGCTAGGAATAAACTGCTGCGACCTTGCTAATATACAGAAGACACTTACACTGGGCAGGAGCTGTGAAAGAATCAGTAGTCAACACTGGTGGAACTGAGGTCAACATTTTCAATAACTCACAGGCCAGAAAATAACTTGAAGAAGTTGGAATATTTGGGTGAGGAGGATGACACCAGTGATGTGGGTAAGTATTTTGGAGATGAGGGTGGCATTTGTGCAGGGGCTGCAGAACTGTGAGTGACGTAACTACAGATATGACTGAGTTAAATTACTTACAAGCTGGGAAGGAGGCAATGAGAAAAGGAATGATCAGTAGAGTGAGTAGGAAAGAAATAAAAGGTTGCACTAGGTGAATCTGGCATGAAGTTAGTGACCTGTTCACTAACAGATAAACATGACTTACATCTTGGAGACAAAGGATTGGCCAGTTGGTGAGTACCATGGAGATGTGGGACTGAAGGAAGGCAGTTGTGGACTGTACTGTGGACTGGTTGGTGAATAACAGGGAGACATGAGATTGAGAGCAGGTGATGTCAGGAAGTATGTCAGTGACCTTGGCTTCTGTCATAGAATGGGGATGTTGCATGTACCAATGTACCAAATGGTGGGGTTGTTCCACTGTATGGAGATTGAGGGACATAAGGCAATGTAGTTGAGTATGCATTGGGAGAGCTCAGACTATACCCAGGGGGGCTGGCAGGTGACATGTCTCCTGCACCCAAAGGACTCTTCCCATATCTGAGGAATGAAAAGTTGGCAGGATCTTCTCCACCATTGATGGGAGGGGGTGAGAGGGCCACTGACTTGCCCTTGAAGTTACTCTCTGACCATGTGGGGAAGTTCATGTCATACAGCATCATCACTACTTGGCTTGGTGTCATACTGCAGTCCATGTGAGCAGTAAGAATATTTTGCACTGGAAGACAATGATCAACAATGGCATCTTTAAGTATGTTGATATCCAGTGTGATTTTGAAGGCACCTGTACCCATAGGCACAAGCTGGCTGAACATAACCTCTTTCATGATACCATGACAATCATTATTTTCACCAATGGCAGCAGCTTCCATCAGAATCTCCACCATTTCCTCAAACGAGCAACACATTGGGGCACCAGTATCAGGATAGTTAATACTGTGATGGGTGATTGCCATGAGCATTCTGTGATGGGTCAGGAGGTTGCAGGGCAATGCCAGGTGGTGGTAATTGACATATGAACCATTGAATTCAAAGGCTCCTCACAGTTCCTTCATGATCATTGCACACATGGCTTCAACCCTAAGTGTGGCAAAGCTCTCAACACAGTTTTTTGAGTATGTGGGACTAAAGCTGACACCTGGAATGCACATTGCTGCCTTCAAGTTGACACTGTCAGTCTCCAAAGCCCACTCTTTCCTCATCTTGATGCTCACCTCATCATTGGCATACATCTTGTCATGCTCCAACAAGAATACTTGGTGAACACCAGGCATGCCCCAGGTAGTGAAGAGATGCATCTTGAAGCTCTCAGTGATGCAGCTGGCCACATATGCCATAGTAATTAGTTTCTGACCAACCATTCTAGCATGATCAAGCACCAGTTGAAGGAGCCATGGTGACTGAAGGTGGAGCTTGCAATCTGATTTCCTTGTCTGGGATGGTGAAGAAGGATTTGACAAACATGCAGTGGAGTCTTCTTTGATAATGGTGGACATAGGGTGGGGGTCATACTGGGTCTCAACTGTGGCAGTGACAGTCTGAAGCAATGTGCAAGCAAGCTCTTGCTACACATTCTTCGCCAACATCCTGTCCTGGGTGATATCCCACTCCAAGTACACAGAATGCAAGGGTGTTTTGATATTGGTGGGATACACTGGCATAGTGGAAGGTGTTAAGAGTCATCTGAGTAGCTGGTTCACCAATAGATTGTGTGGCAGGAGTTCCATACATCTCCCCAGGGTTCACAAGAGATTGGTTAAACTTCACCTCAGTCTTACACAATGATCTCTGTAGTACATCATGGAGTTTGCGATCATGGGGAACAGGGCAGGCACATCATGAGCAGTCCTCAGATTTAGTAAGTGGGGAGGGCAAAAGAGATGAAACAAATGCTGGAGTAGGAAGATAGGGGGAAGTACATGACTGAGAAGACTGAGTACCAGCATTATACAGTAGCCAGCAGGACCAGAGAGTGGGAAGATGAGGGGGTCCCCCCTTGGGTGAAAGCATGTATAGTGGGACTGTGGAACAAATCATGTGCAGTGCAGAAAGTTGCAGAGAGTCAGCTGGGTACAGAAAGCAAGTAAGGAAAGGAAGGGAGATCATGGAGAGTACAACTGCGCCCACAATGATCCAGGTGACAATGAAAAACAAAGAGATGGGGGGAACACAAAGGCAGGTGGTCATAAAGTCAGGATCCAGATACTGAATATCGACACAACACGAGCATATTTCATTTTTGACATAAGTTCAGTGGTGAGCATACCTAGCATGCAGATCATAAGTGTTGACATTATTTCTTGGTCTTTGAGACCTTTCTGGCATGGGTAGTGTTACATGTTGTGTGCTTTGGGGGTTCAGGCAGGTCAACAATTGTTTTCGTCCTTGACAGCATGTGAGGATTCTCATTGTTGGGCAGGTGCAGGGGTGATCTTTCTGCAAGAAGTAGGTGCTGTGGTTCATTGACTTGAAGCCAAAGACAGTGGAGGTGTAGTGCAGGTGCCACTTACACTTAACTGACCAACCTCAAGTTGTAGCTGAGAAACCATGGAAACAGAGTGTGTGTTTCCATGACAGCTAGAAGTGGATGAGGATGAGTGGGTAGCCATGTCAAAGCCCTGCAGCAAAGCAGAAGGAGAATTCAGGAATGCAGGATTGACAAATGTGTTGACAGTGGGAGAGGCAGGAGCTGTGACATGAGGTGTAGGATTCTTGATTTCAGACAACATCTCATCTTCCCAAGTACATGGCTGGGCAGTTGGAAGAACTGGAGGAACTAATGATGCATTCTTCAACTGTGAGTCTTTACCAAACACCTCATGATTCACATGATCAAAAATGTGGAGAGCCCAATTGCTTTTCTTCGAAAGCTTTTCAACATAGAAGTTGTAGTCAGAGCTGTACAGAATGCGAGTCTCCCCACTGATGGAAGAGAGCTCTAAATCTGGAGACACTAGAAAACGAGACTGTAGTAGTCATCAGCACTGAGTACCTCTGTGCAAATATATAAAATAAATACCAAAGTTGCTGCACTGGATATCAAACCACTAGCAGCACTGTTTATACCTATACACTGACCCCTCGCTTTTGGCCATCCTTGTTTGTGGTCGGTGAGACTCACTTTGCTATTGATGAGGGCACAAATTATCTGAAGTGAAGATCAGCCATCATATCACACACACAAGATAACAATGCACATACAAGGGTGATAGCTGGACTCATGAGAAACTTGCTAGCAACCATGTTGTCATGCTTTTTGAAAAGAATTGGAGCAAGAGGCATGTATTCACCAATGCCATCTTTCTTCAGTAGAACCTGAAGCTTGGGATCTTCCTTCCTTCCTGAAGGATGGCTGGAAAGGCAGGTGGGGTCAAGCCCATATGGCACAAAAACAATGCCAGCACAGTCTTTAATAGCCCTCAGGATGTTGGACCATTCTTGACTGAGAGCACTCATAAACTAAGATCATCAACTGAGCTGAATGCTAGTCGAAGCATGAAAGCACTTACGATAGATCCAAACTGCTTATAGGTCTCCATGTGCTTATGGAGAGAGCTGGGGACTATGCTGTAGAGTTCCACTACTGCACCATCAAGTTTGGCCTCAGGTGATGTCCAGTGAGTTGGGCTGTGTGGATCAACATCCAGCTTTGGTGTTGGTGGAAAAAGGCTATCTGGGACCCAGAAGTTGTGAAGAAGGGTGTACTTCTTCACTTCCTTAGAGATACTGGCATCAATACTCAGGCTTTCCGAAGTCTTGTTCAGAATATGATTGTGCTTGTGAGTGGAAAGAGTTGAAGACAGACTATGGAGCTCCTTTTGTACACCACATAGCTCAACATGTGTCTCAGTGTAAGCTTTCTGAGCAATCACAAGGGCCTAATAAGAAATGGAGTGAAGCAGTGTCAGTCATGAGTGAAGAAAGAACCAAGTTGATGCTCACCTTTTGCAGCTCATGGACTTCAGCAGTTAGCCCTGGATCATGTAAAACCCTTCACATCTGTTCAAAGTCACTGGCTTCAGAGCTGTCAGTCTCCAAGGAATCATTGTCAGAGTCATTGTCTTCTCTATCAATATTAATCTCCTCATTTGAGAAGAAATCATCATCACTCAGCTGGGGCATGGGGGATGTGTTTGCAAAGCAGATGGAAGAGAATGACAATAAAAGGCACTGGAATGTTGTGAAGACAGGGAGGTTGAGAGGGATGTGGCACCAGGTTCGAGATGTGAATCTCACCTCTTTTATAAGCATCATGCCCATCACTGTCTGATTCCAGAACTAAAACCAAGCTGCAAGAGTGAGTCACTAGTGTGATTGCCACACCATTTCAATGTGTTGTGTGCTGTAAAAACACTCATTGTGTGCTGCATGGATAGAATACACATGTAAATTAGTGCAAGCAGTACTTGAACATTCAGTGTGTCCTATGAGATAACTGTCAATGCTATGGGGTGGGGAAACACTTAGCTTTATATCAGATAACTGCACAATGACAATGCCATTGTATCAGTACATCATAATGAATGTGTTTACATGCAGTAAAGGCTCAGAGCAAATAGGAAGCAGAATTGAGTCTGTAATATCCTCACAATTCAGCAACTATTTTCAAGATTTCATGTGAAGAAACATATCTCCATCAATATGATTGATGACAAAAAACTCACTGGGGCATGAAGGGTCAGGAGCTACCACTGCACCACAAAGAATGGATTGAATGGGAATGAATATGGGATTGTTGCAAGGAGCAGCCTTGACATGGATAAGCCAGAGATCGATGTCAATTTGACAGGTGCCACCAACTTTTGCCATCAGCAGCTGTATGAATGCGAGACTAATAGAGCCAACACCTGGGACATTGCAGGTAAAGATAGAAATGAGGTGTACAAATGCAGTGTCTGTCTCTGTGAGTTGAATGAGAGCACAATCATACCAAGGCTGCCCATAGAATGATGGATTGCATTGCAGATGGTCAGTAACAACTTTCCAATCAATAGATGACTTGTAGTTCACTTCAAGGTATCTGTATTCTGTTATCTACAAGCCAGGCATTAGTTTAAAGAAGTTCATAAGAAGGTCACTTGCCTCAAAGTGAGCAGGGATAGCAATCCACTTATCAACTTGATAGCCATATTGAGGGAGGCACTGGTTACAAAAACCCAACAGTTTCTTGCAAAAACCAACAAAGGCAGTGTCAGAGACACTGCAACTGGCCTCAATGTCCTGTACAGTAGACAGTTTGGAAGAGGAACCGAGATAGACATGATCAAATGCCATGAACAATCCAGATTGATCATTGTTGCATTCACCTTTGGTGCCTGCAGGTTCACCTTGCATTTGGGTCCAGTTTTTGTAGCTATTGACACACATTCTGAGCAGCTTGGCAGCAAGCTTATGTTCGTCCACATGTAGGATCTGCAGAATATAAAACAGAGTTGCAACATCAAACAAACAAGTGAAATGAATAACAATACCCAATCAGTGAAGTCCCTGCCATTTGATCAATGCTTGTATGGCTCCTTGATAGGGCCATGCATACTCTCATTTGGGCACATGCTGTAGTTCCTGGTGGCACCCTTCATCTGGATATCACATGCTACATGTTTCCAAAGGTGCAGCTTTGGAAAGTCCCAGTCCACCTGCAGCCCTTCTAACCCAGATTTATTTACACATTCAACATATGCCTGGGGATGAAGTTAGTGTAGGTCAACATGTGATCCAGAGCCAATGGAAGAAAGTCAACATACCTTCAATTCATTGTTGAATTTCAGCAACTCTTCATCTATAATTTCTATTGTTCATTCAGTAGCCAGATCATGCATCTTGTTTCCATCTGAAAATGTTACATTGATGACATTCTTGAAGTGAAAGAGGAGCCACCATCAGGGGAAGTTGGAAACACTATGGAAAGCCCAGGAAGTGATGGCACAAAGTATCAGAAGGAAGACTCACTAGTTCTTGACATTGGTTTCAGCATTGTGCCCAAGGATGTTCAGAATTCTCAAGATGTCCCATAGTATGTGCTTTCCCCAAAGACCACCATGTAGAAAATGTAGGCAGTCAAAGCTGAGTGTGCCATAAAGGTCAGAATTGCAGATGAGCCAGAAAACATTCTGTCATTTAAATTAATGTAGGTACAATGCTGGAATAAGGACAAGAATCACAAACTTACATTGACAGGCCACAACCCAAGTGCCTTAAGCACCTTTTCACCCTCAGTGTGGCTGTGTCTGTAAATGCACACAGCACACTGTGCCTCATCCATGGAATGAAGCAGATATGTTTTGGAAATATTGTGAAGCTCCTCTAATGGAGTGAGACACACTGGGCATGGGCATTTGTTGGTGTCGCCACAGATAAGTGACAACATACACCTGCATTGTGTTTGAGTCTTGAGCAAGGGCCAGGACAAATGAAAGCTTACTGTTCCTTGTAATCCACAGACAATATCGATATGACAGGAAACAACCAACAGGTTACTTGGTCATGGCACAACATATGGATATACCCAGTTTTTGAGTGCTGCATAATGTCACTGAGAAGTCTAGAAAATGATTCATGCCAAACAATGCTGCTTGAGAGTTGTGTATCCTAATTTGCCCTCTTCTTCAGTGTCCTCAGGGGACCTGCATGCAAAGGAAATATCTGTTTATAACAGGCATGAACTTCAGGGCAATGGGATGATGTATGACTGGTAACCATCCAATGATGCAGCCTCCCCCAATTGCATGGCTATTCTGTATCTCTACCAGGAGGTTTGCACAATGGACCACAACAGGATAGCCCTTTGCAGTGCCAAACAATGATAATTTGGTTTTGTTGGTGTAAATAATAAAGGCAAATGGTACAGCATTTGGAACTTCAGGCAAGGAGGACTGGTAGTTACATCAAATTACTGCTACCTAACAAGTCAATGACAAGTATGCACTTGAATGTCCCACCAGCTGTCACCTGTCCAGGGCTCATCATAGAAGTGTTCAAATCCATGTCCATCATGCTTGAACAAGCATTGTGCATCCCAAATGAAGTGCAGAGCCAAAATGTCAAGTGCCCATTCCCAGATGGGTTGTGTATGTACCTCATATGTCCACACTTCCTTCTTATATGCCACAATGACTGTATGTTTGGAGAACTGTGGGTATGATGGAGCAGTTACAGTGAAGTTAGTAAACTGAACATGGTACTAACATACTGGTGTGAGCTCTGCTGCTGCAGCATCACAGGCTTTGCAAAACTTGATGTCATTCTTGAGAGTCACCCAAGTGGCCCCTTTTGCAACACAGCTGATGAGATCTAACAAAGTGTCAACTTGCTTCTGATTTAGGCTTGCTTTCCAGGGCAATCTCCATAAACTCAAAGTTGCCAACACCACAGAATGGTCAGTAGGGAGTGTCATCCATTGGAGGATCAAACTGTCATTGAGCACCTTTGGAACTCATCAAAACTTTGACAAAGTGGAGGCTGGTTGCTGCTGTGGATGAAACTCAGTTTTGAATTCTATACCTTGCTGTGATAGCCAGGGGCAGTGATGGCTGGGATTGAGAAGTAGTTGATGATCTTGTGCCCATTGTAGCATCTGATAATGCTAAAGAGGCATACTTGTAATCATCAAATAGAAAAAACTAAATTGAGGATCACACCTGGACTTCTGAGAGGTTCATTCTCATGTGCACTGGCAGGGTATTTGTGTTCCACAAACTCATGCAGTGGGGCATCAACAATGGGATTTCCTAAGCCAGTTGTGTATTTGGCAGAAGAAGGGGAAGGGAAGCCTTACTTTCATGATCAAATGAGTATATAGATGGGCCAACCTCATTGCCATTGGGAACAGCAACAAAACTGGAAGGGGAATGTAACATGTCAGGTTCCACATTTTTGGTGGGCAGAACCTGAGCATTACACATTTTCTTCATTGTGTGGCATTGTGCTGACTCAGGTGCAGCTGTTGGGAAGTGGTACTTAGGACAGGTGATGTAGAACAATGCTCACCTTTTTCAAACCATTCCAAAACTTGGCCATATCATTTGTGTTCTTTCTTGGCTGCAGTTTGTTTCCTGCAGCTCGCTTCATGCCTCTTGAAACTGTGTGGCTTGAATGTCTTGTTGCAATATTCACATATCTGACCTGCTAGAGTCTTTTCAGAATATTTGTACTTTGAGTGGGCCCTTTGAGATGGCCCCATGGTAGCAGTAGTCTGTCAATTATGTCAGGTTAATAGCAAGTGATAGTGGGAAGTTAGTGGGTTCTGCAATGGATTGAAGTGATACACACCTTGAAGGGCAAGGATGGCAGTGCATGATGGTGAAGGGATAACAATCAGCTTGGAATGCCACTTCACTTACATATATTATAGATGCAGAGTCATTAGGACTATCCTTACAATACCTTCTGATTATCAAAGATTATCGCAATGTCACATGGCTTATTGAAATGATAGGTAAGGTACAGTTATTCTATTAGATTCCATCAGAATGGTATTGTAATGTACATTATAATGTGATGACATGTCATTCAAGGTTGCCAGCATCATAATGGTACTGAACAAATTCATGACACTGACAGTTGCATCTTTGTCCCCAACATTGATGATCCCTGCCTTTGAGTGCTTCAGCTTAGGCATGACCATCCTCTATCAGGCCATTTCAGGAAAAACCACACCTTAGAACTTGTCTGCAGAGACTATGTGTGGCCTAACCTCCACTCTGATGTGAAAGAATATGTCAGGTCCTGCACTGCCTGTGGATGGAGCAGAACTCTGTGTCACTGCCCCTATGGTCTACTGAAGCAACTCCCCATCCCAGAGAGACCTTGGAACTCCATCTCCATGGACTTCATTGAACACCTCCCCAACTCTGATGGTTACTCTGCCATCCTCATAGTAGTGGACCACCTCTCAAAGCAAGTGGTGTTCATCCCCACTCATGACTCTGTCACCTCCACTGAACTTGCTAAGCTCTTCCTTACCCATGTCTTCTCCAAGCATGGGGTACCAGCTAATGTCACCTCTGACAGAGGTCCTGAGTTCATCTCACACTTCTTCCACTCTCTAGGAAAGGCCCTTGATATGTGTCTTCACTTCACTTCAGGTTACCACCCAGAAGGTGATGGCCAGACTGAGTGAATGAACCAGACCCTCAAGCAGTACCTTCATGTCTACTGTAACTACCAACAAGACAATTGGGCTGAGCTGTTACCTCTAGCAGAGTTCACTTTCAACAATGCACCAAGTGCAATAACTGGAGTTTCTCCCTTCTTCATTAACAAGGGATATCATCCAAACCTGTCTGTGGTCCCTGACCAAGACTTCACCTCTCCAGGGGCTCACAAGTATGTCATTGAGCTCTCCACCCTTCATGACTTCCTCCACTCTGAAATGTCTGCTGCTCAGCAGTGCTATCAGGGTCCAGCAGATGCCAAACACATACCTCTGCCTGAGTTCAAGGTTGGAGAACAGGCCTATGTCAAAGCCAAGTACTTCTGTTCCACTCATCCTTTGGAACTCTCCAAAAAGTACTTAGGTCCATTCACCATCTTGGCCAGGCCAGGTATGCACTCTGTCACCCTTAAGCTCCCTGACTCTATGCATGCAGTACATCCAGTCTTCCATGTCTCACAACTGAAAGCTGCAGCAGCTAACCCTTTCCCAAACTGACAACAACCCCTGCCTCTGCCAGTGGATGTTGATGGTGACCTTGAGTACAAAGTATCAGAGATACTCAACTCTAAGGTGGACCACTGTCACTGCCACTGCCAGCTCTTGTATTTAGTCTGCTGGGCTGGTTATGAGAACACCAATGAAGAAACCTCTTGGTTGCTTGCAACTGAGCTAGATCATGCTTCCAACATAGTCTCTGCTTTCCACAGATGCTATCCACACAAACCTGGCCCATATCAACCTCCACCATAATACTCTGCCCACATAACCTTCCTCCATGGGCCAACTCTGCCCTTACTGAGTTACCTTAAGTACCTTAGAATTTTCTCCACTTGTCTGCCTCACTTCTCAGAGTCACAAAGTAAAGGTCACAAGTCTAATAAATCATAGTAGTACAGAAATACAAAACTAAAAACAGACAAAAAAAAAAAAAACCACACTACTCTTCCATTGCTTGTTTCTCCACCACCCTCCTGTTCTTCTCCACCTTCCTGCTCTCCTCCAACTTTGTCCTCTTCTTCATTATCCCCTTCTGCACCTTCATCTGCTTCCTTGTGCTGGTCCTGTGCTGCCTCCAACTGAGGCCTCTTCCAACTGCCTCCTGTGCACTCAAGCTCAGCCACCCTGGCCTTGTGAGCATCCTCCCTCCTCCTCATCTCTGCCCACTCTGCCCAGGTGTGGTACAGCCCCCACTCATCAGCTGTCCACTCTGTGGCTGCCACCATCTGCTGCCTCTGCCATCCTCTCAAAGGCTAGCACAGCAGTCTTGTGCACTTTGGCCTGCCTCTCCATGGCTTGCAGCTGCTGCTCCTGCTCCCACTCCATCCACCATGTGTGGAATCTTGCACCTGAAGGACCCTTGAGCAGGGTCACAGGTCATCTTCTTCTCTGCCTGCCTCCTGCTCATCATCTGCCTCTTCCATCTCTGTCACCCTTGCCTTCCCTTTCCCTTGTGGCTTCTTCTTCTTCTCCCCTTGGGAGCTCCCTGTTCCCACTCTTTTCCATGATGGCCCTGCCACCATGTCCTCCCTTGTCCAACTACAAACCTTCTGTTTGTTACAGCAGGGCATGCAGGCCCTGGGCTTGCCCTGACCTGGCTTGCACTGCCCTGCCATTTGACCTGCTATACAGCAGGTGCATGAGGGCCTCCTGGGCACAACAGCCACCACAGAGGTCCCAGGGACCCTCTGCATGGTGTTCACATTGTAGACAGTGCCACATAACCTATGAAAAGAGAACTATGAGTCAGTTCTGCCTGACTTGCAGTACTCCACCACTCACCTCTGTGCAGCCTTGTCCTACCTGGCCTGAGCCCTCTCCTCAGAGGCCCTCTGCCTCTGCCACCTTCTTCCTTCGAGCCTCCTCCTCCTCCTCTGCTCTCTTCCTCCACTCTGCCTCCAACTGCTCCTCCTCCACCTTCTCCTCTTGGCCTCCTTGTGCTTAGCCTTGTGCTCTGCCTTGCACACTCTCTCTCTCTGCTCAGTCTCCTCTCATCAGCATGCCTTCTCCATGGACTTCTCCCACTCAGTGTCAGTGGAGTCATTGGTGAGGATGACCAGTTCCTCATCTGCAACTTGGGAATAGTCACAGAGATGGCCAGGGGTTGGTTGGGGGATTTTTCTCTGGTGCTGGGAAGACATGATGATGGGGGAAGGGATGAAGGTTCAGTACCCTAATGTGTGTTTTTAAGTGGCTCTTCAGACTCTGACAGAGCTCCACCATGGCCAAACTGTTGTCCTCAAGGCATCAAAACAGTTTCAAAATGATCAACTCATGTTGATCTTGTTCCAAACAAGTGGCCTTCAGGGGTTCAGGCCCTACAGGGGGGGGGCACTGTTGTGACTGTGCATTCATTCTAGGTCCTCACTCACTCCACACCAACTCTGCCCACCTTCTGTCATTTATGAACCATCTCCACTCTGACTGCTGTTGGACTTGTACTGCTCTCCTACCAGACCAAGTGGACTGCTCTCTGAGGAGTCATGTGACTGCCCTTCAGACTTCTCCCTGACAGTGCACAGTCAGGTACTCTGCAGCACATGCACTGCATGGTCCAGCACCTGGACTTCCTTTGGATGTTCTATGTCACCCATTTGTATGTCCTCCATCTACCCTTCATTTGTCATCTAGGAAGTTTTACTTGAAATTTTATGAGTCTCCATATGTCAGTTCTGATTCCAATTACTGTACCTCTGTAGTAGTATAAAAGCATGTATTGTACTCTGCTGTTCTTCAGTATGAATATTGACTTAGCTTAGTCCTACTCCCTCTGTCTCTGTCTTCTGTCTGTCAGAGTTACCTCTGACTATCCATCTGTCCTCTCCCTCTGAAATATGAGGGCTGAGATCATGCAAGGGGGTAGCACATGAGCTGAACCCAATGCCCTCACTCTGCTCCACCTTTACCTCAGCAGACTTTGTTCCTGCCAACACTCCACCAGTCAGAGTTCTGCTCTCTTGTGTTGGACTTGCTTCCAAACCTCTCCCCAGACCTTATCTAGCATTGGAGTGGTTGGAGTAGGCCCTGACTTGACATTGAGAATGCATTCCAGAGTTACAGTAGCCTCTCAGAGTTTTGCCCAGAGGGCTTGGAATTTCTCCCTGACCCTCCGAATTAAATTCCAATGTCACTAAGCTTACTAATTATGGTACTATAAATTTTCCACACCATTCTTTTCCACCTCAGTGACTACTTTGTGCACTGAGGTGAGCATACCTATACTTACATTCATCTACTTGGTACTGACATAGCATAGATACTCATAACTTCATTAGGTACCAATACAGTGACTACTCCATCCACTGAGAACTTGCACCTTTGTTAGCTCCTGCTCCCACTCTGCCCACCACATGTGGACCTCTGCCCCTGGAGGACCCTTGTGTGGCATTGCTGGTTCCTCCTCTTCACCTGCCTCCTGCTCATCATCTGCCTCCTCTGGCTCCATCACCTTTGCCTTCCCTTTTCCTCATGGTACCTTCTTCTTCTCCCCTTGGGAGCTTCCTGTCCCTGCTCTCTTCTGCAATGGCCCTGCCACTACATCCTCCTTTGTCCAGCTACATACCTTTTTCTTATTTTGACAGGGCATGCAGGCCCTGGCTTGCACTGCCCCACCATTTGACCCACTATACAGCAGGTGCATGGGGCCCTCCTTGTCACAGTAACCATGGTGTTCACATCATAGACTATGCTGCATAACCTAAATAAAAATAAAAATAAGAAGCTATGAGTCAACTCTGCCTGACTTGCAGAACTCCACCACTCACCTTTGCACAGCCTCATCCCACCTGGTCTGAGCCCTCTCCTCCAAGGCCCTCTGCCTCTGCTGTTCCACCTCCTCTGCCACCTGCTTCTTCTGTGCTTCTTCTTCCTCTGCTACTTTCCTCCTTCAAGCCTCTTCCTCCTCTCATTGCCTCCACTCCACTTCCAGCCACACCTCCTCCACCTTTCATCACTTGGCCTTTGTTGGAAAATTATTTGGTCCATTGCAATGATGTCAGATTTTTACATGGTGATAATCAGTTCACAATAAGATTGCATGTGAGAGTGTGGAGTTGCAATATGCTGGCAATGCCATTGCAATGTGCCTTTGCAACAGTGACCTGCTACTGTCTGCATCTTGCTTCACTGTCCACTTGTCTTTCTTTATTGTATTTACTGTCTTTACTCTCATGGGATGCATTCCCTTTGTTGACCAGTAGTATGCCTCTGGAAAAGCACACTACTACCTGTGAATCATGTGGGAAAACATTCAAGCTGACTGGAATAGGACCTCATCACAAGTTGTGCATCAGGCAGGCTCACAAAATGAATGAAGATCACACTCACTTTGACTTGCTTCATTGAGAAGATACATAGGAATTTTACCAGTTGATTTTATTTCTGATTTACCACTGGATTGATTTGAGCAGGTGTTCTTACTGGTGGATCAGTGACAGGGGCCCACTGTTGAGATGCATGCAGAGCCAGCACCAGGTAAGTTTCCTGCTACTCTCTGAATTGGACTCTCACAATTGTTAGCAGAGCCTGCAACATTCTGGCCCATGGTCATGGATCTTGAGCTGCCTGCCAGTGCTGATGTGGTTGTGAATGGTGAACTGAATGGTGCATGTTGATATGTGATCACATATTGTCCATGCCAATATGTTATGCAGTTGCTGAACCCAAGGTTGATATCAACATTGTTGAAAATATCCAAGTCAAATACCACCCAAATGCTGGAAAGCCAACTGTGAAAGTGCCATTCACCAAGTTCACCTGAGGTCATGCACCCAAGACATACAAACTGGATCCATGCACTGCTCTGTGGTACCCATTCTGAACCTGTCTTGACTTCAACCTCTCAGAATTCATCCACAATGCTGCTCTCAACAAGGAGCAAGTGAATTGTATCCTCAAGCTTTTGAAACATTCTTGCACTGAGGACTGGACTCTGAATAATTACAATGATCTTAAGAGCACTCAGTGGGCTACTTCACACTGCATGACAGCAGTAAGTGGTGTTTATTCATTGTCATTGTCAATGCTAATTGTTATGCTGTGCTCACATTTCTTTCCTTTTATAGATGCTTATGATATCTTCGTGCTTTTGAGCAACAATGTTCTCTAGCCCACAAGCTGCTGTCTATGCAGTTAGACTCGTGTTCAATATGTTTCCTTTTATGTCTTACCCCTGTCTACCCCATGTTGTACTATAACTGGACTGCATCTGTTTCTCCTTCCTTCCATGATCTGCTGGTGGCTCAGATCCACACAGTCACATGACATGTGTACCCCTATACATCATATATGCAGTTACCCCTCCTTTGTCATATGTTCACCTCTGTTTCCCTCCACTCTGCAGACTCAGGTGTACATGCAAACATGCTGAGCATGTTTCACTGTGACTCAACAAAGCCCTAATAGGGAGATTGGGTGTATGTATAAACATTTTCAAATGTTTGGTTTGCAGGTACCCTACATATGTATATAAACCCACATGTATTGTACCACTCCCTCATTCAAAATCTACTTTGCAACCACCCTTAGCTCTGCTCCTGTACCCAAAGGACTCAACAGTATGACTTTGGTTGTTCAAGACTAGTGTCCTGTTGCCTAGTGAAGTTAAAATACACATCACCTCTCACACAGTCACATGCTTGTGCAATCACATTCAATTTGTGATGTGATATGAGTCATCAGCATAACACTACTTACATCCTAGCCCAGTTTCAGACAACAATAATAAGTGCACCATTTGGAGGTGAGATGATGGAGTTTTAGATGTATTATTGTTTGTTGTGGGATTGGGCCTGTGATCTCTTGAAGGATTCAGGTGTGGGCCCATATTTTGTATTCAATGCTCAGCGCCTATCCAAGTTTGATGGTGCTTCATTTGTTCATTTCATCAATGAGCCATGGACAGCTAATGAATCTTGGGATGCAGAAGTATGTCATTAGTAGTCTTTGCATGCAACTTTGACAATTTTTTTTCAGAGTGCTCTACCTTCAGATGACAAAGTTCTGGCATTTGTTTTATATTCTGATAAAGCCAAGTTGTCATTGTTTGGTCAACAAAAAGGGTATCCAGTTGTTGCACAGATTGCAAATCTACCTACTTGGATCCATAATGGTGAAGGTTTAGGTGGTGGTCATGTAGTTGGGTGGTTCCTGATTGTAAGTTCCTTTGTTGACAGCATTGAGTACACTGGCTGATTTTCTGTATTGCACTTCTAATAGGTGAAGGAAGACAAGAAGTACTCTGGAAAGAAATTGTTTGCCAACTTCAAGAATCACATTTGGCATGAAACATTCAAGAAGATACTAGATACAATATTGGAGTACTTGAAAATTGGTCATTGGGTAAGGTGTTGGGATGGCATTGCATGCCGACTTTTTCCTACTGTACTAATTCTTTCAGCTGATTATGAAGAGCAGTAAGTGGATGCTGCCCAAAATATCAAAAATGCAGGCTGACAATCCTTGTCACTCAGAGTGGTCATGGCACTCATACATGGTGTGATGTCAAATTACCCTTGCCCCATTTGCCTTATCCATCATGATGAGATATCAAAATTCCCTGAGGACTGTGAATGTCATACCAGCAAGAACATTTTCAAGACATTACAGGAAGCACTGCTCACAGACCCAAGCAGACAACAAGGAACAAATTCTGGTGAAACAGGGACTACATGATGTAGATGTAAGTGGCTCATGCTGTTACCTTCCCTCTAGCTCTGATCACCTCTAGAGTGCCTTCCAGGAGGTCAGGAACATGGATGTTTATCAAGCATTGTGTTGGGATAGCCTCTGTGCCAACTGTGCAGGAAAATGTGGTGATCATTTGTGGGGAGAACTTTTGAGGATTCTTGAGACAATGGGAAAAGTTGAACAGAAGTACATCTATCTTGTTGCATGAAGCAGTTGTGCTGATAATTTACTAGTCTCAATGTGATGCCTTGTTGGTGCAGTCTCAATCATTTTGAGGAAGTGCTTTCAGTTTCATACACAGATGGTCAAAAGTTTGAGGACCTATCCAAGGTATTGTAAGTCTCTTACCAAGCTCTGATTTCACTGACATTTCCTGAACAGATATTTGTATTTGCCTGTCATGACATCTTCCCCCATGAGATGGAAAAAGAGAGTTACCTCCTGTTATGCTGTCTGCATGCTTACATCAAGTTTGATATATATACCACACTCAAATTACATACAACACACACACTTGCCACTGGGCAGGAGGTGCTTGATACTTTCAATTCATTGATTCAGGTCAGCTCCACTTTCAATGTTGTAGCTCTCCCTCACTGTTTCCAGACCAGAAATATGTGGAGAAGATGCAACATACAGGGAAAACTGGAACTTTCCAAAGAACCATACCCATATGCATGTGTTCAAGGACATCAAAGCCAAGGGTGTCACCTGCAATTTCAACACAAAGCCAAATGAGAAAATGCATGACCCCTTGAAGGAAGCTTATCAAAAACAAACAAACTTCAGGGACATTGCTCAGCAAGTAAGTCCTGAATTGTTTGTTAGTATTTGGTGTGCTTAAACTTCTGTAGATTCTCAACATCAATCATCTCAGACTGGTTCTTGAACATATTCATTGCAGAATTACAGAATACAATGCTTACAGGTTGACTGGAAAACTGACAAATCTGGATAACCTTGAAGCCATTACTGATGAACCTGAGGAGGAGTTTTTCCATGTCAAGTTTGGTAGTGAAATGAAAGAACCATTAACAATTGAGGACATTGAGAAGAAGAGTGTTACTGACAATGTATTCAATCAATTCCATGGAAAGCTCAGTGAATTCCTCAATAAATAGTTCAACATTATAGGGAAGCCCATTCCATTCCAAAGGAATGACAAGGTAAGATGAAATGTCATTTTTGTTCAGTTTCTGGTATCTCTAATATTCACCAAAGATTGTGGAATATCACTTCACTTCATCAAAGTGAACTTCAAGTCTGCTAATGATTGGTGTTGGTACATGGATTATCTACATTGCCATCCTAACTTCCACAGACATCCTTGTTATGACTGTGTGCTTGTCAAGACTCAGGAGAAAGACATATTTGGGTGACTCATACTTTTGTTCAAGTGTGTCATTGGTGAAGAAACCTTCCCTTTGGCCTTGCTACAGCCATATGACACCTGGATGATTGGGCAATGGCTCTGGAAGGACAACCACCTCAACTTCTGGAGGGTATGTGCACAACCACACAGACCATCTGAAATTATTTCAGTCCACTCAATCATTTGTGGTGCCCTTCTATATCCAGATCATACAAGATCAGGCGAGTATCCCATTGTTGACACAATTGACACTGACATGTTCCTTCATGTGCAAATGATGCACAAAGCTACAGGGCACCTCTGAAATGGTCTATTCATACATCATCCTTCTGAAACCCTTTCATTTGAAACTGACAAGTCCCCCTTCTGATCATCAGTGTATTGAGGATCAACAAGTTGTCTAGCCCACAAAATAACAACATTTTCATTACTTCATAGATCCATATGGCATACAAGGTTATTTTCCCTTGACCATAGTCACCTCCTTGCTTTGGTTCATTTATTACCTTACTGCTAATAATATCTTTTCATCTTTGAACCACAGAGATTTGCAAGTATGCACTACTCTGAGGTTGTTCATGTGAATGTTCACAGAATGAAAGCATATGTGGAAGAAATGACCAGCGGTGACATGATCTCTACCATGAATATTCAAAAGGTTCAATAAGATGTCTTCAAACTCTGGACAGTCATCAACTCATAACCCAGAATCAGCCAGGACCAGAAGAGCCATATCAAGGCTCTGTATGAAGGTGTTGTCCATTCACTGAGAAGGGGCCCTGACCAGCCCCATCAACATCATCATGACCATCATTCTTCCTCTCAGTTTCTTCAACCTCAGGTCTCTAATCACATCCATACCTGCTGACAAGATGCCATTCTTCATTAAATTGCCATGCCTGGAATGACTTTCAAGGACAAGAACACTCTCCTTACTGGTGTTAGCAAAGGTTCCATTGGTGTTGAGATCTTAAAGGGCCTCCTTTCTGGCAGTGCCCATGTTGTTATCACCACTTCCCACTACAGTTGCTCCACTGTGGAGTATTACCAAGACATTTACTGAAGGTTCAGTGCCCAGGGTTCAGCACTCACTGTCAAGCCCTTCAATCAGGGGTCCAAGCAGGATGTCAAGGCACTCATTGACTATATCTATGCTACTCTTGGCATGGATCTCAACTACATCCTTCCATTTGCCACTGTTCCAGAGAATGGGCACAAGATTGATGGCTTGGACAACAAATTGGAGCTTGCTCACTGTATTATTATGCTTGTCAACTTGCTGTGGATCTTGGGTGCTGTCAAGACCAAAAAAGCATCTGGTCAGTTCGTTACTCAGCCTACCCAGGTTATTTTGCCATTGTCACCAAACCACAGTCTCTTTGGTAATGATGACCTGTACTCAGAGTCCAAGATCTCACTTGAAACCTTGTTCAACTGCTGGAACTCTGAAAGCAGGGGTGAATATCTATGCCTGGCTGGTGCTGTGATTGGGTGCATATCTCATTAAACCCAGCTTGGCACCTACAACTAACTCCCATCTTAGATGGACCTGCAGTATGGGTTTGATGGATGCCACCAATATAGTCACTTGGGAAGTTGAAGTTTACAGTGTGCACACCTTCTCCACAAAAAAGATGGCATTCAACATCCTGCACCCACTGCTCTTTAGCATCACACAAGTGGAACCCATCTGGGCAGATCTGAATGGTGGAATAGATTGTCTCCTGGACCTTGCTGACATCACTACTCACATTCAGATGGACCTGAATAAGAAGAGTGAACTTTGCTGTGCCATCGCTCATGACAATGCACTTGACTTCAAGGTCATCAATGGTGCTGAGGGGGAACATGCACTCCAGAATGTCAATGTTGTACCTTGTGCTAACTTCAAGTTCGATCTCCCTACTCTCAAACCTGCTTCTGCCTTTGAGGAACTCAGCAAATCATGCAGTATCATCAACTTGGAAAAAGTCATCATCATGACTGGGTTTGCCAAAGTCAGCCCATGGCATAGTTCACAGACTCAGTGGGAGATGGAAGCTCATGGAGAATTCACTATTGAAGGTTGCATTGACATGGCACAGATCATGGGCTCTATTAAGCACTTTGACAGCCACCTCAAAGACAGTACTCTACATGTTGGTTGGGTAGATGCCAAGACAGGAGAGCCTGTGGCTGACAAGGACATTAGAAACCAGTATGAGAAGGAGATTCTCAGTCATGCTGGTGTCTGTCTAATTGGTGCATATCTCTCCTTTCCCTGTGATCTATTGTCAAACTTGAAATGTAGATTCCCTGAATTGTTCCATGGGTACAATCCCAAGAAGGTGTTCAACCAGAAAATCAAATTGATCCATGACCAGCAAGCTAAGTTATCTAGGTCATCATGCTAACCCTGGGTTCTAACCAGTTTAAGCAGTACCTCATTGACTCCACATGCACTGTCATTCACATCACCATCCTGCACTCACTAGTGGCCTCCATTGTGCCACTTCCCTGCACCCCAATTCTGCAGCAGCCTGCTCTTTCATGTTCCATCTGTTCCTAGCCCCTGAAATCCTAAGTGGATGGGTCATCACATCCAGAACATTGTCACAGAGATGAATCACTTCATGTTTGGGAATCCCAATGGGGCTACCAAGTCCAAGACTGGTGTGATGGAGGACCTGTCTGTGGAGATCAATGCTGCCATGGCAGCAATGGATGCCACTGCATTGTCAGACAATGATACAGATGAGGTAGCTGCTGCTGATTCCAACATTCACAAAAGTAGCTCTGGTCTGTCCACTCTGGATTCAGTCTCAATTGCCAATGTGAATGTTCACATCAATGCGACATCCACACCCACTCCTGGCATGGGCAATTCCACCAACTCAGCTACTGCCAATAGCAATAATGTGGAATCCAGTACTGGTACTACAGCATGGAATAAGTCTAGTGGACTATCACAGTAGAGGTAGACAGGCAAAGTAGCTACTAATTGTCATTACTGTTAGTTGTAGGCATGTGTATTGTAATACTCTTGTATGCAATTTCGAAAATTTTGTCTAAGTCTTGAAAAGCTCCTTAAGAGGTGTTGACACTTGTATAGAAAGATTGGTCATGTGGACTAATGGTAACACATGCTAAAGTAAGTCTCACTACTAGTTGGCACTAGACTAGCTAACACCGAGTCCTTGGGTTCAAATCCTGATGAGAGCAATAAAAAATACTTAGTAATACTCACTAGCTAGGCCTGGGGATGGGTTGTATTAGTAAAGATTTCCATGTAAGGTGATACTCATAGTATAGCATGTAGTAGACAAAGATAAGATAGATAGATCAAAATCAAAATCAGAATAGAATAGAATTGTGGTCAGGTGATAAGATAAGATTACAAAAGGTAATATAATATAAAATTTTTGTTGCCTTAGTCCAAAGTGTATTGTGATCCTCAGCTCTTGTTGCAATTCATTGCAAGTCTAATTATGGTAGGATGGCAGTGCCCAGGGTCTGGATGTTTGTCACATGACAAGGCTATCATAACAATCATTATAATTACATTATAATTGCATTGCAATGTAGGGGTGATGGCACTATGTTTGTACTATTGACCCCCAAATATTACCTTGCTATGCCATAGCAATGCCTATTGTAAGTCTGATTATGTAGAAAACTTTAGTATTGCAATGCCATTTTAATTATGCATTTGATTGCAGGCATTGCAATCGCTTGTGATGCATTGAAACTAATATACAGATTTTCTGACATTATGCTCTGCCTCATGCTCCCTCTTTCTGCTCCACCTCCTCCCACCAATGAGCCTTCTCCATGTTCTTCTCTTGCTCAGTGTTGGTTGAGTCATTGGTGAGGATGACCAATGCATCATCCATGACTTGGGAGTAGTTGCAGGAGTGGCCTGGGGTTGACTGGGGGGTTGTGTTCTTGTGTTGCAAGGACATGATGATGGAGGGAGAAAGTATGAAGGTTCTGTGCCCTACACATGTTTTTAAGTGGTTCTTCAAACTCCAATGGAGCTCTACCATGGCTAAACTGTTGTCCTCAAGGAATCAAACAATTTCAAAATGATCAACTCATGTTGATCTTGTCCCATACATGTGGCCTTCAGGGGTTCAGGCCCTAAGGGGGGGGGGGGGGGGGGCACTGTCATGACTGTGCATTTATCCTAAGTCCTCACTCACTCTGCACCCTTCTCTGCCAGTCATTCACTCATTCAGCACCAACTCTGCCTCTGTCAGTTATGAACCTTCTCTGCTCCAACTGCTGTTGGACTTGTACTGGTCTACCATTGGACCATGTGGACCATTCTCTGAGGGGTCATGTGACCTCAATTCAAACTTCTCCTTGATAGCAAGCAGTCAGGTACTCCACAGCATGCACACTGCATGGTCTGGTGCCTGGACTGTTTCCTTTTTGGTTTTTTCTATGTTACCCATTGTATGTTTTCTGTCTGCCCTTCATTTGTTGTCTAGGATGTTTTTACTTGAAAATTTACAAGTCTCCATATGTCAGTTCTGATTCCAGTTACTGTACCTCCATAGTAGTATAAAAGCATGTACTGTACTCTGCTGTTCTTCAGTACAAATATCGACTTAGTTCCTATTCCTTCTCTCTCCATCTTCTGTCTGTCAGAGTTACCTCTGACTGTCTGTCTGGTCTCTACCTCTGAAATACAAGGGCTGAGGGTTGGGAGTGCTCCTGACAAAGAGGGAGCAAGAATGCAAGAGGAAGCAATGGGGTGGACTGCTATCAGCCTACAGAAGGATGGATGATGACTTAATTCAAAATCCTGAGCTATTCTGAGCTCAGGACAGACTTGGTGCAAAATATATTGATGATGGACAATGATAAGCAAAGCAGACAATAGTTAGATCCCTTAATAAATACTCAACTATCAAAGCTGATGAATGAATTGCTTGAGAGACAATGAAATGCAAGCAAGAGGGACCCTCTGATGTCTTCTTCCCTTTTCAGCTAGTGTTGCTGCAGCTCAGCTCCAAAGGCTGAGCTGCTCAACAACAAGCAGCTTAGTCACTATGACAACTTTTACCAGATGTAGCCTTGTGTTGCCACATACCAATTCCACAATAATTATTTTAATACTTAATAATATAGATGTGGTATGGCCCTTAGCTTAGCACAGCTCCCTGAGCTGCAGCAACACTATTTTCAGCCATCTCAATACAGTGATTTATATACAGTACAGGGGCATTGCCTATAGAAAACAGGGTGCAAACACTTGGTAAGTGATTGGTAACTGATAAGTAAGGGATGTAAGCAGTGGGTAATCAACTTAGAAAGCATTGGTGAGTATTGGTAAAGATAAATAAGCCAAAAAGCAAAGAATCAGTAAGCAAAGTCAAAAGATTGGTAAGTATTGGCAATAGGTGAGTCAAGCAGTCAGAAACTGAGTAGGTGCACTAGAATTGCATTAGGAGGCTGTGCATGTCACATCTCAAAGGAATCACTTCTAGGCCAAGGTGGGATGACAGAGAGGCAGCACTGATCTGATGCTGATATAGCTATAGCACATCCATAATGGGATGGTGTCATGACCATAACACTGGCATAAGCCCCTAACATCTACTCTGCCCTCTTCCAATGCATTCCTGCACTCCTCTGACCCTCTTGACACATCTCTGCACCTCTCCATGGTCCCCTGTCTGCATTCTAACCAACTCCACCCACCTTCACTCTCAGGCCAGTCACATGAAGGCCAGACCTTCACCTGTGCCTCCTCCAAGACCTTGGTCAGCTTGTCAGGATGTCAGACTTGCAACCCTGCATCCCAGATAGGGTTCTGCCCTTGTGTCAGTTTTTCTCTGTTCTTCCACTCCTTCAGTATTTACCCTCTCTCCTTCATTGTAGTAGTTCCCTTGTTTCAGTAAAGGTCCCCATCATCCCTATGCTCTATCACTTGTGTCAGAGGTACTGCTAACCTGTTATATGTTTATTGGCTTGCATTCTACACTGCCCTGCCCTTGACCTACATCATATATAAGGCCACATAGTACTCTGATGTAATCAGTGTGAATATCAACAATAAAGTCCCCACTTCTGACTCCCTCTGAGTTCCCTCTGGAGTTTCATCTCCACTCCTCTAAGTCTGCTCTACCTCTGAAATACAAGGGCTGAGCTCACACAAGGGGGCAGCACACTAGCTGAACCCAATGCCCTCTCATCTGACCTCTGACCTCTGACTCTGACCTCTACCTCTGAAACTTTCTGCTGTGCCCCTCCACTCACTGTTTGTTGAATATCTTGCCACCCAGTGGTCAGATTCACTTTGGACTTTGACCACTGTACTCTGCAGCCCAACCCACTCCTACTCTGCCCTAAGAGGAAGTCAGGGGTGTTGTGCAACCTCAACAGATGGCAGGTGTCAGGTTTCAAAGGGATCAAGCTTTGGGAGTCTGTGGTGGTGACTGGAGCATAGGGGGTCACATTTCCCCCCCCCTCCCCACAACTGTACTCTCAGTGAAGCAAATAAAAACTTCATGAATGAGATCCTGTTGGAAGAGAGGATGAAGGGGGAGTGTCTTCTGCTGTATCTTGCAACAAGAAGGCAAAATGTGTCATACTCATCATGGATGCAATCAGGGAGAGTGGAGAACAGTATGTTATACTGTAGCTGTCACAATTTTGGAAGAATGATGGATGAGACTGGTATGAAGATGTTGCAAGGAGCAGGGAGGAAGGATCTGTATGCTGCTTGGACTGGAGAGACTGAAACAACCACATAAGACCTTGCTAACCAAATGAGGCAACCAAAGAACATCCTCCTAGAGGTCATACTGACAAAGAGAATGCACTGTCCAAGCTGGATGGGCTGAGAGGGGGCAGACAAGGATGGGATGTACCAGGATGCTTCAGGATGGAAGCTAGTAGGAACTCCTGGTAAATATACATAGCCATGGTCCCTAGCAAAGGGGACAAGTGAAATGACTGATGTGGAGGCAGCCATATCAGAAGAACTAGCAACATGAGCATCTGTTGGAGGGAGCACTGTAGAAACATGTGGAGTGTGAGGATCCTTCCCAATTTTGGAAGGTATGATCACATGGCTGAGCACTATAAGCAAGTGTGGGAATGGCATCAGTATCTGCAGAAATGGGGGAGATATGTCAAAAACCAGAATGCCATACACAGGTGTTAAGAACTTTTATGGGTGCTTGGCTCACTTCCTTCTCTTTTCCTTGCCACTGACAACTCATTCATGTGCAAAGGATGACTGCCAACATTCCTGGCTGTCTTTCTATGCATTAGGGCTCTAGTCTTTCATCTCCATTCATCAGCAATATCCATGTCCATGTCACCAAACACCTTTGGTATGTGACACTGGTTGAAGTCAACTACATACATACATGTTGATGTGCTGACTATCCTTCATTTGCAGGTGGTTGAGCTGACTCTCTGCATCAGCAATGAGGTTGTGGGGGCTGAAGGTTGTTTGTAGCTCTAGGATGAACTCTTTCCATGAGTCCATCCAAAAGGGCTGGTCATTGGTCCTCAACCCCAAGCATGTCCAGCTTGAACCACTTGGGGGCAATTCCCTTCAAGTAAGACTTTGTGAAGGTTACTTTAGCACAGTCAGTTTTGAAGGCCCAGGACTGGTCTTGGAAATTAAGCTCACACTGGATAAGAAAAGCACAAGGCTCCTTGGAGTCAGTACCATCAAACATGTCTGGCTCACAGAGCTTGGTTCTGCTGGAGGATTCAGAACCAGTGCAGGCATTCTGGCTAACAGCTCAATGGCTTTGGCTAAACTGTTGAGCATTGTGATCCTGGGCTCAACATCTGGTTCAGGGTAGTCTGGCTCATCATCATCCAGATCATTGTTGTCTGGGTTATCATCACTGGGACCATCATCATTGGGGTCATTACCCCTGGGGTTGTTGTCTTCATCATCTGGCCCATCATCCTTGGGGATGGGGGTGACTGGGTGACATGGTGTAGGAGTGTTGGAAGTACAAGCTGAGAAGCTCTTGAATCAGCTAATGGACTCAGGAGAGTGCCTAGCAGTGCCCAAGGCAGCTAGAACAGCTTCTCAATGAGTTCCACTGGCTGAGGCAGATTCAGGGGTTAGTGGTAGTACAGCCACATGGAGGTTGTATATGAGTTCTAGTAGCCATTATAGTTTAGACCCACACAAGTTGGGGTCTGAAATACTGTCAAGTCTGAGATTCTGGGGTCAAGACTGGGCTGGAGACTGGTAGTATCATGAGACTGAGGGGCATCAGAGTACAGAGGGTAACAGGGGACAGAGGGTGGACTACACAGCAATGCAAGTTGGATGGCCACAGGTTGAACCCACCCCTTTTAACTGTGATTTCAAAGTCAGATAAATGTGAATCAAACGCTCTTGTAGCTACTGGATTGCCATGACTGGCATGAGCATAGTACTAGGACTTGTATTTAGCATGATAGGCGTAACTTGATAGCACAAGCTGATAGATGTCCGATGAAGAAAATCAAGTTCACCCTGGGTTTGAATCCTGGACAACCCAGGTACAGCCTCCCAGATGGAGTATCCTAATACTGATAGTGACCTACATACGTCACACTGTCTCACACAGATAGTGTGTACATCCCATCCACTGTTCAACTTGGAGATCAAACCTGCACTGTCTGGATTTCGTCCAGCAATCATCTGCACATCACCCAGGCTGCATCCAGCGAGGAGGTTGCCAAACACCCTTGTGTATATCAGTGGTGCATATGTACATCTAATCTACTTTTTGACTTGGAGATTGAACCTGCATTATCTGACATTCATCCAGTGGTCATCCAGACATCATCCACAGTATATCCTGCAAGACAGCTGACAAACATCGGTGCATACACCTATTGGGCTTTGGCACCAGGATCTGTGTACCGTAGATTGGGTAAGCATCGCTTATCATGATTACTACATCTCTGGGCCCACAACAACTTGACAGGCCCCTCCTGATCACAATATTATTGGCACCTACCTACACTTAAGTGTGTATACAATTACTGCTGATTGTCAATTACTTGTGCCTAATACATTCAGTCACAGCCATACTGCCTACCCCACAGTAACCATTGACATTCATTGTGGGACAGTAAGCAAGCTTATCTACTGTAGATCTGACTCTCAGGTCATCAGCAGTCACTTGATCTTGAGTGTTCCAGGGGAAGTATTATTGATGGTTGAACACTCATTTCCTAGTGCTGAGACAGCAGAATGTAGGTCATCACAGTGTCCCCTGTATTTTTGTGCTGAATTCTTTTCAAAGGGTGGAGGCAAGTTGGAAAAAATGGATGGACATGCTTGGCATGCTGGGACAACAAAGTCCACTCAAGAGACCATGCAAGGAGGCATGAAAAAACACAGACACATTTGAGCTCTGTTCAGTATCATTGTTCTAAGCACCAGGGAGCTTTTGATGCAGGGGGCTGTGTACCAGGTGATGGTGAAAAGTTCCCCAGTACCCATGATCAATCCATGCATGGTATTGGCCTTATTCTTGAGGAGATATCTGTCCCTAATGTGGAGGATGGCTTTGGGGAATACATTGGTGCAGACTTTGGTGAGGGGGGGGTTCAGTTTCAGGGGTCTCTTCTTGAGAAGAGCCATGCCCAAATTGCAGCAGCTCTTTCTAGCTTACTTGATGAGGATAAATTATCAGATGAAGAGGGACCAGGGGAGCAAGATGGGGAGACACTGGATAGTGAATCAGAGGTGAATATGTTTATGGGGACTGGAAATGGTATGGGTTACTACTGCTAATGTCAAATTTGTGATTTTTGACCTGAATTTTAGAAGGGGATACTGGAATGAAATCTGATGGATGGATGACTACTTCTGAGGGAAATGAGTGGTTTCCATGGCCAAACAAATTGGTATGCAGCTATTAACAGAGAGGACTGACATTCACTAATAATACTCCAGTCTTGTACAATAGATATCTTGATGCACATCCCTCGCTCTGTCTTCTCACAGCATCAACTTGATCTCTTGATGTGGCTACTACACATCAATGTCATTCAAGATGTACCATCTGTTAGAACAATGAAGACTCTTGAAGATGGCCTTCAAAAAATCTGTGGTATTGAAACTTTGCCTTTCACTGGTGCTTTTGGGCACCAATATTATATGAATTCATTTTCAGACATTATCAGGCAGGTTGGTGGTTCATTGCCACAACTGACAAATACTGATTATGATAATATAGGAGATGGCTAACCCACATATTCGACCACAACTTCACTTCTACCCAGAAAATTCAGGAGGACAGTTGAATGAGGCATACCAGGCCAGAAGGTGGTTAAAAGAAATGGATCCAACACAGCTGACTCCTATGATTCACCTTCATGGTCAAGATTTTTTCATATTTGAGCCAGCCCTTTTGTCAAATGGGCAGGTTTGCATGCCTATAAGGTGGTTTAAATGTGGAAGGCTTTTTTTTGCCAAGGCATGGTCTCTTTGTGCTGTTGTTAATGACACAGGAAGTGGTTGGATAGTTGAGGGGCACACAGAGATTGAAATCTCAGAAAGAAACTTACTGGTATCATTCAAGAATTGGAATATCAGTCAATCAACATCTGTTCTCCCTCCTGCACACAATATCTTAGGCATGTTTCTTTTACTACTACATTTGTCCTACTCAAAACAACTAGGAATTGAAAATAGTCATCAGGCTGGACTGTTGTTGGAACCATGGACACTCACAAACCCACATGAGGGAAATCATTGGTGTGTGCTTGCAAATGGAGCTTATGTCTATGGTTTTCCAATCTGGCTTTACTGTGATGATACTTTAAGGAATGTATCAAAATGTTGGAACAAGCACCATTCATTCCTGTTCACACCAGCTGGCTTGCCACATGCTGCAGTGCATCAGGAATACAATGTTCACTTCCTATGCACATCTAATGTTGCACCACCCCTTGAAATGTTGGATGGTTTTGTAAATCAGCTTGAGTAAGTTTATGTTATTTTTGGTATTCACTCTGATTTATACATATTTTCTAGGGCTGCTCAAGAGACAGGTGTATGGGCATGGGATTGTGTACACAAGGAGCAAGTGTTAATGATTCCCTCTGTCTTAGCCCTGTTGGGGGACAATCCAATGCAAAGTGAGCTTGCCTGTCATGTAGGGTTGACAGGAAAATACTTCTGTCATGTTTGCAATGTCAAAGGCCATGACACTCAAGACTTGGACACAAATGCTAATGATGAAACACTGGAGCAGAGTGATGGAGGACAGAGTGATGGTCAGAGGTCAGTCAGGAGTGCAGGGGGGGAGTCAGTTAGTGGTAGAAAGAAGGGAAAAGGGAAAGAGACAATGAGTGGTATAGTTTCTCAAATTAAGTGATTTCTGAAGGTATGGGCACATATGACTGTCTAGGCAACTACTTAAAATTTTAACCAAGATTGGTGAACCTCACCAGTGAGAGCAGTCAATAATTGAGCTCAAATCAATGTTTACAATGGCATCTACCATAGGGAATCAAACCAAAATCAAGGAGAAGATGACATCAACTGGATTGAAAGACACATATCTTGAATACTTTATCAATGGGATGGCAGCATCATGTAAGAGGCAGCATGGAAGCAGTTCAAAGCAGGAGGCACTGGATGTGTTCATCAAGGGACTTCCTGAGAATGTGTATAGCCCAGTGTGGTGCATCAAAGGTGAATGGCTTGATATGTGACACAAAGAAAAAAATCCTCACAACCCCATAGGACTTAATCCTCATGCAGACACTCCTGTGGAGGTGCTGCACACTGTTCTTTTAGGATTTGTCAAGTATTTCTAGAGAGATGTGGTGAACATCAGGGTTGGCAAGAACAAAATAAAGCATGAACTTCTTGAAGCTTGCCTGTCTTCATTTGATACAACAGGGCTAGGGATACCACCCCTGTCTGGTCACACCCTTGTCCAGTATGCTGGATCATTGGTGGGCCATGACTTTCATGCAATAGCACAGGCTGCACCATTTGTTCTCCATGGACTTGTTCCACAAGAATGCTATGAGGCTTGGGTAGCATTATCAAAAATGATCCCCCTCATTTGGAAACCAGAAATTGAAGATGTTGATGCTCACTTGGTAAGTGAATAGAACTTCCCCTTTTGTTTAAGACTTATTTCATGTACCAGACACAACTTGAAATTGCAATTCAAGAATTTCTTGCTCGCACTGCATGCTGGACACCTCACTGGTTCAACAAACCCAAATTTCATATATTGCTCCACCTTCCAGAGCATATCCATCATTTTGGTCCTGCTGCCTTGTTTGACACTGAAGGATTTGAGTCATTCAATGCAGTCATCTGTGCCAAAAGTGTTCACTCAAACCGACAATCTCCATCACATGACATTGCAAAGGCATTTGCTCATGGAAACCACATTTGTCACATTCTCAGTGGTGCTCCATTACACATCCATGCAAATCACCCCAACCTTGGAGTTCAAATAAAGAAGCTGATTGAGAAGCCACCTCTGGATGCCCTGAATGCTGGAGATGCTGGAGTTTGGTGGCCTGCAGGCACAGCCCTGCTGACACTTGTTAGTAAACCCAATATTATCACAGATTATCTGGGTATGGATAGCTCCTCTCTGTCAAAGCCAGGATCTTGTGTAAAGGACAACCTGCCCTGGCATCCATACCATGAAACCAGGACTGGCCAACAATTCCCCACAGCTCTCTCTTCCCTTTCCCAGGAAATACTCCATGACAATAATTTTCATACATGCAGGTCTATGATCTTGATGAATGGGGACAGATGCATTCCAGGCCAATGGGTTCTCATTCACCAACAGAATGGTCAGCAACCTCTGGTTGCACAGGTGAAGGAGATTATTCAAAGGTGAGGGTCAACTGCAGAGATGACATCTTCCCCAGATGCCATTTTTCTTCAGTCAGGAAAAATACAGGGGTCCACCAGACCTTATCAGATGCCATTGGTGCAGTATGATGATACCAATATACTTCTCCCCATTGAGGTAAGTTTACTACATTTATCCATTCATGATACTTAGTTCAAGTAGCAGTTACTGTGCTCAGTCAACCTTCAGCATTGTTGTGATATCCACAATTGTGCTGCAGCTCACCAGGGAACATCCAATACCTCCCCCAGTATTGTTCACAAGGGAAACCCAAATGATTTTGTGCTAAACACTGCAAAAATGCGTGATGCCAAGCACATTCTGCCCCTAGTTTGTGAACCCCTAACTCCACTCAGCACAGATCATGCAATTATGGAGGGTTGTGCTCATGAGATAGACAATAAAAAATCTACACAATACCCAAACAATATCCCCCAACCTTGGGCGAGCTCATCAGGGCATTCTATTAGGCTGATTAAATAGTAGATGCTACCATTATGCTCCAAGTCTAATAGATGTATTGTTCATATTACTGGTCATGTGTTCCTTAGTCAGCATATCACTGTGAGTTGCACTGTGATACACCTTTGTGAAACCAGTGCAGGGGCCTCATTCTTGGATGTGGTGTGCAAACCATCATGTCTTGTTATGCCTGTGTGCAGCCTTTTGATGATCCTACCAGTCCATGTTGGAAACATGTGGATGAACATGTGGACACCTATCTCGGTTCCAATGTGCATAAAAACTCACTCAGCTGCCCTCCATGGTTCCCCCAGTCTGTTGACTCACTCCACTTATTTCTACTACTGTACCCAAGACCCTCAATGTCTTTCAATTTTTCTAATATTGGGAACTCTCCATCTACTCAGTCTAGTAGTCATTCATTTCCTACTCCATCTGCCACCCCATTCACCCATACCCCATCCACCACCCCACACTTCCCCCCTGCTCAAAACAATCCCAATATTGATCCCACCCTTCTGGATGAAGATGTCATCCCAGCTTGCTTTATTGATGCCCTCGCTAATCAGTTTAGTTTTGGTGATTCCGAGCAGGACCTATGGTGTAACCTCCATGGCTTTGCAAAGGCAGGTAACTCTTTTTGACAGAATCATAATACTAATACATTGGCAGATGGGGCATGGCCTCCAGAAAGCAGATATTGCTACATGTTCATACTTACTTGCAGCCATTTTCAGCTTAATCAAGGAAAACTGGGCAATGACCAATGCACACTGCAACACACAACAACTTCTCACAGACCTGCAAATTTGACTCGAAAACACATTTACACTATCACACTGAACAGAAGGTTAGTTTATTTAGCACACAAATTCAGCCATTCATCCGTTTCTTTCTTGTAGGCTAATGTCTGTATTGTTGCTGGAGACATAATTTTTGAGGCTAGCTGGATCACATTTATGACAATCCACTTTGACGTTGAGGTTCACAACCATATATACTGATTCTAAGTCACTCTAATTCCACCAGTCAAAGGTCCAGCAATCCCAAAAAGAATTATGGTTCACAAATATCTATGGTAACCCAGCACTGAGAGAAAATCCTAATGGCATATATCAAGCAGCAATGCTCAAGCATTCATAATTCATTCTGAGAGCTGGTATGTCTCATTTTCTGTTTCCAACTCCATCTTGATTGATTCATTTGTCATAGCTGCGAGATAGTGTCATTGGAAATGGAACATGCACACTCTCTGATTTTGTGTTTGAAAGTGTGCAGCAGTACAAAATTGGTGGCCCCACTTTGGGCCTCACACCAGCATGCACCACTTGACTTGCTATACTTGTAAGTGGTACATACCAATTACAATTTTTGTATTAATTTTGTGTGTTAGCACCGTTTTGCTTATGAAAATCCTGAGCTCCTTGACTGTGAGGAAGATGTTGAGGACAATTCACCACCAATGGAAGATGACTCAGGCTCATGGCACCACTCTGCCCAAGAGCCTCAAAGGAAAAAGCGAAAGCATGGTGGCCAGTGTCCCCAGGGGAGAGGATTTCTGGTTGCAAGTGGAAAAATGGTTTGATGCACACAGAAAGCAATGGGGCAATTCATGGACCACACCCAACTGGAACAGGTGAGAATACAAGCCATCATACACACAGCAGTCATGCTAACACCTGCCTATGCTCTAGCTACATCTCAGAAACAATTGCCAAGGACAAAGATCGATACAAGGTCCATGTCATTCACAACCCATTCATGGAAGATGTGCACACAGATGACAGGTTTTTCACTGGGCCCATCACTTCAGCTGGTCTTGGGGCTGCTGAGGATCTCCTTCAAGAAATGGTTTGATGGTTTACATCTGTACTGTACCCTATTCAATCTCCTGTCATCCATAGCACAACACTCCATACATTTTAGTACCATATGATTAAAGGACGTTGTCTACATTGAGCATTACACCCACTTTCATTATACATCACCCAATGTTTGAGCATCCAACTCCACATGTGTGATCACAGCTGTTGGAGAGTGCATCCTCAATCTCCTCCCCAGCATGTACTCTGCTTGGCATGACATCCAGTTGAGAGTTGTCACTGTTTGTCAGCTTGTCGTGTGACACATGGTCCTCATACCATAATGCATTCATATGTGATCTGTAGCAGCAGCCAAATGAGTGAATAGACAACAAATTCATGCATTACAACCTGAGGCAGTGGCATAATAATCTGTGGGCCAACTATTCTTCAACCTATGGCTCAGCTACATTGAAACATATTATTTGCCGAGCTCACCCATCCAACATCACAGAGCAAACCTTGTATTCTACTTCAACCAGCAACAACCAGCAACAACCAAAATTTGGTGAGCAGAGTCCATTGTAACCACCAGACAGAATTCCCTTTTTAACTGCATTCTCAATTATAGAATACACTAATTGCGTCTGCCTATGGTTAACCAGGAGCCAACAGTTTTGCATGCTGGTGTAATTGGACTTAGTGACTGAGAGTGCAGTGCTATTCCCTTGCATGGGATGCAGTCTGAGACCAAGACAGAGACAGAGATTTCAGGGTGAGACTTAGTTGATTTCAGACTGAGGATACAGGCTAAGTAGATACAAGTTTATATACCAATGATGAAGTATAGTACAGAGACCAGTAATGCCAGTCTTGTAAGGTTTGGTAATGTGACTGAATAAGCAGGCTGTACTAGTGAACATGACAAAGACTGGGGGACCAGGACAGAGAAGAAGGCAGGATGGGGATGAGGCCAGGGTTGGCTCAACTGAGTTAGCACCTCAAATGCACACTGCTTTGCAGTGTCATCCACACTAGACCAACTAGAGGTTAGACCAGACAAGTCCAAGGTTGGGATGAGTAGGTGTGAGGCTGAGTCCAGCCAGAGTCAAGACATGGTTATGACACATCCACTCACTAGATGTTTCAACATGGACATGAATGTAATAACACTGAAGCATAGGTGCAGCAATAGAGGCAAGCTCAAAGAAGCTCAAGCCACATGAAAATCTGTGGCTGTGCATGGTTTTTGCTGTGGGCCAGCTACCAGTGGCTCAGCTTGAGCTGATAATGGCTGCAGCTTGGAGTCAATAAAAAGCCCAAGTTACAGCAACTCTAGATCACAGCATTGTCACTAGTTCATCTCTTAGGACAATGTGGCTTATTGAACTTAAAATAGAACTTAAGATAAATAAGGTTAAACAAGTAAAAATTAGACTGTTGTCAAAATGCTGATTTGAAGGCAGAGAAGTGCAGGGAATGCTAGAATGAAGGATGGTTGTGACATGTTGGCTAACTGACTTCTTGTCATTAGAGAAACTTCAGATACTGATTGAGTGGGAGCATCATCCTCAAATTCATTGTTCTTGAACATTCTGGCCTGAACAGTATTGAACCTAAAGCTTGACTGTCCACAGTCTACATGGCTACAATGAGTGATAGCAACAGTTACAATTCAATCCATGTAAATTCCATATCTTTTGCTATATTTGCAATATCCTGGATGTAAAACCCTTGTTTGGCTCCTTGCTCCTCCTACAGTTTGTTTGCTGAAACAATCACAGAATGAGTACTTTCTAAACACTGAAAATGTCCACATACAAATGCAATTCTCTGACATGACTTTAATAATAGCCTCACATAAACCATCCATATCCCCACTGTGATCATGAAAAACTACATTGGTAGTTTGAGAAATGGTAGTCTGCATGTTTAAGCTGTTATATTTCTCCACAGCCAATGACAATGCCTCCTGATGATGATATCTATCTTGCTTTAGAAAGTAAAAATACTCCACAATAAGCAAGTATCCTGGGAAAGTGATTAAGTTGGTGTAGGTGTTTTTGAATAAAATATTACCAATAGAATGCTTAGCTATGGACTGGGCAGTCAGGAACCTCCCAAAGAAACTGAAATCTTGCAGCACATCATGAATGCCAGTGTTAGGGTCCACTCCAAATGCAAGCTGGAATGATACATTTATTGATGAGACATGGGGAAAGATTGATTCAATACTTACAAGCTGAGATGGGGGAACCAGATGTATCAGAACCATGAATCAGTCACAGTAAGGGAGGACAATAAAGGGAGCACAGTTTTGCCTCCTGTGACATTGCTCACCTCCTATCAGGAAAAATATCACATCAATGCACCAAGGGTGATGGCAATCAAATGATGCAAATCACAAACATAGCACTTACAGACTACCATACATATTGGCATAAAAATCAGAAGACATCCAGGTCAACATGGCAGATTTACACACAGTCTGATTGGCAAAGTGCAACAAGAATGGAAATGGGAGTGATTAGGAAGGATCTGCAGTTCCATGGAACTGACTCACATCTGGCTAATGAAAGTAATGCTAAGTAGAGTTCCAGCTGAAAAATCAAGGTATCACTTACATGCTATCATGCCCCCAACACCAACAGGGAAACATGTTCTGGTCAGAAAAAATGGACCTTAATCTCCCATTGAATGCTCACTTGCTGTTATGTGACCAATGTGAACATTGCAAATGAGACAAGTCAGCAGAAACCAGCAAAACAATGCATGAAATTGTGCACATTCTGTTACACCACCAGTATGAAGAGTGCAAGTGAGTCCAATCAGCAGACATCCAGCTGAACATGCATCATTTCACTCACTTTCTGTCATGCCACCAATATGAAGAGCACAAGTGAGCCCAATCAGTGGACATTCAGATAAATATGCCATCACTCACATTCTGTCAAGCCACCAGATCAACATCACAAGAAAGCCAGATCAGCAAGCACCTAATGACCATGCCATTGAATGCTCACATTCTGACATGCCACCAATATAATGAGTGCCAGTCAACCCAGTCAACAGATAGCCAACTCAACATGCCATTGAATTATGTATAATTACTCACCCTCTATGATGCCACCAACATACCAAACAGTAGCAAGCCCATTCAGCAGACATTCAGCAAAACATACATGAAGTCATTCACTTTCTGACATGCCACCAGCATGCCAAAGAGCAGAGGTGAGAAAACATCTAGCAATCATTGTGTGTGTGGGTGTGTGGAAGATGTTACTCACAAACTGCCAGACCACCAGCATACAGAATGCAAGTGAGCACATTAAGCAGAAATCCAGTTGAACCTGCTATCAAATCACTCACATGCCATCATGCCACCAACATGAAGAGATCAAGTGAGCAAAGTCAGCAGAGATCCAGCTAAACATACCATCAAATCACTCACAAACCATGATGCCACCAACATGAAGAGTGCAAATGGGCCCATTCAGCATATGTCAAGTTTGACATGCCATGACATTACTCACATCCTGGCATGTGACCAATATAGAGTGAAAATGAGCCCAGTGAGCAGGGATCCAGCTGAACATGCCACATCACATACAACCTGTCATACCACCAGCATTAAAAGGACAAGTGAGCCAAGTGAGCAGACATCCAGGGGAACATGCCATCAAATCACTCACAAGCTGCTATGCCACCAGGATGAAAATTGCAGGTGAAGTCAGCAGAAATGCAGCTGAATTTGTCATAAAATTGCTCACTCCCTACAATGCCACAAGCATGGAACATGCATGTGAACTGAGTCAGCAGATATCCAGCTGGACATGTCAGGAAATCCCTCACACACTATCATGCCACCAATGTAAAGAATGCAAGTGAGCCAAGTCAGCAGAGATCCAGTTGGACATGTCATCAAATCACTCACTCCCTGTGATGCCATGAACATGTAAAGTGCAAATGCAAGCCAAATCAGCAGACATTCAACTGAATATATGGTTAAATCACTCACCCACTGTCATGCTGCCCATGTGGAAAAAGGTCAGCCCAGTCAGCAGCCATCCAACAAACCATCAAATCACTGACCTGCTGCAATGGCACCACCATGAAGAGTGCAAGTGAGTCCAGTCAGCAGGTCTCCACCTGGCCATACTGTACAATGTCTCGCAGACTATCATGCCACCAATAAAAAGAGTGTAAGTGAGGTCAATCAGGAGACAACTAGCTAAACAATCCATCAAATCACTCACACACTGCAATGCCACCATTGTGAAGAGTGCAAGTGAGGCCTTTCAGCAGACATCCAGCTGACCATGCCATCAAATCACTTACTTTCTAAAAAAAAATTCAATCAGCAGACATCCAACTAAACATACAGAGTCAAGTCACTGATCAACTGTCATGCCACAATGCAAAGGAACTCAGTTAGCAAAGGTCTGGCAAAACATAGCATCAAATCACTCACACACTGAGAAGGCATTGTGAAGATCCATGCAGGACATATCAGCAGACATCCAACTGAATGTGGAATTAAATTACACACAAGCTGTCATTCCACCAACATGAAAAGTGCAAGTGGGCCACTCAGCAGATATTGACCAGAACATACTTTGCAATCACCCACACTCTGTCCCAGCATCAATGTAAGGATTGCAGGTAAGTCCAATCAGCAAACATGCAAGTGAGCATTCCATCAAACCACTCACATGCTGTCATGCCATCAACCAAGTAAGCCAGGTCAACAGAGATCCTGTTCAACATGCCATGAAACTACTCACCACCTGTCATACCACCAGCATGAAAGATAGAAGTATGGGCATTCAGAAGAACCACCCTGGACAACAGTACATCAAATCACTTACAACCTGTCATACAACCAGGTGTAAATGACTACAGTCAGCAGAATCAAGTTGACCATATGTTCATATCAAACTCACAAGTTATCATGCCACCAATGTGAAGAGCTCAGTCAGTAGAAACCCAGCTGAACATGCCATCAAATCACTCACAATCTGTCATACAGCCAACATGACAGGTGGGAAGGAGCCTATTCAGAGGAGCAGAACTACACTGTGATCAAATCACTCACAGCCTAACATGCCACCAGTGGACAAATTGCAAAGGAACCCAATCAGCAGAGCTTGAGCTAAACATGGCATCAGATCACTTGCACCCTAACATGCCCCCAATGGAGAGATCACAAAGTAGCCCAGTCAGGAGAGCTTGAGCTGAACATGCCATCATATCACTCACACACTGACATGCCACCAATGGACAAATCGCAAAGGAGCTGAGTCAGCAGTGTGTGAGCTGAATGTACCATTGGAGCACCCACACACTGACATGCCACCAATAAATGGAATGCAAAGGAGCCAGGTCAGGAGAGGGCCAGCTAAACAAGCCATCAAATCACTCACAAGCTCTCATGCCACCAATGTGAATAGCTCAGTCAGGAGAGGCCCAGCTAAATATACCATCAAATCACTCACACCCTGATGTACCACCAATGGACAAATGTCAAAGGAGCCAATTCAGGAGAGCTGGAGTTGAACACACCATCAAACACTCACAACCTAACATGCCACCAATGGACAGATTGCAGAGTAGCACAGTCAGGAGAGTTCCAGCAAAACAAGCCATCAAATCACTCACAAGCTGTCATGCCACCAATGTGAAGAGCTCAGTCAGGAGAGACCCAGCTGAACATGCCATCAAATCACTCACACCCTGTTGTGCCACCAATGGAAAGATGGGAAATGAGCCCATTGAGGAGAGCTTGAGCTGAACATGCCATTAAACACTCACAGCCTAACATGCCACCAGTGGACAGATTGCAAAGGATCCCAGTCAGGAGGGCTTGAGCTGAACATGCCATCAAATCACTCACACCCTGACATGCCACCAAAAGACAAGTTGCAAAGGAACCCAGTCAGGAAAGCTTGAGCTGAACATGCCATTAGATCACTCACAGCCTAACATGCCACAATGGACAGATTGCAAAGGAGCCCAGTCAGAAGAGCTTGAGCCAAACATACCATCAAATAACTCACAGCCTGACATGCCACCAATGGACAGATTGCAAAGGAGCCAAGTCAGGAGAGATCCAGCTAAACATGCCATCAAATCACTCACAAGCTGGTATTCCACCAATGTGAAGAGCTCAATCAGTAGAGACCAAGCTGAACATGCCATCAAATCACTCACACCCTGATATGCCACCAATGGAGAGATGGCAAAGGAGCCCATTCAGGAGAAGACATTGAGCTGAACATGCCATTATATCACTCACACCCTAACATGCCACAAATGGATGGATTGCAAAGGAGTCCTGTCAAGAGAGATGCAGCTAAATATGCCATCAAATCACTCACAACCTGCCATGCCACCAATGAGAGAAGCTCAGTCAGTGGAGAGCCAGCTTAATATGCCATCAAATCACTCACACACTGACATGCCACCAATGGACAAATTGCAAAGAAGCCCAGTCAGGAGGATAACCATGCCATTCAATCACTCACAGCCTGACATGCCATAATGGACAAATTGCAAAGGAGCACAGTCAGAAGTGCTTGAGCTGAACATGCCATCAAATCACTCACACACTGACATGCCACCAATATGCAGATTGCAAAGGAGCTCAGTCAGGAAAACTTGGGATAAATATGCTATGAATTCGCTCACAGGCTTTTATGCAACCAACATATGGAATTCAAGGAGCCCAGTCAGAAGAGCTTGTGCTAAACAAGCCATGAAATCACTCACAGCCTGACATGCCACCAATGGACAGATTGTAAAGGAGCTCAGTCAGGAGAGCTTGAGCTGAGTCCACCATCAATTCATGTCACAAATTTATTTGGTCCATTGTCACGTGCCCCCATTGTAAGCAGCATGTAATGGACCACTTGCCATTATAATAGTCAGGTTTGGCTAGATTATAGCAAATATGTGAGATTTTATCTAAGATATAGTGCAAATGTGTAAAATATTATGTACAAATACCCATTTTTGGCAATCTTTCAATGACACATGGGTGGCATTGGCATGGCTTATAATGGAAGTGTGAACAGCCACCCTTAACATGTATTATAAGGTTCTTATCATGTGCCCAAGAAATTTGCGACACACTCACAAACTGACATGCCACCAATGGCCAGATTGCAAAGAAGGCCAGTCAGGAAAACCTAGCTGAGCATACCATCAAATCACTCACACACTGGAATGCCACCAATGGACAGATTGCAAGGGAGCCCATTCAGGAGAGCTTGAACTGAACATGCCACATCACTCACAGCCTGATATGCCACCAGTGGACAAATTGTAAAGGAGCCCAATCAGGAGAGCTTAGGATGAACATGCCACCAGATCACTCACAACCTGACATGCCACCAAGGAGGCCATTGAGGAGAGCTTGAGGTGAACATGCCATCAAATCACTCACACACTGACATGCCACCAGTATGCAGATTGCAAAGGAGCCCAGTCAGGAGAGCTTGGGATGAACATGCCATCAGATCACTCACAGCCTGACATGCCCCCAAGGAGGCCATTTGGAAGAGCTTGAGGTGAACTTGTGTCAAGTTCATGGTGTCCAGGTTGAGGCCAGACCAGAGACCAAAGTGGGTGTGAGGCTGAGAGGGGTCAGGGTCAGAAATGTAGTGGAGATACAGAAGGGTGGATTGATTGGACTTAGTGACTGAGGTTACAGCACTATTCCCTTGCATGGGTCTCAGTCTGAGTCCAAGGCCAAGGCAGGATTATCAGAGTAACTTAGTTGATTTCAGACTGAGGGGATAAAGGCCAAGTATCTAAGAGCTTATATACTAGAAGTAGCTATAGTACAGAGACTGGTAATGCCAGTCTCACAAAGATTGCTAAGATGATTGGTAAGACAAGTATTAGTAAGGTATGACTAAGGTAACAGAGACCAGGACAGGGTGAACTGGGGACAAGACCAGGCAGAATTCAACCAAAGTGACCCACAATGCAAAGCAGTGTGTACCACACTAGACCATCTGGGGATAAGGGATTGGTGAGGCCAAGGCCAGACTGAGTGAATGCAAGGCCAAGTCTGGCTGGGGTCAAGACATGACTATGACAGTATCCCCCTCTTAGGGGTCAAACCCATGAGACCCCTGTGAGAGTGGTAGGCTGAGTCCAAACTTTGGCTGAGTTTGAAAAACTGGTACTTGTGGCCCACTAAGCCCTTTGCATCTTTCCTTTGTGCTTCATCCATCATGTCCAACTCAAGACCAATTTCCATGACTGATAACAACAACAAAGGCCAGGTCATAGTGGACTGGACCCAAGTGTCAGATGACACCATTCAGTACAACACTGATGAGGAGGAGGAAGTGATGAAGGCCAAGTTGAAAGAAAGGAAGAGGTGAAAGGCAGTTGAACAAGCCCAGCAAGAAGAACAGGCTTGGCTTGAGGCCAAGAGAGTGGAGAGGGAGAGGGCCAAGGCCAAGAGGGCAGAGAGGGAGAAGGCCAAGGCTGAGAAGAGAGTGCATGAGGAGGAAGAGAGACGAGAGGCCAAGCATAAATGCAAGGCTGAGGCCATGAAGGGTGATGAAGCTGGGGTCAGTAGTAGTGAGGCTGGTGCATACTCAGGCTTGGAAGACAAGCTCAAGTGCCTCATTGAGGCCATGGGGCTCATTGCCAATAACCTGGCAAGTCTCTGCAACCTGCAGGAGACTGCCATAGTGAACTTGGGCCAGATCACTGACACCCTGGAGGCAATTATCAATGAATTATATGGGTATGGGATGCTGGCCACCCCCTCAGACTTGGGCTCATCTGAGCTCAACACTGACAAGCTGCACAAGGAGGCAGAGTGGTTGCAGGCTGGAGGTGAGGAAGAGGAGGCTGAAGGGGAGGATGAGGCCATGGCCAAGGCTGAGTAGGCCTTAGTGTAGAACCTTTTTTCTTTTCCCTTCTTCTGCAAATGTCATGCCCAGTGTCTGGTCTCATACAGTAAAGTAAGAGGAACAAAGAAGAAGAAGAAACAAACAAGGTAAGTAAAAGGACAAAGGAAACTAGATACTGGGAGAGAACAGAAAAGAGAACTGAGGCTGGCCAAAGCCAGTCCTCATTGGGATGGGCCAGGTTTACTACAGTAGCTGGAGTGAAATTCCTGTATGAGTTCAGATGTGTTGTCCAGCTCTGTAGTGAGTACCCAAGTAGTTTCTTCATTGGTCCCTTCACAGCTGGTCCACCAGACTAGGTACTGTAGCCAACACCAGCAATGCCAGTTGACCTTGGAGTTGAGGATTTCAGATACCTCAAACTCTAATTCACCATCAACCTTGACTGGTGGGGGTGGTGGTTGAGTCTGGTTCAGGATGGTGTTAGGGATGGCCAGCTCAAGTTGGGAGATGTGGAAGACCAGATGGACTGCATGCATTGAGTCCAGCAGGTGCAGTGTGAACAAGTGGGTACCAGCCTGAGCTATGACCAGATATGGTCCAAGGTTCTTCTCTGAGAGTTTCTTGGAAGGCTGGGTTGACTGGAAGTATTTGGCCTTGACATACACCTTGTCACTGACCTTGAAGTCCAGGGCTGGCATGCATTTGGCATTGGCCAGTCCTTGGTAATGTTGTTGTGTGAGGGTCATCTCCTCGCAGAGGTACTGGTGCAGTGAGTCCAGGTCAACTGCATAGTCATGAGCCCAAGTGGAGGTGAGGTTGCACTCCAGGTAAACCAAAATGTTGGGATGGTGGCCCTTATTAGCAAAGAAGGGTGATACACTGGTAGTAGCACTAGGGGCATTGTTGCATGCAAACTTGGCCAAGGGTAAGAGATCAGCCCAGTTGTCCTGCTGGTAGTTGCAATAGACTTGGAGATACTGTTCCAGGGTCTGGTTAGTGCACTTGGTCTGGCCATCACCCTCAGGGTGGTAGCCCAAGGTGAAGTGTAGCTTCATGTCTAGGGCCTTGCCAAGTGACTGGAAGAAGTGTGAGATGAACTCTGAGCCTCAGTCTGAGGTTACATGGGCTGGCACTTCATGTTTAGAGAAGACATGGAGTAAGAAGAGTTTAGCAAGTTCTGGGGCTGTGATAGTGTCATGGGTTGGGATGAATATGGCCTGCTTGGAAAGCTAGTCAACTACAATGAGGATGGCCATGAAGCCAGATGAGGCCAGGAGTTGCTCAATGAAATCCATGGATATGGAATTCCATGGCTTCTCCAGCACTGGAAGTTGCTTGAGGAGGCCATAAGGCCAGTGGCAGGGGACCTTGGCCTGAGCACAGGCAGTGCAAGACTGGATGTAGTCTTTGACAAAGGTCCTAAGGCTGGGCCACAAAAATGGTATTCACAAAGCATTGGAAGGTGGCCAGGGCATTGGTGAGGCCAAAAGGCATTACTAACCACTTGTAAGACCCATACTGAGTTCAAAATGTGGTCTTCCATTCATTGCCCAGAGCAATCTGGACAAGATGGTAGGCATGCTGGAGATCAATCTTGGTATAGATTTTGGCTTGGCTTGGTGAGTCTAAGAGGTCAGAGATGAGTGGTAGCAGGTATCGGTCTTTCTTAGTGATTTTGTTCAGGCTGCAGAAGTCTACACAAAGCCAGAGGGAGCCATCCTTCTTTTTAATGAAGAGGACCAGCACAGCATAGGGGGAAGAGGTCGGACAAATGAAGCCAGTAGTGAGATCTTCATTGATGAAAGTCTGGAGAGCTTGGAGCTCAACCAGGGACAGTGAGTAGATAGTGCCAAGAGGCAGGGTTGTTCCTTCTTCAAGCTCTATTTTCAGGTCATACTCCTGGTGAGGCAGGAGTGTCAAGGCCTTGGCCTTGCTGAACACATCAGTGAAGTCATGGTAGTCCTCCAGGACATTGGGTAAGTCTGGAGGGGATGAGGCCAAGGCCAATTGAGCTTGAGTTGAGTCTGAGGGGCAGAGCTGAAGTTGGAACTGGGTGGACCCTTCAAGTTTGCAGGCACATACAAAGGTGGCTGCATTAACCAGGGATATGTGAGGGGCCTTCAGGGGAGTGCAAGCTGGGGAGTCAGTGACCAGTACAGATGGCACAAGGCCAGGTTGGTAGCTAGGACTGGGGTCAGGAAGACTGGTGGGGACTGGGCTTACCGGGGGTGTCAACAGGGTTGGCATTCCTTGTATAGGAGTCCAGAAAGTTAGACTACTCAATACCCAATCAATCAACAGATTGTAGCAGGTGAACCAGTCATGTCTGAGGACTATCTTACACTCAGAATCCAATGGGGCTAAAAACAGGGTTACTGGGGTGACATCACCAGATGCAAAGTGGATATTGACATCTACTGCTTGGGTAATGGTGAAGGTGGATTTTCCATCAAAGAGTCAGAGTTGGATTGGGGAGACCAAGTAAGGGGTAAATGAATGTTGATTAGCAAATTGGTTATCTATAAAACAATGAGTGGAACCAGAGTCCACTAAAGTACAAAGCTGAGGTAAATCATGATTTTCTATAGTGATGTACAGTGTCAATGAATTTGGGCTGGAAAGAGTGGACACATTGAGTCTAGCCTCTGAGTTTGCACAACTGGAGTCAACACAGCTCCTGGATTGTGCAGAGTCCTGGGAGCCACTACCTATTTTTTTGTCTTGGGGGTAGAACCCAAGCCTGAGGCCGGTGTGGCCTCAGTAGTGACTGTGGTGCAAGCCTTGGCCTTTCCAGCTTTCTTGGGGCATTTGTCAGTGAAATGGCCAGACCCTCCACAGAACATGCAGAGGTTCCTGTCCATGCAATGCTTGCATTCCTCAGGGGTGAGTTTTCCATCCTTGCTGAGCTTGCTAGACTTGGGCTTGGATGAATTGCTGTTATTGTTGTTGCCCAGTTTTGATGAAGCCAGCTTGGACTGGGTAGAACTGGTATTGTTACTGCCAGTCTTGGCTTTCTCTTGGCCAGTCTTGGACTGGTTGTTGCTGGCAGAACCACCAGACTTGTTGTTGTTGGAGGAGGAGGAGCCCTGGTGCTTACTTGCCTGTTGGATTTCTTCCTTGTGCTCCCAATAGTGTACATCTATTTCCTGGGCAAGATGATGGAGCTTGTGTAGAGTCCACAGCTTGCCAACCTGACATACTTCATCTTTGCTCTGGTCTGGGAGCCCAGAGTAGAAATGATGACACAGTGCACCATCTCCATAGCCCCAGACTTGCAAAGCAAGTTGGTTGAAGTCCACTATGTATTTATTAATGCACTGAGTGTCTTTCATATGTAAGTGGTCAAGCTGACTCTCAGCATCAGCAACCAGGTCATGAGGTCTGAAAGTGGTTTGTAACTCCAGGACAAACTCCCTCCAGGAGTCCATCCAGAGAGGCCAGTTGTTGGGGTCCTTGACCCTGAGCAAGTCCAGCTCAAACCATTCGAGAGCCATGCCTTTGAGGTAGGACTGCACAAAGATGACTTTGGTGCAGTTGGTCCTAAAAACCTGGGGTCAGTCTTGGAAATTCAGCTTGCACTGGATAAAGAAGGCATGAAGCTTCTTGGAGTCAGTGCCATTGAAGGTATCGGGTTTACACAACTTGGTCCTGCTCAAGGACTCAGGACTAGTGCAGGCATTGTGAGCCAGCAGTTTGATGGCCTCTGCAAGGTTGTCCAGGACTGTAATTGCAGGCTTGGTGTCCAGATCTGGGACATCCAGTTCATCCTCTGGATCATTCTCTTCCAGATTATCATCTCTGGGCCCATCATCACCAGGACTGTTGCCAGGGTCATCATCATCAGGATTGTTGTTATAATCATCTCCTGGCCCATCATCACTGGGGTCATCCTCAGGGATGGGAGCAGTGGGATGATGTAGGGTCAGAGTATTGGATGTCTGGGCTGAAAAGCCCCTGAAAGGACTAACAGGATCTGGAGAGCACCTAGAGGTGCCCAAGGCAGCTAGCACTGTCTCATGGTGAGTTCCACTGGCTGAGGTGGAGTCAGGGTTGGTGGCAGAATGGCCACAGGGAGGTTGGAAATGAGTCTTGGTTGCCATGGTATGTTAGGCCCACACAAGTGGCCAGTCTGAAATACTGTCAAGTTCGTGGTGTCCAGGTTGAGGCCAGACTGGAGACCAAAGTGGGCATGAGGCTGAGAGGGGTCAGGGTCAGAGGTGTAGCAGAGATACAGAAGGGTGGACTGATTGGACTTGGCAACTGAGGTTACAGCACTATTCCCTTGCATGGGTCTCAGTCTGAGTCTGAGGCTGAGGCAGGATTATCAGAGTAACTTAGTTGATTTCAGACTGAGGGGATAAAGGCCAAGTATCTAAGAGTTTATATACTAGAAGTAGCTATAGTACAGAGACCAGTAATGCTGGTCTCACAAAGATTGCTAAGATGATTGGTAAGACAAGTATTAGTAAGGTATGACTAAGGTAATGGAGACTGGGACAGGGCAAACCAGGGACAAGACTGGGCAGAATTCAACCGAAGTGACCCACAATGCAAAGCAGTGTGTACCACACTAGACCATCTGGGGATAAGGGATTGGTGAGGCTGAGGCCAGACTGAATGAATGTGAGGCCAAGTGTGGCTGGGGTCAAGACATGACTATGACAACTTGCCATCAAATCACTCACACACTGACATACCACCAAATTGCAAATTGCAAAGGAGCCCAGTCAGAAGAGCTTGGAATGGCCATGCCATCAAATCACTCATAGGCTGTTGTGTAACCAGCATGTGGAATGCATGGAGCACAGTCAGGAGAGCTTGAACTGAACATTCCATGAAATCACTGACACACTGATATGCCACCAATGGGCAAATCACAAAGGAGCCCCATCAGGAGAGCTGGAGCTGGATATGCCATCAAATCACTCACACACTGACAAGCCATCAATGGACAGCTCCCAAAGGAGCCCAGTCAGGAGAGCTTGGGATGAAGATGCCATCAGATGACTCACAGCCTGACAAGGTCATTCAGGAGAGCTTGACCAGCTGAACATGCCATCAAATCACTCACACCCTAATGTGCCACCAATGGACAGATAGCAAAGGAGCCCATTCAGGAGAGCTTGAGCTGAACATGCCATTAAACACTCACAGCCTAACATGCCACCAATGGAGATATCACAAAGGATCCCAGTCAGGAGAGCTTGCACTGAACATGGCATTAAATCACTCACACACTGTTATGCCACCAATGGAGAAATCACAAAGCAGCCCCATCAGGACAGCTGGAGCTGGACATGCCATTAATTCACTCACAGTCTGACATGTGACCAATGTGGCCATTCAGGAGAGCTTGAGCTGAATGTGCCATCAAATCACTCACACACTGACATGCCACCAATGGACAGATTCCAAAAAACCCAGTCAGAAAAACTCAGGATGAACATGCCACCATAGCACTCACAGGCTGTTGTGCAACCAGCATATGGAATGCATGTAGCTCAGTCAGAAGAGCTTGAGCTGAACTTGACATCCTATCACTCACACCCTGATATGCCACAATAGATAGATTGCAAAGAAGGTCTTTCAGGAGAGCTTGATCTGAGCATGCCACCATATCACTCACACATTGACATGTCAACCAATGGACAGAATGCAAAGGAGCCCAGTCAGGAGAAGCCTAGCTGAGCATGCCATCAAATCACTCACACACTGAAATGCCACCAATGGACAGATTGCAGAGGAGCCCATTCAGGAGAGCTTGAGCTGAACATGCCATCATATAACTCACAGCCTGACATGCCACCAATGGACAGATTGCAAAGGATCCCAGTCAGCAGGGCTTAATCTGACCATGCCATCAAATCACTCACAACCTAACATGCCACCAGTGGACAGATTGCAAAGTAGCCCATTGAGGAGAGCTTGAGCTGAACATGCCATCAAATTACTCACAACCTGACATGCCATCAGATCACTCACCTCCTATCATGCCACCAATGGAAAGATTGCAAAGTGGCCCAGTCAATAGACCACCAGCATAGCATGTCATGAAATTGCTCACTCCCTGTTACATATGTGACCAGTATGAAGAGTGCATGTGAGCCCAGTCAGTAGAGGCCTAGCTGAACCTGCTATCAAATCACTGACACACTAATATGCCACCAATGGACAGATTGCAAAGGAGCCCATTCAGAAGAGCTTGAGCTGACCATGCCATCAAATCACTCACAGTCTGTCATACAACCAACATTAGAGGTGCAAATGAGCCCAGTCAGCAGGAAACCAGCATAGCATGCCATGAAATTACTCACTCCCTATTACATATGAGCCCAGTCAGTAGAGATCCAGCTGAACATTCCATCAAATCACTCACACACTGACATGCCACCAATTGATAGATTGCAAAGGAGCCTGGTCAGGAGAGCTTGAGCTGAATATGCTATCAAAACACTCACAGGCTGTTATGCAACCAGCATGTGAAATGCAAGGATCCCAATCAGCAGAGATCTAGTAGAATATGAACATTGCAAATGACCACAGTCAGCAGAATCCAATTGGTGATACCCTCATATCACTCACACACTGTCATACCAACAATATGATGAGTTCCAGTCCACCCAGTCAGCAGATATCCAGCTGCACATGTCATAAAATCACTCACTTCCTGTCATACCACCAACATGAAGAGCAGATGCCAGCCCAGTTAGCTGAATTCCAGTTGAATATGCCATCACATCACTCACAAACTGCCATGTGTGATGTGTGCAAGTGAGTCCAGTCAGCAGACATCCAGCTACACATGCCATGACATCACTCACTCCCTGTAATGTCACCAACATGATGAGTTCGAGTCCACCCAGTCAGCAGATACCCAGCTACACATGCTATCAAATCACTCACTTCCTGTCATGCCACCAACACAACCAATTGCTGGTCAGCAGAAATCCAGCTGAACATTTCATGAAATCACTCACATCCTGTTATGTCCCCAATATGTAGAATGCAATTGTTCCCAGTCAGCAGATACCCAGCTGGTCATACCATGCAATCACTTACAAACTGTTATATCAACCATGCAAAGCAGGCAAGTGGGCCCAGTCATCAAATATCCAGCTGAACCAGACCCTTCAGTCACATGTAATCCAGAAAGTGGGTCATCTGACATGCACATTTGGTCCTGAAAGTGGGACTAACTGACATTGGCCTATGGACCCTGATGGTGGATAGGCCGACATGTTGGAGGGAGGTCAGCCGACCTCACTGGGGGATGGACCCACACCCTGGAAGTGGTGTCGGCCGACCTCACTGGGCAATGGACTCACACCCTGGAAGTGGTGTTGGCCGATTTCACTGGGGGATGGACACAGACCTCACCACCTGGAAGTAGGGTTGGCCAAACCCTGAAAATTCCCTTGGCATAATCAATTGCTTGTCAATTTAGATGTTACCAGAAGTATTGACTCTGATGACACTTCCAGATGGACATACCCCCTGAGACCAGTGTTGGCCAACCTCACTGGGGGGTGGCCTTACCCCCTGAATCCATGGTTATTCTTCACCTCCAGGTGATGTCAGTGATCTCACAGGGTTTGAAACTTGCAATGAGCATGGGTAGCCATATATAGGGATCCTTTTGATTCACACCATCTACAGTTTATTTATAGACCAAGACCCAGAGCTCTCTTGGTTGGTTGACGAGCTCTAGTTGATTTCTTGCTTGCCTCTTCACCCTCCTTTGCCATCTTCTGATCAACATCCCCACTGCCTCCCCTTTTTCTTTTCCTCACATCCTTTCTTGTATTCCAGGATTCCTTCATGCCACCCCCCTGGGTGGGACAGGAATCCCCTGCACTGACCCCAGTTGTTTCCTGTGCACCAATCCCTCTGCTTGAGCCACCAGAATTCTGCTGCAGTCTTGCAACTACCAGCCCCACTGCACCCATAACATCTTCCCCCTTGTGGATATCAAGACCTGAGCCTAGCAAAAAGCCCAGATTAGCAGCTTCAGGGTCATCTGATTCTATGTCCTGTGCTCTTTTGCACTCCCTCCACAACAAACCAAATCCCAGTACAATGGTAAGACCTTTCTGGGTGGATGCAAACTTTTCACTTTGCAATTGATACAGTGCCTTCCAGAAGGAATCCCCATTGCCATGCATCTCCTGGGGCAAATAGTGGGCACTCCAGGCCCAAGATGCCCAGACAGGCAGGTTGACTGGTCCAGCATCAGGTTCCTGTACAAAATGTTTGTTAACCTGGTATTTGAAGAAAGTTTATCACTTACTGTCTCTGGCAAGCCATCTACAAGCTCAACAAGTTCCTGGTACCTGGGCATGATGCAAAGGGACTTTAAATATTTCACCCTGTCCCCATTGGCATGACAAGCAGGGCTGGATTCATGAGGGGTATCTTCAGATGGGGCCCTCCCAGAGTCAAGGATATCCTGGGCCCCTGATGAAGTTGCTATAGGGGTCATACCAGCCCCACCAATTTCTTCCCCTAAATCTGAGGGCTTGGCCTCCACCCCAGCTTCACTGTCCTCCCCAGGGCTCATCCACTCTCTCTTTTTGGATGGGGTTTTCCTGTTCCAGGGCCTTCCCAATGGCTTGTCCTCCTTTTTGCACTTGATGAATGAAACAATCACCTTATCCTCCTCCTCTTGGGAATTCCAATGATTCCAAAGCATCCACATGTTGGCCTTGGTCCATTTTGAAGGATCTTTCATCACAAATCCTTCTGGGATGGAATCGGAACTCAGATACTCCAAATGGGACTTGATAAGCAGGCCCCAGGGAACCTTGGCCTTGGGCTTCCCTGTAAACTTTGCTATGTTTCCAACTTCCATCAACAACTGTAGATGCACTTGACAATCAAGAACATACCATAGGCAGCCTGGAAGACCATTCTTGCCAAACTCTGCTGGACCTTGAGTTTCTGACCAGTCCAAGCTGGTACCTCTGGGTTTCCTTCATCATCCAAGGCTATCTCCACCTTTGGATTCTCATCATTCAAATCTTCCTCAGCTGAGTATGGAATCAACCTAGGTACACATATTACATTGATCACCAACTGTTTATCACTTACCAGCTTCAGTCAAAAGATAATTGGTTAACATTTGCTCTCCCTTTAGGAACCCAATCCTTGGTGGGCTCTGAAGACTCTGAGAAGGCCTTCTTCCCATCAGGGGGTTGTGTTTCAAAGCTAGGTTTCTTCATTAGCATTGGATAGACAAGGTAAAGGGGAACCTACACTGCCATCTTGATCTGAGAATCAGTAGTCTCATGAGCCAGAAACATCACTATATTTGACCCCATGGTCCTCCTGACTGTTTCAATAAAGTCTCTGGCCATGTTGGGAAAATTTTTTCTCCTGTACCTGAATTATTGCATGATTAGTATAAGACATTTGAAGTAGACCAGCACTGACAATTCATGAGTTTCTTTTGGAGCTCCCAACTTATTCCACTTGGAAGCAGCCCTCCCTGCTTCAGCCTTCTTGTCATCTGCAAGAGACTCCCACCACTGTTGGATGATTTTGGTCCTCTGACCTATGGTCTTGGGGTCCTTGGTGTCCCTCCTCTCCCTATCATAGGCATCCATGTCCTCTTTGAAGAGCTGCTGGGAGGCAGTAAAATCAGTGAAGGGTTTTCTGTAATTTCCAGCCTTGGTAGGTCTGGTCCTCTCCTCTCTGCCATCCTCATCCTCACCAGTCCCAGGCTGCTCCTTCCTCTTGTCTGTTGCAGCCAGGATGCTCTCAATGATGTGTTCCTCATCATCCTGGTCTTCAGGGTCTAGTTCTGGCAAAAACACCCTTCTGATGGCCTAAATACACTTGAGATATGTGAAACTTGATGAAAAAGATACCCTACCACTCTCAAGTTCTGGGGCAATTCCACAGATCCTGAAGATGCTTGCTGAAGGATCTGGGATTTCACATCAGCCAGGATCTGGGCCCTGCGGTCAGGATTCCCTCGGGCATCTGCGTACTGCTCCACATAGGAGGACAGCAGATCAGAGTAGACTTCAGACCAATCAGCCATGAGAGAATAAAATCAGGGGGATAATTAGCAGCACAGATGATGGAGGTTGGAAGCAAGGTGAAAATTTTTCAGCCTTTCCCAATTTAGGCAGGAGGTTGAAGTTTTTGGCCATCACTCTTTTAGGAAAGGTACCATTATGGTATGATTGTTTTGATGTATTTGCTATTCACTTTGATTCAGATACCAAGTGCAAAGCAAGGGTAATCGGAAAACTATACACATATACCCATGTTCTAAATACAATCCATTTGTTTACCTTGGAACATCAATTGGGCCTTTTTGGAAAAGTCAGTCCACAACACTATCTGCTTATGAGCATAAGCCTTTTTCCCTGGTTCCAACAATTGTAGAGCCCTTTTCTCCCATATGTCCTTCTGGAACTCAAACCATAAGATGGCCCAAACCATCTCATGCCTCACCAATGACAATTCTTCTTTCCACCTGTCCCTTCTTGCCCTTGCTTTGAGCCAGTTGATCCTGTAAACTGCCCCACAATTTATCGGTGAGATTTTTTTGAGTAGTATTAACACTTACACTCCTCCATTAAACCCCCCTTCTCAGCATTCAGTTGACCCTGTTCACCATCCATCATCCAAAACCATGCCATTTTGCTGGTTCCCTGCCCAAACCGGTTCTCCTCTGTAACATCCTTACTCACTGCCAGGTCCTGGGGCTGAATAGCCTGATATTTTTGTCCAATCTCTTGATTGGGTTCCAACTGGAGAATGGCCTGCCTTGCCCTCTGATAACTTCTGACCTGCTTGTTTATCTGAGCCACCACTTTTTGGATGTCCTGCTTGGTTCTTGTACCTTCCCTAGTTGATTGTGCACTGCAGAAGTTCTGTCTGTATAACATTGCCTTGTGTCCAAGGTTGGTTCAGAGCTGGTCTAGACAATCATTAGCTTGCCCAATCCTGAGTTCCATTTCTTCTTTGAGGAGGTCATGAAGGCCAAGCTCCATCAGTTTGGTTGCTCCAATGGATGAGGGCATCCATATACTCATGAGCTCAGCAGGTAGCTCCTCTCCTTCTTCTGTAGCCTCCCAATCCTCATCATCTTCCCAGTACTCTCCATTGTCATCAATTTCTTCACCTTGCCCAAGGAATGCTGGATCATCCTGGGGTATGAAGACATCATCCACCTCCAAACCTTTGAGAAATGCCTGGCTGGTGCCATGGAATTTGTCAATCCTGGCAGAAAGTCTTTTTCTTTTCTCTGAGACTTTGATTTCTTGTCTGGTAGACATGTGGCTCTATCTAAGCTCAGATCTTAGCTGGTCCCTGCAGGTCTGGTTAGCAACCTATTGCTTCTGGAAACCACAGACCATACTGTGCATCCTCTATGCTAATTCCTTCCACAAGCCAAGCCACAGAACCATGGCTCCCTGGGGACACAGGTGGATTTTTCATGAGCTTTAACTGCACTTCACCCATGGTAGGGGCTACAGGCCATCAGACATGCCCAGGGTTTCTTAGGAACATACTGACCTTTTTCCCCTTTCAACAAATAAATGTCTAGGGAATCACCTCAATTTGCTTCTGCCTCAAGAACATCTGACTCCCATTGGGCAAGTTGGCCAGGGTCTAGAACAGCTGTCAACTGCTCATATGCCTGATTCATTTCTTCTAGGCACTTGTGTGAGGTCTTGTATTTTTTCAACAGTGCAGGAACTGAGATGTACAGGGTAAATTAACTTCTCTTTGAAGAAAAGGTCTCTCACCCATGTTGACAATTTTTTTCCAGTTAGAATCTCTCATATGGTCATCATACACTTCTTGTCTGTGGGCCTGAGTCATAGACCTTGCAGTGGGAGAGATCTTATTGAATGGAGCCCACAATGTCTCCAAAATTTCACCATCCAGATGACCAGCACCCTTGATAAAGTTGAGGCTATATCTTGGAAAGCAAGAGAGTTTGTGGGCAGCAAGATGAAACTTCCCCACAGCAGGAATGATTTCCAGGGAGGGAGGGAGATGGAGAGAGCAGCTGGATTTTACCTGACTCTGGAAGTTAATACTCCACTGGCACCCAACATCATAAATGACAAGGGCCTTTGTGATGCTTTCTGAATGATAATCAAGAGCACTGCAGATGGAGTAATCTGTGTTCATGTACCTAGCACAAAATGAGTTCCAAAGGCTTCCAGTACATCCATCAGGTCCACTCACTTTTCCCCTTTCTGAAAGTCCACCACAGAATGGGGAACAAAGCAACCATGCCAAGCACAGGCTGTGGCACCAATCCCAGTGGACCAGAGATTGGACTTGTTAATATTAGCAGCATTGATTGCCCTGTGATTGTTGCAGGTGGATCTCTACCAGTACAGTGGGTCATTTAAACTCCATGACCTTGGGACAACTCACCTCCTTGTTATCCAAAGACTGCTCAAGATGGGCCTGGTAGGGCTTTTCAGCAACCATGTAACCAGTTCCATCTGCTAATGACACATCCAACTCAGGCTTGTTCATTTTCATATGCTGAGCAGTGAAGTTGCCATCCATGACATATTGCCTCATTATGGTATCACTAAGGGGGGAGGGGAGTTAGAAATCAAAACCCTACAGATTATCACTCCATACCCTGGATTGACATGGTCTTTTGCTTCTCTCCTCTTGCCACACAGTGTCTCCCTCACCGACTGTTGTTGCGTTATCCCACTCTCTGGCCCCGCTGCGTCTCAGCAAAATTTTTGGTACGTTGTTGTCCTCTGGATCTCTCACGCCTCTCCCTCTCTAAACACAAAATAGGTATGTCATGCCGCATCTCCCTTCAAAAAAAAAACAAAAAAGGTATGTTGTCGAACCTCTCATGGCTTCAACACTCACATCACACACCAGGACGCTGCCATTCTTCTCAGTCTATTGCACGTTGTTCAGTGTCCCATACTACTCACAAAGCCCATTCATTCAAAAAGAAGGTAAGTAGCTCGCAGCATCCCTCTACAACTCACAAAACACCCCCCCCCTCTCGCCGGGTCTCATCCAAAAAACAGGTATGTCATCCCAGTGCGCAGCATCTCTCTACCACTCACAGAACACCCTCTCGCCTTGTCTCATCCACAAAACAGGTATGTCGTCCTACTTCCTGGCGTCCCTCTACCACTCACAAAACACCCCCTTGCCATGCTTATCCAAAAAAAAGGTATGTCATCCCAACTTCACAGCGTCCCTCTACAACTCACAGAACACCCCCTCACCGTGCCTTATCAAAAAAACAAAAGGTAAGTCGTCCCAGGTCGCGGCATCCCTCTACCACTCACAGAACACCCCCTCTCCGTGCTCATCCAAAAAAAAGGTATGTCATCCCAGCTTCATGGTGTCCCTCTACAACTCACAGAACACCCCCTCACCATGCCTTATCCAAAAAAAAGGTAAGTTGTCCCAGGTCACGGCATCCCTCTACCACTCACAGAACACCTCCTCGCCATGCCTCATCCAAAAAAAGGTATGTCGTCCCAGCTCATGGCATCCCTCTACCACTCACAAAACACCCACAGAACACCCCCTCACCGTGCCTTATCAAAAAACAAAAGGTAAGTCATCCCAGGTTGCAGTGTCCCTCTACCACTCACAGAACACCCCCTCACCATGCTCATCCAAAAAAAAAAGGTATGTCATCCCAGCTTTGTGGCATCCCTCTACAACTCACAGAACACCCCCTCACCGTGCCTCATCCAAAAAAAAGGTATGTCGTCCCAGCTCGTGCAGCATCCCTCTACAACTCACAAAACACCCACAGACCACCCCCTCACCATGCTCATCCAAAAAAAAAGGTGTGTTGTCCCAGCTTCATGGCATCCCTCTACAACTCACAGAACACCCCCTCGCTGTGCTCATCCAAAAAAAAAGGTATGTCATCCCAGCTTTGCAACATCCCTCTACCACTCACAGAACACCCCCTCGCCGTGCTCATCCAAAAAAAAAGGTATGTCGTCCCAGCTTCACGGCATCCCTCTACAACTCACAGAACACCCCTTCACTGTGCCTCATCCAAAAAAAAGGTATGTCGTCCCAGCTCACGCAGCATCCCTCTACAACTCACAAAACACCCATAGAACACCCCCTCGCTGTGCTCATCCAAAAAAAAAGGTGTGTTGTCCCAGCTTTGCGGTGTCCCTCTACAACTCACAGAACACCCCCTCGCTGTGCCTTATCAAAAAAAAAGGTATGTCATCCCAGGTCATGGCATCCCTCTACCACTCACAGAACACCCCCTTGCTGTGTCTCATCCTACAAAAGGTATGTTGTCCCAGTTCCTGGTGTCCCTGTACCACTCACAAAACACACTAGTAGACTATCAATTCATATCTCCCTCCTGCCACACTGCATCTCCCTTGCTGTGTCTCATCCAATAAGGTATGTTGTTGGACTTCTACTTCATGGTGTCCAGATGATACTTACATATCACCCTCTTTGGTCTGCTTATCCAGTGCCCAGTGTTGTGTAGTTGCATACATTGGCTTCTCTTTTCCATAAATATGTAGATATCTATCCCTGCTGCATGATATATGTACTAAACTAAATGCATTTATTGTTATCTTACTGCTTGTCCCCTATACCTTCTGTGTCTTGTAAAGATAATAAGGTATGCTACTGTTCCCTTCTGTGTCATATGTTGCTGCCACTCACTAATGTTGGCATAATAGACTCAGATGGTGAAGACCAAGCAGACAGCTAAGAAGACTACTGGGGGTAGAGCTCCCAGGGTATCTCTTGCTGGTCTGAAAGCTAGGGAAAAACATGCTGCCAAGTCAAGCAAGGCCCATGCTAGGAAGGCCCCTGTTGCCAAGAAGAGAAGGATGAGGAACTTGGCAAGTCTCTTTTTATATTCCATCCATCTTTCTAACATTCTATGCAGTTCTGTGTGATGTGCAGGGATGGAGGGACATTGTGGCCTTGTGATCAGGCAGGTTGCAGAAGGGTAGTGTGTAACAAGTGTGTTGTAGTACCTGAGGATTGCCTTGCAGAGGTCACCCAGCTTCCTGTGACCTTCAGGTGTGTTAACCTCCCTTTTATGAATTAATTCCATTGACTCAAACTCTGGATGAACTTCAGGTGTGTTTCCTGTCATTGGAAAATGACAAGATTTGAAAGTCCTCAGCCCTATTTTGTAAGTGCATATTGCCACCCCAATCACTTCTAACTCCAAGTACAGGGCTTCTACTTGTCAGGCAAGCCAGTCCTGAAACACCCTCTTGTGGTCATTGGGGGGTTTGAGCATGCCACCACCTCTGAAGTGGCTGGTAACTCTACTGCCATTATCCACCTCCACCTTGAGTCTCTAGAGCTTGGCCATGCCCCTGTGCATATCCTTCACACCATGTTGCAGGGATATTTCAGACAAGACACCTACCACTTCTCACAACTGCCCTTCAACTTTGCCACTGAGGAGTCCAGAGCTGCCTATGACACTGCAGCATCAAAGCTAGCTTCAAGTCTGACTACCTTTGCTAAGGTAGTCATTTTCCTTACTACCCATACTGATGAAGACAGGGGGGATCTGTTCTCTGGAATGGAGAATAAGGTTCCAATAGCCACAGAGGTCTTTGAGGTAAGTCACCATTGTTTGACTGTCACTCCCATCTGACCAGTTGCAGTTTCTGCAAGGCCTTCTGTTACCCCTCTCCAACATTGTCAAGGGTGGAGACCTCATCTTCTTTGTATGTGGTTCTACTGTAAGGAAGGAGCAGAGCTTCCAAGGACTGAAGGCAGCTGTGCAACAGTAGGTTTTCTTTCAATGTTGGTGGTTATGGCTGACACCATATCAGTTTCAAGCCAAGGTCCATGTTGCTTTTTGATGCTGAGAGACTTCAACTAGTCACCACCATTCCCTTCCTCATGAGTGTCCTTGACTCCACCCTTGTTCAAGGCTTCCATGTCCAAAGTGCAGTCAGGTATGCCCTGAATGACTGTGGTATGTTGGGTAGGCACTCCAACATCATCCTGATGTTGTGGCAGGAGAAGGTAGTGGTGGAGAAATTTGTCTGGACTGACAAGTTCATCAGGCCTTGGGGACAACAATTGCCTGCCCAGTGCCCTCAGTGTTATAGCATTCAGAAGTGGGAAGCTGGTTGTTCAGGGCAGACTTATTCCTATGAGTGCAAGAATCCTGGCTGTGGGAAGGACACACAAGGCACATCTCAGCCTCCCCAAACCTATACTATCTGCATGTCCAAAGGGGCTACCAAACTGACACAGGGAAAGGGGCAAACATCATCCTGGCTGTTGGAATCTTTGTAAAATACCCTACCTTGATACATATGATATGCATGTACTACAATCAAAAATAGCTGCTTTGTGTTTTCAAATTTCATATGACATTGAATGTTCAGAAAAAAAAGTAATTTCCTGCAGGACAATTCCTCCTTAAGTACTGATACACAACTGAGTAAATTTGCCCAATGTTAATTCCAATACAATGGCCAGATTGGTAGAGTTAACTTCAATACCACAGGATAAGGATAGGATATAGGATTTTTCCACAACCATGTGGGTTCAGCCAGCTAACTACCAAGGAAGTAGTGTACTGAGTAATAAGATTGGCCAGCCCCACTAACCCACTAGCAAGATATTGGTCTTTCTTGCAAAGTGTCTGCCCAACCACAACTCCAGGTCATGGTTCATTCCCCCCAGCCACATCAGCTGACCCCACTTCTAGGGCACTAATTCATCCCATAGCTATGTCGGCCAACCCCACTTCCAGGACACTAACCTATCCCATAGCTGCATTGGCTGACCCCACTTCTAGGGCACTAATTCATCCCATAGCTGTGTCGGCCAACCCCACTTCCAGGACACTAACCTATCCCATAGCTGCATCAGCTGACCCCACTTCTAGGACACTAATCTATCTCATAGCTGTGTTGGCTGACCCCACTTCTAGGACACTAATTCATCCCATAGCTGTGTCAGCCGACCCCACTTCCAGGACACTAATTCATCCCATAGCTGCATCAGCCAACCTCACTTCCAGGTCATCAATCCATCCTATAGTCATGTCAGCTGACCCCACTTCCAGGGAAGTTGATCCATCATCCTGTGACATAGGCCGACCCCACCTTCACAGTCCGGCCTACCCAACCCTAGGGACCACTGGCCGATGTTGGTTAGTCCCAGTTTCAGGACGAAATGTACATGTCAGATGACCCACTTTTAGGACTACAAGTGACTGAATCATGTGGCTGAACATGCCTTGAAATAACCTACATTCTATATTGCCAGCAGGACAAGTGTCAGTTAACCCAGTCAGCAGAAACTCAACTGACTTTCCATCAAACCACTCACTTTCTGTCATGCAACCAACATGAAGGCAACATAAGTTATTCAGTTCACCATGTAAATCTTTAATGATGTGGAATTTAGGTACCAACCTCACACATTGGAAACCAACACAGCAGACAATCTTCCAAAGATTTCACTCCCAACTGAAGTCTGTGCCTAAACCCTAACTCCATTGCTCTTCTCAATGTCCTTCATGACATGAGTACCTGTGCACAAAATACAATTGCTTACTTACTTCTGTACAGCAAATTCAACACACAACATGATATTTGACTGCTGTGTTGATATGAGTAGCCTTTGCAGACTCTTCTCATTCAAAGCATTTGCTGTGCATTGCATCAAAGCAGTGCAGTCTGCATTCTCTTCCTGCATTTCTGCCCCAAGACATCCATATTTTCCCTCAGGACTTTTTCAAAGTAATGAAACACTCACTTTGCAGTGCCATGTATGCTCTAGGTGGAAACTTGCACTCATCAAGCCCATCTTTTACACATGCAAGCCACTCCTCCAGTAATTCTCTCTCCTTTTGTTCAACTCTATCATCAGTTACTTCAATCTCCAAGCTTTCATTTTCACGTTCTTGAATGGCTTCACGATTCAGTGTGTCCACCTTTGTCAATAACATTATCACAGGGACTGAGTAGATGCTCAGTCACATGACAAGCTATACATGACCAAAAATAATTACCATATCCTGTGTCACATTCATTAAAGAATTTTTTCTCAGCAGCAGTTACTGTCCTATTGCATTCTGTCATTGGGATACAATACCTAGATTTATCTGTTATCCCAGCCCACAGCCATCCACAATACGGCCCTTACCAAATTGCATGGATCCACTTCTTCAGCCTCATTTCCACTGCTCACTCAATCACAAAGTTCTTCATCTCATCAAACTGCTTTGTGGACCCAGCTTCAAAACCGCAGGAATCATGAAAAACAAAGCCTGGGTTACTCTGAAACACGAACTGATGCTTAATACTATGGTATCCACACTGGAGTACTCAGTTTCAACCTCAGTTTTCAAGGGTCAAAATGGCATCTTACTGTCGAAGTGCCTTGCACAACAACACCATGAATCTGAGAATTGTCAGATAAGTGTAACTGACCCTAAACATAAGACTGTACCTTGTTTCCTTCCTCATCAAAAACCTCTGGTAGCTCTGTAGAGCCGCAGACCCTTTGAAGGATGGTAGTTTTACCTGCATTTGCTCTGCCTAAAACCAGAATTCAAAATTGCTCAATATTGTTCATGTACTCTTTAGCCTTTTCAGAGTCAAGACGATATCCAAGGTTTAGAAGTTGCTGTTGGTGCAACTTGGTATTAGAAAGTTTGGATTTCCACCAGATGTGACGAACACACCAAGTGCAGTATCTTCCATCTCAGCCGGAACACGATTGCTAGTAGCTGTATTCCCACCCTAAGTACCTCATATTGTCATAAACTAAGACAATCGTACCTGCAACCATAGGTTCAGTGGCACCAGGAGCGATATCAATTACATCGCTTCCGCCGAAGCGACGAGAACCACTACTGCTTGCAAGCGGGTTCCGCAACTCGAGCCACTCTTCGACACGATCAGGAGCCATGTAAATGATTGTTTAGACCTAGTAGCGTAGAGAAAAAAGCGTCTCGGGGATCAATATGAAGTCGTCGTCGTCGTAGTGGTGAGGCAAAGGGCTGTCGCAAACGCGAAGCTCATCGCCACTTTTCCCACGGGAGAATGTGTTGGGTCCTTTGGAGACAGGCATCTTGGCGCGCAGAACAACGGTCACTGTCAATCCGATTTGCCTACTAGGAAATTGACTATGCCCGTTTTCATGTCATTCCAAAGCCTTCTGCGAGTGACAATAACTCAAAGCCCGGTTATTAACTCACGGACGACTTGACGACCCCGCACGAGGATCCGGTCAACAGCCTGGGTAAATTGTAGTGGAAGTGTTTAGCTCGGTGCTAGATCCAAACCATCGTATGTATGTTCGTTGAACTTGTACTATGGTATCCAACCCTATACTTGAAGTCAGGATCATGAGGCACAGTGACGCTAGGACTCCGTATAGTATACAGTAATTTTCTAGACCGCCTTTTTGTCCCTCCAAGAGAACCAGACCATTGACTCAGATCGCCCAGTAGCGCAAGCACCGTAGCTCCACCCTCCTCCGTACCTGCATCCATGCGACTAGGCCCATCTTCAGCGATCCACGTAAGCCTCTGCAAATCCAGCCACACCGTACACGCAAGATGATGTACCCCCCCAAGACACAAACTCCTATCTATGAGACATACTTATCTGCCGGCGTCGCCTCAAGGTACACCCCCTGACATCCGGAAAAGCTGGTTCAGTGTTTTTCCCGGGCCACTCCAAGCCACGGCAGACGACCCACTGCAGGCGAAGACGAACCGTCCTCACAACTACCAGCACCGACACCGCCGGTCAGTCATGCCTGTACGGCGCCTGAATCATCTCCGGCTTCGCATTACACAACTCGGCGGTAGTCACTCGAGTAACGCACGGCCAGAGGTGGAAGCGGAAGTGCGCCGCGACGGGGTGGGCGAAAGACTCAGTGGTGCATAGCAAGATGTACGTCTGCGAGACAAATTCCAGGTCATTCTGAGGGGTGAGCAGGGGAAGCGGAGGGGCAGTTGTCGCTTCAGTACGGTGAGCGGAGATGGAGGGTTCAGTAACCACCCGCCCAACTTCTCCATGGCCTCATCACCGGAGTACTGCTGACGATTCTATTCTAGATGCTCCGCTGCCGACACCATGAGCCGAGTCCCCAGTGGCTTCAGCACACTGCACGACACGTGAAAACGTAGCAATGGGGCTCACGGGACGCCCACCTCTGAGGCTAGTCTTCGCCCCTTCTGGTATCTCGGGGGCGCCAATACCTGAGAGTGTAAGATCCGTGCTACGAGAGATGCTTTCCGTAGTGATGTGCAGTGGTAGACATCCGGATTGGTGCGGATGGCGCACTGGAAGAAAGGTCTAAGAATGTCAGTAGTATATTCTAGACATTCATTGCACGTACAATTTCAGTTTAACGTCGGGCTGGTTGGTTCTCTTTTGGAGCATCCTCTCCAACGCACTGCCCCTTTTTTTCCTGAAATGGACAGACATGCATCATCGGCTAATATGCGCGTTTGAGCGGCTGATCAATCGATTATCACTGAGACCAACTCTCATGTCCTACGTGCGTTCATCCCAAAGCTGGCCTTGCTCAGTCGACTCAATGTATACAGTACGCCCCCAACTACGCACCCGGCTACGGCACAGGCGGATATGCCGCTGGTGGTCCTCCTCCCGTGCCCGGCGCTGATCCTGCGTGCGTCTACCATTTCTCCTAGAAAATTTTGGTTGTCTAATATGTATTTCCATAATGGAACAGTTTGTGGGCTCGATTCAACTCTGTAGACACCAACCGCAACGGAGCGATCACAGCCACGGAACTTCGTGCGTTGCGATCCCTTCCTCTGGAGTTTCGATCGTCCAGAATGGCTGAATCCGAATTTCAGAAAGCGCACTTGCTAATGCCGACTTCACCCGTAGGTGTTTCCTGTCTCTGTTGTATTCTTTTTTCCATGGACTGACTGCTGGTTGTACAGCTTTTGATCTCGATACCATCAAGCTTCTCATGAACTTCTTTGTTGAGGCCCTCAATCGTCTTATCAAAGTTTCGAATACTGATGACTTGGCAACAGGATCACGATAGGGATGGAATGATTGGATTTGAAGAAGTAAGACATTGCCATTGCCTATCTTGTGTATACCGACCTTGCTGATCATCGAGCACCTCTGAATCCTGCTGTCTCACAGTTCCAGCGTCTTTCCAGGTACATCAAGGCACGCACGATAGTACTCCTGTCACTGCTGAATTTACTAATCGGGTATGCACCACACACAGGACTGGCAGAATGTGTTCAGGCACTTCGATCGGGATCGCTCTGGCACGATTGATGGTTCCGAGCTGCGCAACGCACTCTCCCGGTTTGGGTCAGTCACCGCCGCCTTTTTTTAACGATACGTAGGTCAAGTCAAACTAACCACCCTGCCTCCATTAGCTATAACCTTAGCCCACGCCTCCTACAGCTTGTCCAGAAGAAATACGGTACGTTTTCTATCCGGTCGATATGCGGTTCGTTATCCATTAATACAACTGACGTGGATTGGTCTCTCCTGAAAAGCTACTGCAACTAATCCCGATTATCGCGGCATCATTCCAACTGGCATCTCGTTCGACCGCTTCGTTCGCGCCTGTGTCGTGGTCAAACAGCTCACGGAGACATTCCAGAGGTTGGATATCGACAACGATGGGTGGATTCAGATCGATTATGACCAATTCATGGCTACGGTACTCAGTCTTCCTTGAACGTGTAAACTGCGCTGTAATGTTGCAGAACGATTATCGAGAACCCATGTACTATATAGTATGTCTGCAGAAGCAGGATGCCGAATGTAACTACAACTTTAGTGTAACGAGTAGGTCGATGTGAACTTTGAAAGCGCGTCTAGACTACGTACTTCGAATGAGTTCAATATTTGATGCCTAGAATGGGCGTTCGGCGGCATGTTGATACATATTACACTCTACAACAGTAGTACATAAACTAGGACGCCAACGAACTGGGGGTATACTGCTGGTGGGCTGACTCAAAACATGCGCAATGCGCTTGGTTGCGTGACAGAAAATGCGTCTCCGCGAGGACGTCCAAGTAACGGATCGTGGATTTTGGTGCTTGGAGGTTGCGCTCTCGGACTCGAGAGATATTCTATTCGAAGTTCCTGTGCATTCCAAAGCTCGTTAATTTGTTGTGGGCGATCCAGATGCACCACATGTCCTTGCCTCAAAAGACCGCTTCTCACATGCTGGTGCAGCAGTTATGCTCATGAAAAACTCGGGCGAGCCGGGGTTGATAGTGGTCGTCAAATATGCCGTCGCTGGCGAATCATTTGCATAGAAACCTGACGTCCGTGTAGAAGAAGCAGCTAGAGTTGAAGGAGGGGCGACCTTGTTGCCCGCGGCGTAGGCGTTACATCGTAGCTCCTGTTCACCCACGACGGGTATACCGATTGTTAGTTAGGGAGTGTGGTAAAATTGAATGCATATATTTCTCCCCCATATCCTGGGGGGCGGGGAGGGGATGATCAAGAGCCTAACATTATTACCAACCTCGTGCGAAAAGTGACTATAGAGGGGTTGTGCAGATATGCATTGGAAGCTTTCGTCTACAGATTTGAAGGGCTCGAACGCGTGCATAGCTGGAAGATCGGCAGGGAGACGTGTGGCACTGGTGTCGTATGTAGTGGGGACAGCCACAGGCACGAACAGAGGTGGGAGGCCCATGGCTGAACGGGCGGTGGATGCAGCGGGAACCTGTGGACATGGTGCGGGTGGACGGTTTGTTGCGATATAGGCTTGGAGATAGTCCTGGATTCGTTGTTCCTGTGTCCCATTGTCAGTTGTGCCCTGAGCAGGTGAAAAATGCTCACCTCGAAGCTGATGTCGGGTGTCCGTGTGAGAGACACGCCGATGCTCATGAAAAGCTCCTGGCCACTTGACATGGGGTCAGCCTGTGTGTTGCCCTGTCCATCGTCGACGGCGGCGATCCAGGCCTGTGTCACAGCCAGTCACGCACAAGGCCATGTCACGCTCGGCCTGCTCAGCTGCTTCATGGCACACCAGTGCATTGACTGGTCGCACAATCCGCCAGCCAGGAAATTAGACGTGCTCGTCCTGAGTCATGGAGATACACACGTCTACACGATCGTCCCAAAGCTGTTCAAGGCGAGGCTGATGCTCCTCCCAGTCAACCAAGCAGTAGTACTAATCGTTGCTAACTGTGTCCGCTTGGCATCGGCCCGCAGGACCTCGACAGGCTCGCCAGAGAAGAGTTTAGTCTACCAGACGATGCAGACATCGAATTCCGCTCTTCATGCATCAATCTGTGCAGCGTTGGCATCCCCGCACGCATTGGGGAACACGTTTGGGAATATATCAGTTCGTTCATCGGATGCATTTCTGTCATCGCACGAGGGCCGACCGGGAAGTGTGCAAAGGAGTCAGGTTCGTACTATATTAGTACATCTTTCGGGCGGATCGTGTGACGAGGGCGTCGATGGTCGGTCGATTGATTCACGTCTTATTAGAAGCCATGTCCCACCCCTCCCCGCCGCCTGCGGAGCAGTCTGTCAACGTCCCCATGCACGATGGGTATTCCAAACTACCTATGGACGGGAACGAAGGATACGATGATGTATATCCAACCGCTGGCAGTGGAGGAGCACAAGATGACATGGATCTACTCCTCGATGAAAGCAATATCGAGAAAAGAGAAGAAATCAGAAACGGAAAACGTCGTGTAGCTAGCCCGGTTGAGAACTCGAAGACGACGGACGACGAAAAGGATGCACATGGTACTGGGTTCGTTTTGAAAAAGCGTCGATCCCGACAATTGTTAGAGAATGTCCCAGAAAGCGAAGACGAAGAGCCAGCGTCGAGACGACGCAGGATTTTCAGAGCTAGCCAGGAGGAGACCAGTCCGTCCAGTAGCGACCAGTTCGGGATGAAAGAACACTACACAAGAAGTAAACATCGGGCGCCGAGGTCCCCAACCAAACCGCGTACGCCTTTGCATTCTTCCTGATTGTCCAGAGCCAATCGTACTGGTCAGGGCGCGGAACTGCTGAGGAACATGAGTCCACGAATAGCATGAGGTTTGACAGCCAGAAGGGAGCGGCTTCGCAGTCGCGAAGTAAGGCTGTCTCATGCTATCTATAGGGAATATTCGACTCAGTGTGTGCATCTGACAGGCAGGTCCGTAAAAGATGATAAAACAATTGTGAATACACCGTCTACAACTGCATACAGAGGATTAGAACCGGAACCAGGTACGTCTCTTGCATTCTCAGCGACGTAATTTTTTGCAGGAAGTTTACGCTGATAATTAGTGTTCACCCAACCAACACGAGGAACGCAACAAGAGGGACAGGAACGGATGTATATTATTGTTGCACATCGCCCTTCGAAGCAGGAATCCAAGTTTGCTGTCAAGGGCTCGACCAAAGTGTCGAAAGTCATCTCGAGTGTGTGCAAGTCCTTTAGCTTGCATGCCGCGCAGTAAGTAAAAGTTTACTTGATGGACAAGTGTTGTAAACTGACGCTATTTCACGCAGGGCCAGGCTGTTCCTTATTGTAGATACGACTGACGACGATGGAATCATGGAAAATCTATTCCCGTGTGATGTGGACGATTCGATGACGAGGGCTGGCGCGGAACCCAGCGGCGAGTCCAAGTTTTTACTGACGCTCCCTGATGATCCATGATCACGTGAAGCGGTACCATGGACGTTCCACTGATGCCGATGTTGACGCTTGGGCAGTGCGCGCAGCGCAGTGCCAAAGATATGTATCCCCCCCTGTGTTGGTGTTCCGTATATCTGGCTGCCGATCATTGTAATCTATTATCAAGTTAACAAATACTGTCTATTGTGTTCCCTGTCCCGCCAGGCCAAGCATCTCGAGTACAGCATACACAATGTTCTTGATGTTGCGGCTTTCCGAGGCAGGCAAATCAGCGACAATGCGCATATCCCCATGCGAATGTTCCAACGACGTATGGTTGCCGTAAGCTACGTATGGTGGCGTGAACAAGTCGTGCTGGTTATTTTCATCACCTTAGCAAGCTCAACGCCTAGATGCATTGTGATGCGTAGGTTCAGTATCGTCCTGAGAGTGGGTGTAAATTAGATGTCATTGTCGTCATTGTCATCTATGGCTTTTCTATGTCACTTCGTCCGTGAATGCCCATCACATAGCATGGCAATTGGAGGTGCCATAGCACAGTTACCACATGGTAGCAAGGAAATCCAGATGGTTCTCGAAAGAGAACTACCCTCACTTAAGGGCTGGTCGCCCCTGGGGGTGTGCATCACGTCGCAGGCCTTAAATCTTAAAAGCTGGGCAGGAAGCTTCCTCCCAACCTCTTGTCTTGTTCCCAACCCGTGTATACCAGACTTGGGATGGGTCACCCTTAGCACTGTGAGCATCATGCCTCGTCAGTTGGCCCACTGGGGTAAGGGCAACTCCTGTCATTGGTAGTTCTACTGGTAGCTACCTAAATGGCTTGGGATAGGCAGTGGTTGGAGTGGCAGTAGCCCCCTGATGAGAGCTTTCGCAGGCTCGAAACTGCTGCGCTCTCCCTCCCCTTTACCTACCTCTATGCTTACTGTACACGGCCCTGACCCTCAGGGAGGGGTGACTGACGGAGGTAGTAAGTAGATAGACAGCCCCAATAAGACTCCCTAGCACATAGATGTAAAACTACCCCCCTTTAGGGGGTAGTTGGTTAGTAATGTAGCAAGGACCCTTTTCAGCACCACCCTAGGAAGACTATGTATTCCTGCCAGAGAACAGTAAAAACAGAGTAAAGATGAGATACACTGTATGTACATCGGCCCAGCTGTCATTCAATCGAAGGCACCATTTCCAATGCGCTGAGCAATGTCGTACCCGGTTGCAAGATGAGATAGTCTTGCATCCACTACGTAGCCCTGTCGCGAATGAGGAAATGCTCTTCGTGCTGCGAAGACCACACACTCACTTTCTCATCGTATTCTGCGGACAAGATTATAAGGGGAACGGACATCGGAAAAGCTGAGTCTAGCATGGTATACACGTACCCTTTAACGTAGTATTCAACTTGTCAAGTGCAATGACCCGCTTCACGATATGCTCGCCCACGTCCAGCTTCGAATCTGGCATTTCGAGCTGGTCATTCATTGGCACGCTGGCCACTACAAGCTTCATGTTCGCGTTCGACATTCCTATGGCCCAAAAGTGAGCGAAGAGCGCCCACATTGCCCAACAACTCCAGTGCTCCCCATACGATGGCCTACCTGGATCTGAGAAGATGATAGGGGATGATTCCGTGACCTTCTCAGCCTTGTAGCCTGTCTCCTCTTCCAGTTCACGGACCGCAGCTTGTTCTGCTGTCTCGTTTTTGTCGATTAAACCTGTAGGACAAAGCAAGTGTTCGGGTGATTCAAGGATGGCAGGTATGCGCCACAAACCCGCGGGGAGCTCTTTTCACAACGTCGGCGGGTGAGAGATGTTCTGTGCGACTTAAATGCCTTCAAACACACCTATAACGAACTTGTCAACTGCAGGTCGGTACTGTTCGATGACGACTGTCGATAACGGAAACGCATTTGTCTTGGAACGCAGAATCGCAAGAATGGCAACCGCTGAGGACCATAAGCTGACGGAAACTAAGGTGATAGTTATCTACACAACGCACCGTCTACACCGGACGCACCGCGTGTTCTACGTTCTGCACTCTCCCAGACGCGCTGAGCGTGGTATCAGGTAGTGCGATGGAGCGTCACCAGAACGCTAAGCGGATGGTACTACATATCGCAGTGGGGTGAAACGCACTCACCTTCTTCCCGTCTTGATCAATGTAGTGTATCTTCTTCAATCCGATCCATCTGATAGACGGGGAATGAGATTTAGTTAGTGATCGCGCTGGCGTATGTACTTTGCTTGATCAGTGTCCAGTGGGGTAACTTCGATGACCTTTGGCTCGAGTGGCATCTTGGAGGGAACAAAATTGGCGGCAGACAGTCTCAGATTAGGTTTCTGTAGTGAGTATGTTGGAACGGTCCTCAGGCGGTTGTTGGACGACAGCCCCCGGGAGCCTGCCAGCCACATGATAATTAATGTGTGGTCATCAACTAACGGCTTTACATTTACAAACTAGATGAACTTTTGAAACCGTCGTCTTCGTAAACGAATGTCCAGGAACCTTGGATACCTTGTTCTTTTGAATGCAGACTCGCCAATTTGGCCCCTCAACGTTGCCCAGCGACCGATGTACTGTCGACAAGAATTTCCTTGTTCTTGATGCAGTGGTCTCCTCCGGAGCGGGATCCTACAAAGACCTTCAAATACTACTCATGCCCCGCTATCAGCCGACATTGAAAAATGCTCTGCGCGCTCTTTGGTCCGTCGATATTCTGCCGCACCCCGCAAGAACACTTGGAGAGCCAATGGAGGCGAAATACCCAACTACCACCCACACCTCCTGAGCGGTGAGCCTCCCGAGTTGAACCGTGCGGACAGTTTGTAGAGTTGACGACCCATGGTCCCTCTAGACACGTCCGTGTTTATTTATTCCTCGAGTGGCAAGAAGGACGCGATGATAAGGAGCTTCTCGACGGCCTGCTGTACTTAAAAGCAGACGTGCCGCTTGAACCTACGGGTAAACTCTCACTCCTGCGCATACGTGCGATGTGGGGCCTGGAGAACTGTATTGTGAGTCTTCTCGTCTTTTTCCGATCATCCACATTTTGTTTTGATGGCCCTGGCAATGGTTTAGCCAATAGACCAATATCGACGTATGGCTTTCAAAGCAGCCCACCCTCATTACCTGTCGCCCATTGCTATTGGGGTGCTCGCAGACGAAAACGGCGTGCTGAAGTTGTTTGGTGAGTGAAGACACGCCTGCGCTTTTCTCCCGATGTATGTAGCTGGGCCAACGTCTCAAATGGACATCTCCAGAACCTAGACCATCTGATTCCACCATCGCCATGCGGGAGAAGCGCATGCAGTATGTGAGGCGATACCAGGCAGAAACCACTTGGTTGTATGAAACCGCGATTCAAAAAGCGGACGAAGCTATCAGCAGTAAGAAAATGGTGCGTGACTCTTCTGGGCAATGTAGCGTTTGGCTTCCAAACGCCAAAAATGACCCTAATAAACAGTTCTTCGTGTTGGTTGTGTTGGTGATCTGTATGGTCGAGGCTCTGGTACGCTTCATGGACAGGTCGAACCAGTTGGAGACTTGCTTATGGACACCTTGGGCATTGTGGCCCGAATTCAAGAACGAGTATGCCCGCAGTCGTCTGATGGATGACCATGGTTTCTTTTATTGCATGGGACATTAGCTACCCTTTCACGTCATTCGCAACACTGCACGTTCCTGTCCTCATATCAACTGAACAGTTAGTCGTGTACGCTCCCTGTATTTTCTCCCCATGTTTTAGCGTTCCTAAATTAAATCATGGCCTTGTGCATGTACTGTCACCAGCAGCCGACATATTTGCTCATCAGTGTTACAGCTGTACCGGAGTACATGCATCCTGCCTACTTGGCTGAAGCTCGTTACCAAGTAGCCCTTCTATTTTTCAGCGAGTTTCGGGCGAGTAGAGAGGACCTGCGAAAACCCGAACAGTACGGGTAAGGTGCGCATCGTTGGCACAGGTTAAAGTCATGTCACACCGTACCCGTACCCCCCATACCGTGGCCAAGATACAGTCGTTATCCGTACCCGAGTACAACCCCACAGTAAGGCTGCCAATGCATGAATGATCGTTGCCTCCTTGCTGCTCATCCATGTTGTGCAGAGTACCGCTTCTGAAGTACGTGTATGGTCTATCGAGCTGACGAAGGTCGTCAATTCCCTCGGCTCCAGTGCGGCACAGTTGTATGAAGACGATGGTGACGGTGAATATTCATACTAAGCCTATAGCAATACAGAGAGGGCTGTTGATGATGAGATGCGGGTCTAAGTTACAGGATTAAGCATGGCGTACGATGAAACGTACTTAGAGATGCTTGTCACCCTCGAGGGTCAACGTCAGTGTGCCTCTTCAACCAACGCTCCACAACGCTCTGCATGGGACAAGCGCTCGACTCCGCATCCTTACCATCTTTTTTGTACATTTCGTCACAGCAGAGATACAAAGCCTTGACGAACTTGTCGCATCTGTCAGGGTGATATATGTTCGCAGACAGACAATTTTGCAATGTACACGCTGCACAGCAGAATGAATGAATACGGCAGTGTCTTTGGCCCGTTATGCCATTTGCTCGCCTTCGGCCTGGCAACGCGCCTGGCGAGACTTTAGAGGGAATGATCGTCAGCGTTCGGAACGTAGATGAGAAGGGGATTCAAGTCCGCACCATAGTTGTTGGTGAGTGCCGGTGAACACGTTGACAAAGACACGAAATGTGCCTATCTTACGTAACCGCACCCCGAACTTGCGCCAGGGTCCTTCCCGTTTTCGATCCACCCTGTGCCAAAAGCTCTCCGATATAGAAACTCCCGAAATCATGGTGGAACGGAGACTCAATGGAACCGTCAAAGTGTGATGGCCCCGAAACACGGTGTATACACGGTTCTCCTTATCAGGGCCTCTCGTATTTGATCTTGGGGACGCCAAATATACCAAACTACCCGCCGTGCGATTGCCGCGAGTTAAACAAGGATTTTCCGCTCCTTTCTAGATGAAACAAACCCGAAACGGGCGTTATAGGTTCGAATTCGCCATTGTACACGCACAAAAACACAAGTATTGGTACATATGGTGACAGAGGATGCACTGGCTTTCCAGCGACACCAAAGAAGAAAAAAGAAGATGCACAGTCACACAACGAGGGCGTGGAAATGTAGTGCCTGAAGTCTCTGTTGATTGACAGGGATGGTCAGCCAATGCCAGTAAGACTTGATCCACATACTTGTTGACTCCAATAGTTACACATGTTCACGGGATCGGTGCCAATAACGCGGTCGCGGCGCATGCGGCCATACATGTGCCCTGGGCCGCGTTACAAGCAAGGATCAGTGGGGGTGCTGCAGGAGCGGCGACCGTGCCAAAGGTGCATCCAGCCAGTGAGTAACAACCCACAGTAAGCATGTTGCACCCTGTAACAGGAAACACATCAAGCAATAGTAAGGAAGCGTAAGGCTCGGTGTTAGGGCAGTTTCAAGGACTCACCCGTTTGACAGGCAGCATAAGCCAGGGGGCCCGCCATTGCGACGGGTAACGTGCTGACAGCGAGGAGACTAAGCAGCTTGAAGTTCATGGTTGTCTGTTTGAAGGGACATCTTGGTTTAAGGCCGCCTTTTTATATGTAGGTTGCCATCGAGTCACGTCCCCACATCGCTTATCGCCATATTAAACCCTAAACATGGTGAGTGTCTCTGCACATACAGCAAGTACATGTGCAGCAATCTCAGAAAGTTCCGGAAAGCCAGGGTATATCCAGTGATTCGGTTACGCTAGCAGGGGTTTCCATTGCCTGCGAGGATGCGATATAGTGGACCATATTACACGTACAAGCTCATAGCGCATGTCGACCTGCTGTTCAGACGTGTACGTTTGTGACTCTGATGCCGCAGGTTATCAGGGGCTGCTATACAACAAAACCCTTATCGTGAAGGGTGTGATGAGGTTACTGATGCCCGATCAGGCGTCGCCATACTTGCCTTGCGCAGCAGGTCACTTGAACATTGTGATTCATTCACGGACACGAGGCTTGCCAGTATTTGTTTGTGTAAGCTTCGACTTTGTAAGGTTGCAAAGACATGCGTTCAATACTACGGTTGGGGAAACGCGAGCCCGCCGGGAGAACAATGTATCACCCAAGGGGGCCTAGGGACTCAAGAAATTTATCAGTTTGGCACAGAGGATAGGCGAATCGCGAACGTGAAGAGAATTAGCATGCAATTTGGTGAAGGTCATTCTCTTGCACATAGTGCCATCGAGTCATTCTCGTTGAAACTTGGATGATTGGCGGTTGCAGTGGCAACCAAATCAAGAAGGGCCTCAGAAGTGGGTCAACCACACGAACAGGGGCTTCATTGATCTTTCTTACCTGCGAGGATGCAAACACGTTCATAACGCAAGTTTTCGTATTTTTTTCCAAAGTGATCATCGATATCACGTCGTGTTGACCCGGGACATCGATCTGGTGTGATTAGTCGTTATCCGATTCGGGTTCGAATTTGGCACAGATAAACCAACACACACGCCTGCTCACAGGTTGTTCCGCTTCTTCATCCACCCCGCCATGCCCAAACGTGTACCCACACCCCCGCCAGGCGATGACGAGCCTAAGTACCTCTCCGTCGTCCATCCTTATGCCCGAGAAGGCTACTGCAACATGGAACTCCAGCAGGACAGGAAAGACTTCGCCTTCTGGGTTGCATGTTGCATCGACAAAGATGCCTTCTTCGCCATATTTCACAAACCTAGCGTAAGTATTCTGCTATCGATCCAGCTCGCGGTCGATCCCGCAATCACATATGATCGCCGTCGATAATGACGATGTTGATGTTTTACCCTCAGGCTCGCGATATGGTCATAATCGAAGTCAGTAGAGATTACCCGCATTTCGATCGGATTTTAGGGGAACACCGCTGGTCTGAGTTCTTGAACAAGCCCTCCGTGGAGGAAAAGGGCCGCGTAACTCAGGTATACTATTGCACCTACAGTACCGGTCGCATCGTTGAGAAGTACGGTAAGTTACTGGTTGTTCCCTTTCAATCTTGTGAACTACTCGGTGCAATGGATTCCAAATGACTACCCAGCCTTCCCGCTGCTTTCCTCCTCGTGTTCTGCATACACCAACTTACGTGTGTGACACCCCAGGCTGGAAACGCATTTTCGTGGAAGACTCGTGGTTCAGCGGTTGGTCGCCCAGGAACAGGTGAGAAAGTTCAACGTGTTTACACTACCTCGTTACCTCGTTGAGCACTCACCTTGTCACATCACTCTTGGGCCCGCCACGCAGCATCATTGCTTACCCCTACCCTGCTCCCCACTTCTGTGAAGTACCAGTCGAAGATGCCACGAACCATCCCTTGTGTAGGCCGCTTCCAGGGTCTAAGCCAGCTGCCCCCGAAATAGCAGCACCCAAGCCTAGTACGTGTTGCGATTTGGTGTTCGTACTGAGTTCTTGAACTGAATGAAACCATCCGGGTGCTCGCTTCTAGTTGTAGGATCTGCTGACTGGGCTACTTCAAGGGAGCGTCCAGCGACAAGGTCCGCGCCCGCCTGGAATACCATTGCTGCCAAAGGGTCAACCAACCAACAAGGTGCTCCGAAGCCGGCCGTGCCCCCTACAAATAGCAAGATAAAACAGCCTGCCAGCACTCCAGTAGGAAACAGCCGGGCCAAGGTTCCCGCTGTCGGGGGTGGTCCCCTCGTGGTTAAGGCCTCCAATGTTTGTAAGTTGTGTCTTGAACGTTCTTTGTATTCCATTGCGATACAAACTTTTTTTTCCATGCAGGGCGAGCTGATGTCGGGCAGGGTGTAAATCCTTCTAAAGTAGTCCCACTTAACTGGGAATGTTCGCCTGGAAGTTCTAGACAGGGCACTCCAGAGCAACGGGAGTCCGCGGCCTCAAGTTCATCTACGTTTGTCAACCAGCCTCCCACAGGTCTTCCTTCAAAAGAAAATGCCTGGAACACTGGCCATCCTGGTCTGGTTGTATCCGATCATCGCGGCAAAACCACAAAGCCCGTGTCTGCGCCGAGTGGTGCTCCATTCGTGCCCGATCGTACCACGAATGCGAGCTGCTCTTCTACCGGTTCCTCTCCCTCCGTGTCTACCCCCGATACCGAATCTGGTTGCAACGATGTCTGTAAAGACCCGCGCATAGTCCACATCCAGATATCAGAGAGCTTCGAAGAAGAATTCCATGGGATCGGCATCAGGGAAGGCGGTGAAATCAGTGATGACGATGAGTACCTTGCCGAACTCGACGCGGTTGCGCCCGGAAGTTTGGATACTGCCGCCGGCACGTGGGACGGTGTCGATCCGCAGCCTACTGGTAGTTGGGATGATGCCGCTGTGTCTCAGCAGGAACCACAAAAGAAAGAGGTGTGCAGTGTCCACGGCGTCATCTGTAAGAAAGGAATTTGCGCGGAGCATGGGAAGAAAAAAGCTGCTGCGAAGAGATTGCAAAAGGCTGAGGAGGCTGCGAAACAGAAGCAGGAAAAGACGGGTAAGAAGGGCAAAGCGCCCGCTGGCAATGGTGCCAGAAGCAGAGGTGGCGGACCTACTACCAGTGCCAACGCTCAGAACAGCCCATACCGCGGAGCGGGTGCTCCTGTAAAGAAAAATTGGCGCGGTGCTCCTCGTGCTATTGTCTCTCCCGCTGCTTTGGAGCAGAGAGAAGCGGCTACACAACCTGTTGAAAATGCCAATGGATGGGGCGATGATGAAGTTGACGCGGCTGATGGATCAGACGAACCGACTACGCAGAACACAGAGACGGCCTCTGATGTTGCCTCGAACGACGGCTGGAACGCGTCGGAGGCCAGTTATGACCCCTGGGCACCCACGAAGAAAGGAATGTCCTGGGCGGAGGAAGTGGAGGCTGCCAGTGCCGCTGGTAGCGATGGTGGAGGTCGTTCTGGTGTCCGAGCGAAGCGCGGTCGAGGTGCACGCCGCGGCAGGAAGTAATTCATTCGGACACTCCAGATACCCATCAATCATCGAGGACTCTCCAGTACCCTTTCTTCAAGCTGTATTACCATTCCGACTCTTTCACGAAAAGTCATCAAGTACCATACCATCGCCGATATGTATACATTGTCACTCGATATGTAGACTGAATTGAGATACGTGGCTGCGTTTTAATGAGAAATCGTTCGAGCACTCTACTTAGACTTCCACTCCGCGGCCCTCTTCTAGCTTGAACTTCCTTAATCCCTCTTGCACGTCCCATGGCACTTCCTCTTCCCAATGGCTGATCACTACAACCGCTTGATCGGGGCCGACACCACCTTCACGAAGGTATCGTCTTGCAGCGCGCACCATACTGTCATCCATGCCGCTCCAGACTTCATCCAACAACACAAGCTGGGGTCGACCAACTAAGGCACGCATCAGCAACACCACGCTCTGCTCGCCAGCCGACAGATCGACGAAATTGCGATTCGAAAACTCCTCATCCAACTTAGAGAGTAGTTGCCCACCTGCCATGCTGGTCGTATCTTGCCGCAAGGTCGGATATCTGGAAGAGCACAACGTCCACGAACTTGGGCCGCATCCAGAGAGAACCTCACGAACGCGATTGACGCGCCAACGAACGACGTCATCTGGTAGATTGCCTTCCAGGCCAATGCCTATGCCGTTTTTACCCCCTGGAACGAAGCCGCCATCAAAACCGGTACCGATGACCTCCCACACGGTCGTCTGTGGGCGCCGAGGATACGCATTCGCGAGTTCAGGGGATACAATGCCAATCAATGATCGAAGGTGAGGAGTGGATATCTTCGAGCGAGGCCTAGAGAAAAGCTCAAGATAGGATTCGCCACGTTGTGTGTATGACTGAGGGTGGTCGCCCGTGATAAGAGACATGAGGGTGGTCTTTCCTGATCCTGTGCCATAAGTTTTCCTTTAGCCATATTAGCTCATGCAGAAGTAAGTCGAATATCCTACCATTCGCCCCTTGAAGGTGCCACTGCTCTCCCTCGCGGATAGTCCAATTGATCGACTTTAGAACCTGCAAGAACATCCATTGTCTCGCTGCGTAGACTGAAGGGGGGGGGTTATGTACCTTGCGGGTATCGTACGTGACATTCACGTTTTTAAGGATAGCGACGGGCCGTCCGAGTTCTTTTCCCGCCTTGGGTATGCTAGATTGGGAGATGGAAGATCGGTTGGCTTCTGTTTGTGCTGCATCGCTGGCATGTTGAGCCAGGACAGTCTCCTTCTTGCCCGTGAGAAGTCTATTTTGTTGCACCAGTGCAATATGGGCGATCCATTCCGGTATGGGATCTTGCTTCCGTAAACCCATAATGATCCGGGGACTGCGAGTTTTGTGGAGGGATTCCAGGACCTGCAACAGAGTAGGTCTGTTGCTCGCGTCCAAGCCAGCTAGATGCATATGCTCAGTACGTGAACCTAAGAGGACGGGTGCCTACAAGGTCATACTTAGAGGTTCATCAAGAAGTAGCAGCTCTGGTTGGAACATAAGTGCTTTGACTATACGCGCTCTGCGCGTCTGCCCATTGGACAACGCCACCAACGGGAGATCCAACAACGGAACTAACCCCAACTCGGTTGTGAGGTTATCGAAGATGGCCTTCTTGACGCTTTCGGTAGAAAGTTCCTCGGGTGTTTTTGACTCGACGAGTGCTTTTGGTCGGATATTCAAGAAGTCGTACTCTCCAAACATGCTTTCTCGAAGCGTGATTCTATCTTCGTCCCTGACAGCCCCATAACGAGCAGTGTAATCGTAGAATGCGCCACCGGTGGACTGAGGTCTATGTGCAAAGGACACCAGTGCAACAGCGTTATGCGCATCCCGAGGTTGGTCGGAGAGAAAAGGGAAGAGTCCACCGGGAGGTGGAGGTGGAGGTGCCAATCTTAAATGACCTCGTAAAGTCTATTAGGACTACACTTTCGTGTCCACGTTTCGCGACCGTCGAGATATTACTAGCGTACATACCTGCAGGAGAGTAGTTTTCTGGTGAGACCCGCTTCCAATCACGGCCCAGCATTCGCCTTCTCTGACGGTCCAGTTGACATTCCGGAACACGGGCGCAGCAACGTTGGAGTCGCCGAATCGATAGATATTTGAGTCTACGATCCGTATGACGGCGCCGGTTTCGTCCTTCAATCGGTAACGATCAGAGTAAGACCTTTGACTCCGAGTCAGTCCAAAAGATCTGAAATCAACGTCTTTCAGTTGATGTCGAGACAGTTGACGGAGACTCGGAGTCCCGACGTGGCAGTGACATACCCTGGCCTCTTCTGCCTCAGGAAGATGTCGCCACGTCTTAGCACGCGCAATTCGGTCGCAAACATGGAATACGCTGCGACGACACTCCCCCGTGCAATATGCAAAACCGTCAATAGATTTTGAGGTTGCGAGCAAGGTTTCAAACTTCCCACTGTCAGCACTGAAACAGTACTGATGGCATGATGACTCGACCAACTTGTAACGTACTCTTGCCGACTAGCTTCTACTCATTGACAGTAGCTCATTAGAGACATGCGACATCTGATACGGGCTTGTGTATGAAGGGTAGAGCAAAGTACAGTTGATTCGCTCATAATGTATACCGACGGGACCACATCAAGCCTGATACAGTATCAGCAAAATACAATATGAAAAGTCACCCATAGTGTGACTTATGTGACAGTTCAATTTCGTGACCCATACACTGAGAGTAGGTTACAGTACGAGCAACAATTTCATCCAGTGAAATTGTATGTATCAAGGGAGGTTTGCTTAGCACGAAGAAATGTTTCCCGCCGAAGGTGTGATCGGAATATGTGAAGTTGCCTTGATAAGTCAAGTGACGATCCAGCATCCCCAAATACCATACATACACTCTCGAGTTCTCCACAGAGCACCAGAACACTCTTGCAAGTCACGGTGGGGCCTGAATCTTCCTCCTCTTCACTGTCTGAATCCACCTTGATCATGTCCCCACTCGCAGCAGCCAGTTCCTGACGAACAGAATCTGCAATTGCCTTATCAGTTAAGTCACCAGTGCCAGTACTGCTCGTCTCTCGTTCTTCAGCAGGGTCCACCAGCTCCTCCAGTGTGGACGGCTCAAATACATGATTCCGTTGCTGGAGATGCCTGACAGATGTCATTAGAGTTGTCTCGGCATTAGATAACTGGCCAGGGGGTGGTTTTGTGAGTGCAGGGATGTGAATTTTGAGGCCTGTGCAACAAGCAGCAGCATCAGCAAGTGGTTCAATGGCCTTCACAGCTATAGCAACATCTCCTTCAGCATCCATAACTGCCGTGAGAGCTGGATGCCAATCTGTGTCGACATAGGAATTCCCAAGGCAAGCTTCCAAACGAGCTTCTGCTTCGGGCAAGTTCATTTCTGTTGTCACAAATTCATGAATAATTTGCCACCCAGTGGAATCAGCATGAGCTGGACATGAACTTGATGTGGCTTGCATATTTGGGCTTTCTCTAGCATTGGTGTGAGAGTCAGCAACTTTGCAGATCTTGTTTGTGGGTAACAATGAACTCATGGCTGAATTTCTGTGTGGTCCCAACAGTGCTTGATAGTGTCTTGTGAGACAGCATTCCACGCAGACTTTGCCATTAGCATTGCTTCAAGGAGATCGATCTTGAAAATTTCTTGTGTGCCTGCTTCATCAAGTTCAACAGTGCGGGCACAAAAATTGCAGCGGTAAATAGCTTTGAAGCAACAAATAATTCCGGCATCACAAGGTTGTACAAAAGAGGTTAAATTTGGTTTGAAAAACTCAATCTTGATGTTTGTTGGCTCATAATTGATTTTATGGCCAGGGAAGTTGTCAATTGATAACAAAACATAATGGTTTTGCCGTTTCATTCTGAGGTCGAATTTCTTTACCCACCTTAATGAATAAATAGGAGTTTAATATATTTCAATTTTTGAATGATAAGGTAAGGGACTTACTCCTCAAATAATGCAGCTGTCATCCAAGCTTTCTTGTTGAACCAATAATAAAATCCCTGTTGCTCAGGGGTCAGGTTCTTGAAGCAGAGAGGCTTTCCAAATTTCCCAATAAAGAATGGCTCTAACTTTTCACTACCATCAGCATTGCAAGCAAGGCCGATTGTGAGGCAGAATTTTTCCTTCTTTTTGCCACTCATCTGCTTTGTGGCAAGACCTCAATCAGGTGGAGCACTGACAGTAGCTTCAAATCAGCAATTGGTCAGCAATAATTGAGTATGACTTACTAGGGGAAGAAACCAGTCTTGTCGAAGTTAAAGTGATCTCTTGGTGCAAACTTAGCCAATATTGGGTGAAATCAAGCCTGTTCTGCTTCAACTGCTTCTAAGTCAACTGAGCCAGCCTCACCATGCCTCCTGTGCTCTCAAAGATTGTATGCCTTGCAAAAAGATGGAATCCATCCTTCTCCAAGCAGCCTCTCGTTCTCTGGTACATTGAACTCCTTTTCAAACTTGGCTCGCTTTTCTCGAAGCATGGGCCCTGACACTGTCTCACCCCTGTTCTCCATATGGTAAACCCAAAGAATGAGGGCTCACTCTACATCTGGTCTGGTTACAATACAAGGGCGCTTTGAAGACAGTGCATTAGGATTGTGGTTAATACGAGCTTCTAATGTCTGTCAGCCATGGAGTTTACATGATAGAGTAGCTTGTGTGAAGATGAGAGCCCCTGACTTCAGGGTTTGAAAGTGCTCAACAACTTGCTTTTGTGGAAGAGCTGGGTGAGCATCAACATAAGCAAAGACAATCATCCAGTCACTGAGAGTGAGGTTTGACCATGTGGTGGACTGTGCCAGCTGAGCAGAAGTAGCAGGGCTTGGAGCAGCATCCAGTGCCTTTCTCGGCTTCTTCACAGGTTGGTTGTCCTGGTGGGGATTGTGGGCTCTTGGTTTGCACTTCTCAGAAGGCATCATTGATGTTAGTAATTACTGTAACCTTAACCTCAGATTGCATTCATTAAGTATCTGATTGCAGGACAATGTGTTGTTGGACAATGAGCTGTCCCATCCTGCCAAATTGGATATATCATAATGTATATTTCTCACACTGTTCCAATACAGTATACATTATCCAAAATTTTCCAGATTCCCTGCTGCCCACAATGGGACTGACGAAAAGTCAATACAATATGAGAATTATACATTACAACCTCTTGCATTATGAGCAAGTCAACTGTAGCTTAGAATTTCCGACGCGTCTGGCTTACTCGACCTAACCGTGCAACACCAACGTTGGAATATTGTTGCCCAATCGACGGGGCTCAACATGAATCGTCGTCATAGGCGTTGAACTTTGCATACGAGATCAATCGAAGTTCCGAATACGCGTAGACATTAGTAAAAGACTCACGATACACTCCTCAAACGGCACGCTAGAGTTGATGATGCCCTCGAAGACCATCTTTGCCACTATTTGAGGCAAGTGAACGGAAGGCGCAGCATCAATAGCATCTTGGATAACCTGCTGACTTCGGGAGGGGTCGTTTACGCTTTCTTCTGTGGCCTTGAAGCGAGCGGCTTCCCGGACGTACGCAGACCTACGAGGAGCGGTTGGACGTCGTCGAAACGTAGCCGGTCCTTTATCGCGTACCTCTCAGACAACAGTTGCAGTAGTTGTGAGTCTATCGTGTCCAACTCGTCCCGCACCTGATCGAGAGTCGAGCAACACGTTGTACCGTTTGGATACGTGATCGTTGGTTCACCCCATGGAATGGTCCTGTTGTCCTGCGATATGGGCAGGTCTGGCAGGGGGTAATAGTAACATGAAGCTGCAGACGTGGCACGGACAACGACGAGCCAGAGCTGGAGTGCACTGAGCAGGCAGAACGCGTAAAATGTGGTTGCCATCCGAGGACCACTCCCGAATAATTGATTAAAACTTATACCGCATCAACTATTATCGCCTAAGAGCTTTGCCTATACCTTACAGCATGTTCAATTGCGTCTTGGCAACATGTTGTATCGCAGGTACCTCCTCTCCGCTACGACGTGTCGCTGAGACGCGCCTCGATGGGACGACGCAATAGTCCAGAAGGTAAACAACCTCCCTCAACCTCCCGGGATAGAGGTAAGTAGAATTATCCAAATCTTAACCAGCGAAGCACCAGCTCATCGATCATCATCAAGACATGGAATTCCGGGTTTTCCCTGAACAGTGTCGTGTCTATGAAGCAATAGTAGCTTGCCGCGTTGCATGATCAGTACTACGGCATGCAGGCCTCCTGATTCAAGCTTATTGACACATGGACACCCGTGATTGGGAATTGCTGGCCTAAAGGCAAGGGACAGAACCGATGTGTAGGTTAACTTCGGCTCCCTGGTTTTTCATCCTTCGAGTGGTATCATGATTTCTAACCAGCGCCTGTCCGCGATGACGACGAAGGTTCGTCTGCGGCAGATTATATCTTACGTGCGGCTCCCATACAGCGTTCCCACATCACTGCGTTGGCTCTCCCTTGCTTCCCCCTCTGGTCCTGCGAGTTGTTCTCTCCTCATCAAACACTATTCTACCTCCTTCCATACTTCGGCAACTCTCTCAAGTTCCAGGGTCCGGAAAGCCCAGCTGGGACCAGACATCGTTCTGAACGAGGACTTCGCTCTTCCAGTTAATGCTGATCTTTATGCGCCATTACCAGAAGAGCTAGAATTTCTTAAAGCTACGACCGGCATCGAGGACGAAGAAGCGTTGAAAGCGCACGTCCTGACGGTGCAGCAGCAGGCGTACAAGGTGGTTTAGTCCACCATATTTCTTCGTGAGACTGACCCTTATGGAGGTGGCACCATATCCTTGCATCTACACTTATTGTTTCGTCAAGTTCGCGACTTTGTCCCGTTCTGTTGTCGATGCGCTCACACACATATCAGAACCCCATCGACAATGCAATCCGTTTACCAAGACATCCTCAAGATTGGTCGCGAATGCGAGAATGCAGTACTCTTAGACGTAGGAAGTGGTAGTGAGCAGTGTCTCTTTGCAACTAGGTAACAGCCCCTAACATAGCAAGCAGTGGGGCCTGACTGTAGGAAATTCGCATTGGATGGATTTCCAGCAAAGAACATAGTTGCAACAGATCTCGTCGAAGGCAGGGTCAAATCAATGCCCTAAATTTTGCATTCACGAAGCTGCCTCATCAACAGAATTTCTCGATCTTGGCCATGTCCTATTCAAGACTACCAAGGAAACATTCCCCGCAAATTTCGTAGCAGGAGATGCGTTTAATCCTGCCTTTCTCTCGATCGCGCAACCAGCTCGAGGGGCGGTGCAAACGCCCCGGCCAGACCTAACAACGTTGACATCACTCAATCCACTCCATGGACACTGTTCAGTTATCAATGCAACTGGCTTCTTCCACCTATTCAATGAAGAGCAACAGGTACACTTGGCTCGCGCTGTTGCGGGCTTACTGTCTCCCGAACCTGGTTCCCTTATTTGTGGCTTAGACTTTGCGGCGAAAGAAAAAGGATTGGTTGAATTTGACATCGACGGAATCAAAAAGTACCGTCTTTTGTCCCATTCCCCAGAAAGTTGGATGAAATTGTGGTACGAAAACGTCTTCTCTGAGAGGGGAGAGGTGGAGGTTCAAGCAAATTATACGGAAATAGAGGTCCTGGGGAAACCAATTCCGTGTTTGCTTTGGTACGTCAGGAGGCTCTAGACAGAATATCCAGGATATGTACAATAGTACCCTAGTTCCTGAGGAACGTGACCACCTTGGCAGTCTGGAAATTTATTGATCTCCCTGTCACAAGCCAAGGCCGAACACTGCTAGCGCTGCGGTGAGGAGTGTCCGTGTGGTGCACAGCCTAACCAATTCTATCCCACAGCTCGCTGCGACGTTTACTTGCCACCTACGGAAAAAATGAATTCACTTTCGGCGTAGGGGACGCCGGCCACTCGTATTTTCTTCGAATGTAAGTTACCCTGCAATCGACATGTCCTCCCCAGTCATTCCCTCGACCGCTGGCATCAGCTCCCAAACTCAGGCCCACGTTTCCTCAACAACAACCCTCTCTTCGGGAGCGATCGCGGGTATCGTGATAGGGTCATCCTTCGCGTTCGCCATCCTCGTATGTTTCGCCATCTTCCTCGTGCGGCGGCGGCAACTACGCCGTGCTGGCTTCGAGAGAGTGGACAACCCTCGTCAGCTCCATGGATTACGTGCATATTCCGGAGACCTTGGTCACACCGGTGTTTGTAGAGCCATTGGGGATGCTGAGCGGTTTGGGAAGCACGGGCAACAGTCTTTTGGGTCGATAGAGCCGCTGCTGAGTCGTGGCACTGGTCAGCGCCAACAGCCCTACCCTTCGCCGCGAGCTCAGTCATTTAGCTCCACTTTTCGGCCGGTAGGCGAGCATTTGGATCCTGCGCTGTTCGGCGACGAGCGGGATGTATTTGATCCGTATGCAGAGATCGACGGGCCTGTTATACGCGCTGAGGTGGCTGGTCGTAGTAATATCGTTGTTCCCAGCGCTCCTCCTACGGTCCATTGGGAACCATTTCGTAGGAGCTATTCTTCGCACTCCAGGCCGGCAAGCGGTGATCAAACGGATCATGGAATGGAAATAGTGGATAGGACAGCTGCCGATACCATGTCTCACAAACCACTCTTTATCAACCGGACACTCAGAACCCACTCAGATGTACCGTTGTCGTCTACTCGGGCTTTCGGTATGCATACCGACGTGGAAATGGCATTATCATTTCACTCAACTTACTTTCAGATCACGCGATGCAGACGAGGTCGGCTGTTAATGCGGACTCTTCTGTTCCCGGAAATCATCCAGCACGCTCCTCAATTCAAAATACCCAAAGTAGTCGTGGATCTGGCTCAGAAAGAAAGGAATCCAGCGTACCCGTAGAGCTAATAAATACCCAGTCACCTACGCGCCTCGAAACGCCTCCGAAAGAGGCTATTTCCACGGAAGCAACGGCGCGGTCTCCCAGCAACCGATATCCACCTCGCAAGCGCACCGCGTCCCCAGCTGTTCTTCCGCCAGTTGCAGAGACACCTGATCTGTCGCAAATACTTGACCTGGTGGATTCTAGACCGCTTACAGATTCTGAATCACGTCGTGACAGTCTCCGCGAGCGTAGCTCCTCGACATTCGTTAATCTGTCTCACGATACGACCTCCCGCCCGTCCTCTGTAGCAATCGACGAAAACCAGCCCATACCCCTGCTCGCATCCACGTCATTTGGGAAAGGAACCCCGACGTCCTCACTTTCATCTAATGTTGGCTGGAATACCAATTCGAGCTCGTCGCGGTACCCCTCCATCGCATTTTCGAGTGTCGGGCAGTGTTCAGGATCTATCCCACACTCCGGTGGATATACTGATTGGCACCATCCTCCTACTGGTCTGGCCGGTCTCAAAGACCTTCAGATGGAACCGCTACGTAATCCGCACTCTCCCGTGGAGGGCTCTGCGCCGCCGCTCCCGGCACCGTCCGTTGCTACGTCAGCTCCTGGTGCGCCGGATACATTGGAAAGGGGTGACACAGATAAGCGTGCACATCTCCGCCAGGGTACATCAAGCTCGGTTCCCGAGATACGAAGACGCTCCGTATCACAGGGTGGTATTGTGCACATTGATGTTGCGTTATGAAGATACCAACCATGGAAGGACTCATCCGTGAGTTATGCTGTATTTAGAATCTTTCCTCACTCCCATGGACTCATGTAATTTGAGACGCACATATTTCACATGACCGCGATAAGATTATAATGTTAGTTTCTTTGTATTTTTCGACGAATCATGGACTTGTGATGGACTTACGGACTATGTCATGACGTGGGTAGTCAAGCAGTTGTCCACTGGGCAAGTTCCCTATCGTAAATATAAATAGTATCGCACCACACGAGACAAACCTCTTCCTCGATTTTCCGGAATTCATCCGTGGAAAGACTGTTACATGTTCCATTACACTACTGGGGTGTACGTCTTTGTTGAAGGTGTTTACTTCATCTCCAGGGTTCCCTGCAGCTGATCGGCCCACATTCATCATACGCTGATACGGTGCTTGCTCGGGAAGGTGGGGTGCGGATTGGTGTCGCTGACGTCACAGGTATTAGCCGGGCCGGCGGCGGGCCGCTGAGAAGCAATTATTTATCACCCCCAGACCCCGTTTTCCCCCCCACCGATCAAATCTACTGTCTCCTAACCACCTAACGCATTCCATTCTAACTTCGATGTCTTTTGGAAAGGTTATCACTCTCAACACCGGCCGCAAAATTCCTCAGGTCGGTTTCGGAACGTGGCTCTCGAAACCAAATGAAGTCGGGAACGCCGTACGTACTTGTTTATAGCTGCCAACTTGACGCTAGGGGACAAAGCTTAAAGACTGTACTACCACAATGGTATAATCACAGGTCGAAATCGCAGTTCGCTCTGGCTACCGTCATCTGGACCTCGCCAGAGTTTACGGGAACCAGGATGAAATCGGTCGGGCTCTGAAGAAAGTGATTCCCTCCGTCGTTAGCCGCGAGGATCTCTTTATCACTTCCAAACTTTGGAACTCGGCACACCAGCCCAACCAAGTCGAGGCTGCTCTCGATGAAACACTTCAACAGCTTGGCGTCGACTACCTCGACCTTTACTGTGCGTCGCTGTTCACATGCGTGCTAGATAACGTTGACATCGCTGCTCGTTAATCTAGTGGTTCACTGGCCGGTCGCTTTCGAACCCGGCCGTGGTCTCTTCCCTACCGAAGGGGATATGGCACGTCTGGATATGGAGACTTCTCTCGTTGACACCTGGAATGCCATGATCAAACTCGTGGACACTGGCAAGGTGCGGCAACATTCAAACAACCTCGAACCACCGGCCACCATTCTAATGACGCTCCGTTCCCTTTACATAACAGGTCAAGAATATTGGCGTCTCGAACTTCACAATCCCGCAATTGCAAGGTATCATTGACACTACTGGTGTTGTTCCTGTAAGCGCGTTTTATTTCTTCGCAGCCAGTATTTGTAATGATGACACTGGAAAATACAGGCGGTGAACCAGATCGAGGCCCACCCACACCTACTTCAAGACGATCTCGTAGCGTATTGCAAAGAAAAGAATATTCACCTGACCGCCTACAGCCCGCTAGGAAACAATCGTACGTACTTGTTGAATTCTCAGGAAATGTGGCGCATGTTGGTTATCGGTTGTTAGTGATTGGCCTCCCACTGCTGACGGAGCACCCAATCGTGAAAGAGGTAGCCGAAAAGCTGGATGCCACTCCCGCTCAGGTTCTAATTGCCTGGTGTGTTTACCGGGGGTATTCTGTCATCCCAAAGAGTGTTCACGAGGGTTCGTTGGGAACCTATACCGATGTGGAAGCAAGTGGTGCTGACTCTGGTTTTTTACAGAAGCGCATCGTCTCGAATTTCCACCAAGTTAAGTTAGACAAGGAAGATTACGAAAAGATCACTTCGATTGGGGTGAAAGACCATAAGAGGTCAGTTTTCCCTACCGCTTTCTAGTGACAGCGATCTTAAGTAGCACTCTGGGTACTTTTTCGCAAACAGGTTTAACATCCCCATTACATACAGTCCGAAGTGGGACATTAATGTTTTCGATGAACCGATAGAGAAGACGGCGACCCACGAAGTCAAAATCGTGTAGAGGACCAAGGGTTAGTCGAATAGAGCAAGTACTTCAAAGTCTGGAGGTTGTTGTGGAATGTGTGCATATGGGCTCCTCAGGGTCCTTGTACTTTATTTAGGAACGCGATGTGAGCCAATACGAAAGCCTCGTTGAGTATGTACGTACTTGAGTGACTATGGTTAGTTCCGTACCCTTCCACTGTGGTATGAGTTGAAATGTTTCAGGAACACTGCATCAGGGTGTAACATTCACGAAACGATTCAAATTCAACCTTCGTCGAGTGGAAGCCTGTAACATTCACGAAACGATTCAAATTCAACCTTCGTCGAGTGGAAGCCTGTAACATTCACGAAACGATTCAAATTCAACCTTCGTCGAGTGGAAGCCAGTCAAGGAGTAGGATATTACACGACGCAATGTTGACAGGGGGTGACAAGCACTGATATAGGGGTCTTTCAGATCTAAACCTTCCCCAGCCACGGAAGTTTTTGGACACGCCACTAGCCAAGACGGTACGACAGAGCACGAATAAAAACTATGACACCACTAAGTAGCCTGGAGCCAACTGTCCTTGATAACGGTATGATCTGTGGGTTCGCCTATAGCTTTCTAGGAGAGATGCCAGCGTATTCCTCAACTGATATCATGCAACACAGTTGATGGAAGCTCGGCTGTGACATGTGTGTCAAGCGGCGCTTGCATGGCAGTCAGCTGATTCCCGGCCTTGACATACAGTAGTCTGGTGACCAGACTCGTCTACGGGGCAAACCCCTGACGAGATCCAGCCGCCTACCGGCCCTGATTTGAGTGACAACGAGCAGGTCAGACTTTCGTCGATTGTGCACCACCATGTCTGATACCAGCTTGCTCACGCAACTCATCTCGGTCCGCCATGACTTGACTCTGGATGTGGACTCGATGAACGATCAAGCAGTGGCCGAACTGAAGGCGAAGGGGTATACCTTCCATGATATGACCTCCAACCAAGCCATCGTGTTTGGCCAACTCACGGATGAGCGACAATGGGCCGGCCTTTCTGCCGAAATCAAGCAGTTCATAGGTCGCCATAGTTTAAACCTGCGTGAAGACGGTGACGTTTTAAGAGTCATTAACCTTGCGGTTAGTTTTCATATAATATGCTAGATATATTTCCGATTCATTGCCTCGACTGTCCTTTCAGACGGTCTTGCTGGCCCGGAAGGTGTATTCATATCTTGCACCTACTGGACGTCTCCACGCGCAGATAAGCCCCTCCTTTTCGTTTGATACAGAGAAAATCGTGGAACACGCGAAACAATTAGTACGATTGTTCAAGGACTACGATATACCGAAGTAAGTCTTTTCACAAACATATTGGGTACCCGACCCTTACTTATGCATCTGACAGGGAACGAGTTTGCATCAAGATCCCGAGCACACCAGCGGGACTCTTAGCTTGTAGACAGCTTGAAGGCGAGGGTATACGAACTTTGGCGACTTGCTTGTTTTCCGTCCCTCAAGCTGTGGCTGCACATCAAGCAGGGTGTCTCTACGTAGCGCCCTATTTCAATGGTGAAAGTTTTTTCCCTGTTCGGTTGACGCCGTCAGGTGACCGAGGCGCCTTGGATTTACAGAGCTCCGAGCACATTTTGAGCGTGGCGTCTGGAAGGAATACAATGACACCGTCCACGAACACCCAATGGCACCTGTCATATATTCGATCGTAAAGGCGTTCCAGAAGCTGAACTCGAATACCCTTGTTATGCCTGCTAGGTCTCTACGCCATCGCTTCCTGTGAGAATGAACTTATTTCCCTCATGCTTAGCATCGTCAATTTGAGCGAAGTCAGAATGTCCATATTGTACGGGAAATATTCCTTATGACAAACACTGCATACAGGTCGTTGCCCTCACGAGGCTTTCTCCTAATCACCTCACCATATCTGCTAGAGTGTTGCAGGACATGGCACAACCTGGAACAGCGGTCGCGAACGAGGAATTGGAACAGGTTGTAATGGATGGAGTCAATAGTTCTGGTAAGGGAAACCACAGGGTCTCATCTCAAATCACTGACCCTGAGAACCATGTATTAGTGTTAAGTCGCGATTATCTGGGAACTACACCCGAGAAAACTCTCGGATTCCGCCAGAACAACTGGGCTGACGCTCTCTCCGAAGCCATACAAGCAGATACGGAAACGCAACGCAAGCTAAATGACGCACTGCAAATTTTTGATGACACTGGAACGGAAGACGAAAGCATTTCTCTGCGAAAGGCTTCTCTGATTGTCGGGAAGGATCAGGAAACCCCATCTGAAGAATACATGTACTGTAGATACCGAAGACCAGAAACAAATAGATGCATAATGTGTAAGCAAATGCGCGCCATTTTCCCTCACATGTCCCATTTAGGAAGGGGCAGGCGAGGAGGGAGGCGAGTACGCCAGCCCCCGCCTCCAGAAGTGGGTTTCTCTTGTTGGGATTTTAGTTGTGCTGGGATTACTGATGACGCCGTTGGGCTAGAGGGGGAACTGTCATGAGAGACAGCTTGTTTGTCAGGCCCTCCTTTCGCGGGGTTAGCGCTGTTTAGCAGTTCTGATCCTTTTTGGGTAATGTTAACGAGCGAGCCTTGAGGTGACTTCGGGCAAGGTATGGAGACATCGGAACCGCGTTGAAGGCTCGTTTCCTGCGGCGTTGTAATTTGGGCGAATTTGTTGGGTGAAGACAGAGGGGAGACAAGTGGTTGGTGTTGATGTCGTGGCGACTATGACAATAAGGATCACACATCGACAAGAGATGATTGAAGGTAATCGAAAGGCACTTACATTCCTAAAAGGGTCTGGGCTTCCTGGCCACTTCCCATCCTCTGTCCGTCTGTCCACGCTACCGGTGAATGGGCCGCCAGCATAGACATAGCTTAGCCTGCGTTTCGGCATCGGCGGACGCCGAACCTTGAGGCGGAAGCGCGGTCTCGCGTGCTTGGGTTGAACAGGATCGACGACAGGCGGTGATGTATCTTCAGTGGAAGATATCATAAAACCTTCCGTGAACGAGAGATCTCCATAACTACTCAGTACGTATGCCTGGGACTCATTTTCCGTATCTGGGGATGAAGGCGAGTCGTCTTGGGTTGACGCCAGTGTGACTCTCAGAGACACAGAAACTGGCATCGAGGTAGCGGAACAGGAACCAGCTGGTTCCTGTGCATCTCTCCTATATACCTTTGGCGGAGGGGTAGGCTGCAGGCGGATATTGTTGGCTTGTGTAGAGTATAACAGTGACGGCAGAACTCACTGGCAGAACCTGGGGAGGGACATCCAAAGTATGACCAGGCATTATAAGTGTGGTGTCGACAAGGACGAAGTCGAGATTTCGTTGGGTTCAGAAATCGAAGGGGGATTTATACTGTCCCGCAGTGTGGAACTAGTCCGCAGTAGCCCACAGTGGACTCCTTCTATCGTCCACCTGTGGTCCATTATACCACGTCCCAGGCTGGGTTGTCTTCAGCAGATCCACACCTCTTTCCACCAAAAAAGGGTTTTTGACAACTAACTGATTGTCCCTGGAGTAGCAAGATAAAGCAGTCCTTTCAGACCGGAAGTTCAACCGTGCGTTGTGACTTGGCTGGAAGAGGAACAACCACAGTCGATTGCGGACTGAGGAGTTCCTACGGGGCTCGAATGCCAGGCATTGTTTACTGGCATGGAAACAACAGCCTTGCAGTGTCCCCTCCGCACTCCACAGAACCGGTTAATGGACAACATCGCGGAGCAAATAGTCGCAAACAACGCGTCGCCAATGTCCGTCAGCGTTTAGTCACGTGAACGCGAGGCAGCTCGTGTCCTAGACGAACTCAATGATTGAATGATTATTACCCCGACCAAAGTCATAAGTTTATGGTGGGCCATTATTACGGATTTACATATCGTTCAGCCTCACTTGGTTCACTTTCCAGATGCTGGAGATCACCAGTGACGGACAGTCATGACAGAGGCCATCCAGACAGCACCATATTTACCTGTTGGATCATCTATATCAGAGCTCATTCGTTCCGCAGTCAAATCTCCGCACGCTGAACCTAGGAAAAACATTCATAGTACAGGTGAGATGGCCAACGGTATTCTATCTGAAGCTGACTCGCGTATTCCGCGGTTCAGAAACGTCAGTTGGCTCGAGCGTCTTACAGTCGACGTCTTCCCTTGCAGTGACCGATGCAACTCCCCCCAAATCTATGCTGTCATCTCGATTATTAGACACTTCAACTTCACCCGTATCTTCTACTTATGCGTCCGGTTTTTCATACAGACATCTCTACCGGGGGGCTCTGTCTCTGCCCGACTCTTACCTTTTGCTGGATGGTCTTACATTCTCTGCGAGGCTTCCGGTGAACGTACCGCAGTCTCCTTACGATTCTCCATCAACATCACATTTGTCTGACGCGCTTGCGCGTGATCTTATCCACAATCCCCTCGCTCTCGCACTAGAAAGTATGCGTGGCAGGCCTTCGCTCCGCTTCAAAGGTACTGTGCGCCTTAAAGATATCTGGATGGATGAAGCTGGTGAAGTTCATATGTTTGTTTTTTGGTATCCGTCCAACCCTATTCCGTACCTTCCTTACCACCTGCTAGGGACATACATCCTTTAGCAACGCTCAGCAGAGTGTACTTCGAAAATACCCTCTGCCTATCGCCTCTTTCACCGTTCTCCCGCGGAGGAAGTTGCACGAAACGGACGGAGATAGGGGTGCGCATTGCATTAGGAGACACAGGTATCGGTCTTGTTTCTGTCATCCCGATCTACGCGAATAAACTTTGAACCTTTCCATCCAGATGGCCCCGAAACGACAGAAATCGTCGTTTTTGGCGAGATCACTGACGTCCTTTATCCTTCGCAGCTGGCATCCGCTACGTCTTCTTCGACGACCCCCTCTCCTCCATTGGTGGCCCGTGTGGCTCGCATTACGACCGCTCCACGAGCTCCCCGACCTGATGATCCCACACCGCGTAAACCTCCTGTCCGGTTATTCGGAGGGCTTTCGGTCAGTGCCCTCGGAGCGGGAAAACGAATAAAGCCACTGCCTCGGAGGTACGAAACCAATGGAAAGACTGAAGATCATGACAGGGACGATGCCGTGTGTCGAGCGAGAGAAGTGATGCTGCGTCTTCCCAACTCGACGGCCTTTCCCGGTCGGCGTTCAAAGGGAAAGGACCATAACATGCAAACATCGAAACGGAAGAACAAGGAGGTTGACAAAGGCCTTTTGGGGAATCCTCCTGTCTTCAAAGTACCGGAAGTGCCAAAGAAGGCTAACAAGTCGGAGACTAGGGTGAACATGCTCGGACCTGCACCGCGTGGACGGGCTTTGGTAGGCGAGGTTGGAGAGGAAGCTATAGACGCGAACATCGAAGCAGACTTCGAAGACAGAAGAAGCCAATGTTCCGAGTCGACTGAGGCTGCAAATAAGCTGGTTTGTGCACGTATGCAGGCGGTACAGTTTAAATGGCTCTAAAACAATGGGTACAGATTATCAAAAAGTCAGCTGTGCGACACCTAACTGGAGCTGGCGTCCCACGCGCCCACCCTGAGTTCAAGGAACTTTACGGGTATCTTTATAGAGGGACCGCCTTTGCTTTGGTACGTAGCATCATTTTCTAACAACCCGTGTGTCACACATTCGTTTTCTTGGGCTGAATGTAAGCACCCTCGACTCCCTAGCGCGCCCATATGCAAACCACGCAACTCAGTGAACAGGCTGTGGACACACTAGTTAAAGCTCACACTAGGCTGTATGTGATGCCCGAGGGGCAGGCGGCAGGCGACGTCTTCGGATGCTTTTCGTAGTGTCCTAACGATGGACGAATAAACCTCTCCCTCAACTTTGAGGGACTATCGTGATACGTTTGCTGTCTTCCAGTCCAGAGGACGCTTCCCCTGGACGCCACAGCTCATTCTCTCGCGTGCAAAGCTGAGCAATTATTGCGATTGACTCTAGTACGAGAACACTGATCGCAGCTCGAACTATATGTATATACCAGCAAAGTTCACTCTTGCTTAGCTCCCTAATTTGATGGTGTCGACTCACCTGCAGGTTGCTAACTTCAAGACTTCAAGATCTCTATGCCCAAAGACGGACTAACCTTGTAGGTGCCCACGGGATAGTGGAGCTGTTAAGGGCAATCCATTCGTTGCAAATACATGAACAAGTTCGGCATGGTTCCAGACTCCCGTGGACCTAGTGCGCCTGGCCGGGATAAGGCGTTCACTCGCGTCCTGTCATGGTAACCTACACTACGTAGTGCAGCACTTCGATCTTCACGGACGTTTCATCAACCCATTTGCGAGCCCCTTGTCTTATGTTAGTTCTTAAGGCGGGCTGGAAGACTTCACCCTCCGCGCTTTCGCCTTTTGGTTATCGTGACTTGAAGCTCGGGACGCTTCCCGTGGAGTCACTCGCCAATTGAAAACGCCACATAGCAACAGTGGCATGTAGTAATTGAGGCTTATCAGCTAGATGGTTTGAGTGTCCTCCCTGGCCTCGCCTCAGCAATTTATTGTAATGCAGTTGCGTAACGGCATCATGAAACATTGGAGACGCGTGTTTCACCAACTTGACGAGGGGGACGTAGGTCCTGCAGGTCTCCTCGAGGCGTATGTACACTTCAGTTTCAGAGGCAACGTGTGGAATTCTGGGAACTACGAGGCTACACAAGAAATGGGATTCCTGCAACGTTAAACCCACTGCCGGAAATAACTGTACAGAGATTTAGTAGTGAATAAAATAAGCATACATAGTCCGTTGCAACAAGCATGAGCATAGTGATAAATACTTTTGTTGGTTTGGTATATGCCCTCAGCTTTGACTTCTGCCAGAGAAGGCCTCGGGGCAGATTTCCTGCGCGGCTTCCTTGAAAGCCATGTCGTGCTCGTATTGCTCACGAGTCTGCGTCACTATTACCTGGAGCACTGGCTGCCTGGCCGCGTGCTCCGGTTCCCTCGCCGGGAGGTCATCAAAGGTGCGTCCGCTGATACAACTGAAAGCCTTGAGCACTGAATTCAAGAGTCGCAGAAGTGGGAGACTCGAGCGGGAAGGGATAAGGCTGGGAGGTCTGGGAGAAGTGCTGGCGCTCATGGACGGTGGAGCTGGTCGGAGGATGGTACGAGTTATGACGAGGCTGTCTCGCTCGTGCCCTTCCGTATGACGCGAAGAAGGGGGAGTAGTGCTAGTCCCGTTATCGCTACCGAATGAAGATGATGGTGAGGTTCCATATGAGGCTGTGGTTGGCGTGGTGGACTCGGAAGACGAAGAGCTCATTGAGCTTGAGCCCAAAGCAGAGGACGTCAGAGTGTCAGTTCGAGAGCAAAGCTCGATGGGAACGAAGACTAGTTCATGATCCTCCCAAATACCCCCCACTGCGTCCTCCATTTGCGTACTAGTGCGCAGCAACTTGCTCAACATCTGCCCCATATCCTCATTGCCTGTGATCGCCGCGAAATTCAGAGGCTTTTTCTGCGTAACTGGATCAGTGAATAGCAAGTAGTTGAATGGAAGGTACGTACCGTGCGACGCATGGGATCGAACCTCTGGGCATCCATAGCCACATAACGTGGGGCGCCAGCCACGTCCATTATCAATGAAGATAAGACAGGAGGACACGGATGACTGAGAAGAAGGGGAGGCGATGAGAACGGCCACGCATGCGAAGAGATTTATACATGGCCAATTCGCAGAGGTGATCGTTAGTCGAGTGTGGACGCTTTGATTTCACGCGCTTTAATTTTGCCGAGAACATCCATTGTGTACAGCAAGACCTTTGTCCCCGTGCCATTCTACCACGCGCTTTGATCGAAAGCCTCCGCCCAGAACCGCGTTTAAAAGGGGGCGAATCCATCATGATTTGAAGTGGTCGATCTGAGGGTCCGACGAGATCATAAGTCCCCTTGGGAGCTGGCTTTACCACTGTCATTACGCACACTTTTCATATCGCTGTGCTTGACCAGGTGAGCGTTTGCTTGCAGCTTCCGTGGGTGGGCACGCGCTGATCTCATGTACTTGGCGACCCTAGAGCTTAAAGCACTCACCGCCGATGTGTCAAAATTCCCAAGGTCCTCAAGATCCAGCAGAAGACGGGGATGCCACATTCACCATCAACCGAGCACATAAATGTATGATACGGCGAGAAAAAGGCAGACTCATCATGGTGAGAATTCTCCTGCTTACCTCGCCGTTTGACGCTCATCTCTACAGGTACCATTCGGACAATATGGATTGTGGCACCCTGTACACGCGACCGAAGCAAGCGAGCAGTCGAGTGGAAAGATCAAGCCCAACTTGGGATAATTGCATTGAACACGGGTCACGCGTTGACCGCATGTCCATCGGTGCAGAACAGCCCTCCTCCGGCTGCATGAGATCGTCTGTGGCAGGGCATGGGGATCAGGTTGTGCAGGTTGCAATTAAACGTTCTTCGAAGGGTATTACCGTTAAATTTATTTAGACAACTTATGATATTTATTGGAATCAAACCTTTGAAACTTGAATGTATTCCCAAGTCAGCATTGGCCGAGATACCTGCAGGCGGCCTTGAGCAGACATAGTTGGTCCGGCGGAACCGAGAGCCGAACGCAGTCGAGCGAGTAGTCGACTCACCCTGAAGTTTCTAAACTCGCAAGTGACTGCAACTACTCCCGTCCCGACGTGATATTCTCACTCTCATCAATTGTCCCGTACTCTTACGGACCTTGCCCTCTTCGAGGGAAAAACGCTGAGTGGCCATTGGGAATCTTGACTGCTAGCACTAAAACTACGGTTCCATGCAGCCGTTACCTCCTTCCTTCAAGGCTCTCTACCGTCTGATATTACGCGCGACATCCGCGTCGGTTCTTCACAAAACCAGTGCACGAAAGAACGTTGTCAAGCTATGGAGACCTACTTTCGACAATGCAGCGCAGTTTATCCGCGTTCTGGAGTCCAGGCAACCAAGCTCTGCTGTATGCCAAAGGCATAAAGCACCTTTGGACATCTGGCAAAGGCGAAGTATGCGTTCACCTTCTCTTGTTGCGCGAATTATTCACATCTCTTGTAGTGGATAACACTTTGACGTTTCTACTGTCGTCTGCGCAATCTCGTAGTCTTCCTCATAAAGTTATCAGGAATGCCAATATTCTGAGTGGCACGCATCGCGTTTGGGTTCGAGAAAACTATTATAGGGGTATCAAACAATGGAACCCTCAACGACCACCAACCGCCTGTGAATACGACCCAAGGTCTCTTCTTCCCAAAGATAGGCGGGCGATGAACCTCCGGGCCAAAACCAGGGAAGGAAAGAAAGTTAATGAACTGTGCTGGAATGCCCTTGGCGAAGTCGTACGGATGGCAGAGGCCAGACATGATTTGTCGTTGGGCAGGCACCGCGTGAAAGCATGGGTGTTCGAACGCTAACAACTTTGGCGGTGGAATCGGTCCGATCTGTACAATTCAAGAACAATTAACTGTATGTTGTTGTGATTCCTCTCAATAATTGCCCGCCGCAACTAACGCAATGTGGACGATGGCGTCAGGCATCAATGGAAGGATAAAGTTTACATTGCTACCCCTACTTCTACTTCATGGTGACAATAGTTTCAAGTGCCGATCAAACTTTCTCACTAGACAGTCACCATCCCCTCATGACGTCCCGTCCTCGTTGCGAGTGAGTACTTAGCATCCTGTTATTGTTTTCGAAACAAATGGATGTCACGTGATGCTACATGCTTTCCCGTGCTGCCTGGGCAACAATAAGTTGGATAAGACGTTATCAACGTCAGCTAGGGCCTCGTGCGAAGCTAATTCCCTGCTTATAAGTCGACGGCTGAAGGGAGATGGTGTGCCCTTAGTTCTGCAAAGCTGTGCTCTAATCTTTGTGTCTGTGGCCCACTCGTCACAACCAATACAACATTCACCGCTGGACACGGAGTTTCTTGTTTCATCTTGTGCACCCAAAAAGGTTATGGTGGAGATCAGTTCCTCCCCGCCACATCGCAGGCCGATGTACGAAGATAGCCAGACTATCAAGTCTTGGGTGGAAGCAGTGTACTACGTGGGTCTATAAGCGTTGAATCAACACGCAGTATCTGACTCTTTTCCAGGCTGGTGATTCCGAAACAACATCGGATGTTTCAGATGGTCCCGATATTATGACATTTGTTCACCCTGCTTTTCGAAAAATTGGTCACCTTTCCGCGTGCGACTCCGACTTGGGCATTCCTGTTTGTCTTGACGGCCCCTCATGGTTGTCAGATTTGCACCTTACGTCTTATGACGGCAGTGACGACAGCGGAACTACTTCGGCTTTCTCTGATGAAAGCGCACAGTATATCCGAATCTCCAGTGACAGCCCCTGGTATCGACTCCTGGAGTCACGTCCTGAACCGATGCCTTCCCCCGAATTCGACACTAGAACATTTCCCAACTGCTGCTCAACTGGTGTACAACAAGCTATTGCCCAACAGGAACTTCTTCTTGCCATTTTCCATGCGGAACTCCAGAGGATGATTCCTCGTGATGGCAAGTCGGAGTATAATCCCGATTGGCTGGACGATGTTGACCCTGAGGTAGTCCTATCTCCGATGGAGGTGTACGAAGATCTTTGTTGGCATTCTGCTGTCTCGGACAAATATGCTGCCCGCCAATTGACTAAACCACTCGCGGACGTTCCAATCGGGTTTGGTGATGTCCATGTCGCATTCTAACATGGAGTTGACTTGACTCATCCTTTTTGAAAAGCGATTTGGGGTCGGGCTCAGCTTATGCGCACTGCTCATTATGCACTTTCGTTTATTTTTTATCATCTCTTTCACTGCTCGCTTTGCACTATGAACACTCATTTCACCAGCACGTCTTAGTTTTCCCCTTTCTGTCGAGCCATTTCAACCGCAATGTTTTACCATGCACTTGGCTTTAACTTGACTTGAACATTTACTTCGCGCCCAACTAAAGAAAATCAGAGGTAGCTATTCTTTCTCGACCGTGAGCTTGGGGCCGGTAGGAAAGGGTAACATGAATAAAGCCACTGCTAAGTAGAATGATTATGTAATGAAACCTTTCGGTTCTTGCAAATCTAAGACAACGGAGTGACACATACCGTGAAACCTAGCGGTCTCACCATAAAGCTGACACTGGACCCTTCACAGCCAGTACTTGCAGAGGGATCATTTGCGACCATCAAATCGTTTTCTGCTACTGTGGAGCTTACTTGCCAAGTCCCCGAGAACCGCGTCTCTTCGCTGCGTGAGGTCCAACAAACCTTACTCTAGATAACCCGCAGAGTCGAAGGAAACATCGGCCACTTCCTAAGTCCGTACCACCAACGTCACTCGCCTGACTTGATAAGGTAGGTGGTCAACGCATTACAGTATAGGTTTGCTCATAGTTGATCATTTTGAAGTGAACTTTCAGGGTTCTGCGGCATGGCGGCAATCCCTACGGCTGGATGCACTCTTCCCGGTGGGGTAACGCTAAGGATTCGACGTTCCCTAAGGAGGTGACGGATTTCCTACCCGACATGAACTTAAATGACGGTATGTCTTGATTCACCAATTACAGTTTGCGGTCATCCTATGTTTCCTCTTGAGAAATAATGTGGGTCCAGCAAGCTCTGAGTCATATAAATCAACCAGGAAATGGTCTGCCTGGTCTTAACTGAAAGCTTGTCTCTCTCAAATGGATTATTCGAAGTATGACGATATTCTCAGTTACCTCTCTGCTCCGCCCATTTCAATGTCCAAGTCGACTACACAGTCTGAATCTGTGCGTGGGACTCCCTAGAATCGTTCGTTCTCCCTAACGATTGCTTTAGGAACTACTGGAGCCGTTTTCTTACATTGCCTCTTGTCCCAGCAAAGAGATCCGCAGTCAGTTGATAGCTGCGTTCAACGTATGGCTGCAAGTCCCAGCCGATCAACTTGATGTCATCACGCGTGTAGTCGGCCTTTTGCACAATGCAAGCCTCCTGTTGGTTTTTATCTTGGTGCCTGTGTGCCTAAGGTTGATAGCGTTCCATTTCTTCCAGCGTCGATGACATCGAGGATAACTCCGAACTCAGAAGGGGTAGACCTGGTACGTGAAGTGAGAACATCTTGCCTTCGCCATATTCATAAGGAATGTTATGACCCCAACAGTTGCCCACAAGATATATGGTATCCCTCAGACGATCAATACAGCGAATTATGTATACTTCCTCGCGTACCACGAACTTTTCAAGATGGATTTGTACGGAAGTGTCGCGAATGCCTATGGTGTGGTTAAGCGGCCGAGACTCACTCATCGCCTCACCTTCATCCTGAATGGTTAGCTGGAACCCAAAATCCTCACTCACATTGCTCAATTTCCTTTTGTAGAAGAACTCTTGGCCCTTCACCGTGGCCAAGGGCGCGAATTACTCTGGCGTGACAGTCTTCGATGCCCAACTGAAGACGAATACTTGTCAATGGTGAAAGACAGTGAGTGTTGTTCTTCGAATTTCCGTCAGTGTCCTTGATTTGAAACAGAGACAGGCGGACTCTTGCGCGTAGCGATACGCCTCATGATGGCGTGTGCAACTGCAAATACGGATGTGTTAGTTCCTCGAAGTTGGATATGAGGTATCCTATTGACCTGACCTCTAGGAATTACATCCCTCTCGTCGATCTTGTTGGTATTTATTTCCAGATTCGCGATGATTACATGAACCTCCAGAGCCCCATGGTGCGCATCTTCGAACAACATTAACTTTACTGGACTCATCTTCTCTTTGGGCAGTACGCAAACAACAAAGGCTTTGCGGAGGATTTGACGGAGGGTAAATTCTCATTCCCGATAGTGCACGGAATCAGACAAGATCCAAATGACAGACAAATTATAAGTACGCTCACGTTTTCCCCTCTTGTAGTCAAGTGCTTACTAGTTACTAGGTGTCCTCCAGAAACGACCGAAGACCCCAACCTTAAAGCACCACGTTGTTTCTTACCTGAGAGAATCGACACACTCTTTTGATTACAGTCTCGGCGTAATGCAGTCTCTGGAGCGGCAAGCACGGGCTGAAGTGGCTAGACTCGGCGGGAATACTCTGCTGGAGGCTATTCTAGACAATTTGAGAGTCGACTGTGTACACAAGTAAAGCCGCTTGCTGTCAGGTAAACAAACACTGAAAGCTAGAGCTATTAGTCCGTCTCTACGATACTCCCCGCGATTCGTCAGCTTGACTTCTCGATATTGATATTTTTCTTCTACTTTTTGTACGTTGATCGGAAGCTGCGTGCTTTTATGTAGGGTGCCAATGTAGTGGGCGGTGGCTATGTCTAACAACGCCTTGTCATCTGCCACATCACACGTGAAGATATACCTGATGTGACATGCCTATTTCAACGTTTGAAAACATCCTGACAACCTTAAATCAGCCTGTTGAATGCACCCCGGACAGCGAGAAGGTTGTTCCACCGTGACTGCTGCTTGGCCTTCTGATTTTCTGATATCAATAGGACTTACTTGGCCCATTCACTTATGTTGCGTCGAACCCTGGAAAGGACATTCGTGGCACGCTGATCGCTGCATTCAATCTATGGCTCAACGTTCCGAAACCCAAGTTGGATATGATTACCAGGGTTATCGACACGGTGCATAATGCATCCCTCATGTCAGGGTCTTGTTCGTCCAGGGAGCTACTGTAAGGAGCTGACAACTACCATCTCTACCCAGGCTAGATGACATCGAAGACGATTCTGATTTGCGAAGAGGGAAACCAGCCGCTCACAAAGTGTATGGTATTCCCCAGACCATCAACTCGGCGAATTACGCATGCTGGCTCGCTTACCAACAACTGGCGTCCATTCGAGAGGCTCCAACGGAGAGTACGGAAGCCAAAGATCGTCTCCTGTTCCCCGAAACTTTGGATCAAATTTTCAGGGGTACATCGTAGTAGCAGAACCCGACATCACTGAACTTAACCATTTGCATTCAGAGGAACTTTTACACTTACACCGTGGTCAGGGGCTAGATATTATCTGGCGAGACACCTTCAGGTGCCCGACTGAGCAGGAATACATCCAAATGGCTCGGTGGCAGTAAGTAAACGGGCTATGTCCTGAGTGGTCGTGCTGAATTGCCGTGGCCAAACAGAGGCAAGTAGCGTTCTGCGCCTTTCAGTCAAGATCATGATGGCGTTTGCAACTACAAATGTTGATGTGTAAGTGCGTCAAGGTATCCATAAAATCACTCACTTCAGTAACGGAAAGCAGAAATTATGTTCCTTTAGTCGATCTGTTCGGCATCTACGGTCAGATCCGGGATGACTACATGAACTTGCAGAGCCAAGAGGTTAGAGTCAGGGTATACTTTTGCTTCGAGCTGTGATTAATGTGATACTTTTTCAAGTACACGAACACCAAAGGCCTTGCGGACGACATATCGGAGGGAAAGTTCTCATTCCCTGTTATCCACAGTATTCGGGAAAATCCCTGAAAATACTTTGATATTGGGTACCACCATTGATCAGTACTTTAGTTGCGAGCATTCAACGGATTGCAGATATTCTCAAGCAGAGACCAAAGACATCGACTTTGAAGCACCAAGCAATTGCATATCTCAAGGATACTACCCACTCCTTCGACTACACTTTATGTGTGATGCGATCTTTGGAGAAACACATTCAGGAAGAAACGGCCAGGCTTGGAGGAAACCCAATACTAAAGACGTTACTGGAAAGATTACACCAATGACGCTGTACACACCCAAATGGCAGATCCACTTGTTTGTTATTCCTGGTTTCTTAGAGATGGTATACGTACTGCTGTCATATGGCTTGTTTGATAGGAGATAGCTTTCATACTTGATTGGCAATAAATGTAGACTAGTCTGAACCTTGCTCCCCGTCGTTGTCGTCATCGCCGAAGAATTCATCTCCGGAGACAGTCTTCGCTCCGCTTTGGAACCTTCTGTGAGGAACCCTCACCATGGGATGCTACATTTACATCATCCCGTTCGTGTCGCAAGCGAGACCGTGTGCTCGTCACCGAATTGTCCTGTTCGTTTTCGGGTTCCAGGCTGAGTTCGCCCCGTTCCATTTGCGAACGAATCAGTTTTCGTATTCTGGACCGCTCATCGTCATCCTCAAAGGTGACCGTTGTTAGTGAAGCGTTTGGCTTGCGGACCTCAGGGGGGAATAACGATATATATTTCTTTATCGGTGGGTAGTGCTAGGCGGAGCATCAGGATTAGAGACAGTGCGCCGAAGGCCAAATAGGTAATACCAGGATATAGTTCAGGTCCACCCTGAGATCAGACAGTGTCCAGTTCTAGCCGCGCTTTTTCCTCCCCCTCAGTAGTTGCCAGATTTCTTTTCACCTGCTTTATTTTCCGGGTGACTTTCTGACGCTCTTCGCAGGGCATAAGCATGAAGTATAACAGAATGTGACACACGCACCGAAAAACTTGACTTTGTGATACCTAGATGCCATGGCACGCAATTTGCGTGCATTCTGAGCGTTGACGAGGTCTGCCTCAAGGGCCCTCACCCTTCGTTCTGTTTCAACTCGAACGTTTGCCGCCAAGCTTTCCTTGCTAAGAAGTCTTTTGGCCTGTCTGAGTGACGACTTAATCTTCTGTACGCCAGGGAGAGCATCCTCTGGCTCTGTGCGTCGCTTCTTTTTGGACTTCCCTCCCAAATCGGACGTGTCTTTGCTTGCTTGCTTTGCTCTCGAAGGTGCCATGGCAGTGAGAGTCGTACTACGAGAATGACCATGGCGGGTAACTCATAGGTTAGGGTTAGGGTTAGATTCGTTGTGATGATATGATGATCATACTGAGAATCAGACAAGGTTTATTCAGATCCACGCAGCTTCATCATGCGGAATATTTCGCAGGACTCAGTCCAAATAGTCACCTTGAGGACGGAAGACGTGGAACGAGTAACACCCGACGGGACAAGCGCAACCTTTGCAGCAACTGCGTTCGACGTTGATCGGGGTGTTACGTTTGCTGCCACCACGTGCGGGGGTGAAATTCTCATTTGGAAGACGGCTGGGAGACGTCTCCTTCCTCCAGAGGAGTCATCGTTTTGCTTTTGTGGATCATACGCTACTCCAGATCCTCGCATTGTTAGTCTCAGAGTGCTTGCTGAATCAAGGAGACTAGTGCTAGTGACACGCTCAGGAGACATCGTAGTCTGGGAGCTCGGTGATTCCGGTGACTTCAATGTAGGTACTCCCTCTTTTACAAATGCCTATCTCTTTAACGACGGAACTCATCGCAGAGCGATGCTGACGTCATAGGCGCCGTGGAGACCGGAATTCTCGCCGTAAGCTGGAGTCCGGATGATTCGTTCGTAGTTCTCGCAACTGGTATGTGTATAAGCTTTTCTGTATAGTAAGGCTGACAGCATGGAATATGTAGACGGGAATGTGATATTAATGAATTCAATGTTCGATGTGCTCTCAGAGGTGCCTTGGGAAACTAGCGAGTTTGGTGAAGGTTCGTCCAAGTGTTATTTATTTATTATACCAATCCATATCACATTCTCAAATAGATGCGCCTATCAACGTTGGGTGGGGTTCCAAAGCCACCCAATTCCATGGCTCGGCTGGGCGTGCACACCTCAAAACTCCAGAGAAAACAAATGATCAACAGGAAAGCGTCGATGACGACAACTTGCCGCGCATCACATGGCGTGGTGATGGTGCTTACTTTGCCGTTTCCACGCGTTCTTCCAGGCACCTGTCACCGCGTGTCGTGAGAGTATACTCACATGAAGGTCGTCTCCAATCCACGTCGGAACCAGTACCCGGTCTAGAAGCCAACGTTGCTTGGAAACCAAACGGAAGTTTAATAGCTTCCACGCAATTTGACGTCCGTTCAGGACCTCAGGACACTCATATGAACGGAAATCACTATGTTGTTTTCTTTGAGCGGAACGGCCTTCGTCATGGCGAATTTAGTTTACGGCGTCCGTTGACTAACAACACATCCTTTTACAGAGTAAAGGATCTACTATGGTCTCCAGACTCAGCTATTCTCGCGGTGTGGATAGAGCACACTGAAGGTGATACCGTGCAATTGTGGACGAGCAGCAATTATCATTGGAAAGTATTGTAAAAGGTTGTCGTCGTTCTGGCATTAGATGACGAACTTAACAGGTACTTAAAACAAGAGATATATCCGCAAAGTGCTAGTCGTTTCACAACTGTTACATGGCACCCCGAGCATTCATCGGAGCTCGTCTTGACAACGTCCTGTAGGTTGTCAAGGTTCCCGGACATTCTCGTACGCTCACCATGATTTAGCACGACTGATTGTCCGAAGATTTGTATGGGAGACTTGTGCTGGTGCAAGCGATACAGGTTGCGTGGGTGTCGTTGACGGAGGTAATTGCGAATTGCCATTTATCGAGCTCTTTCATGAACTTCTACATGTAGATCATATACTACTCACGCCCTTCCGAACACAAAATGTGCCTCCACCAATGTCATCTCATCAACTACCTGTCCGCATCCAACATACCGCTGGCGATACTAGCCCTTCGTTTTTGCGAAGCACTCCTTCTCACGTTTCACTTTCGTCCATCAATGATATCCTTGGTGCTGTGTGGGGGGATGGCCGTGTTATTGTATGGTCTCTACATACCCGCATTGGGCCGGGAACAGGGAAAGTGATGAATCCTATTTTATTGTGGACAAAAGACTTAGGTCACGAAGACGTATTGTGGAGGCAAGTGCAAGTCTCGGTCTTGGCCGCCGATGCCAAGGAAAGGATCCTACAAGTGGCGATACTCGGTTCCACGGAGCAGAGTCCCGACCTAGTGAATGTTCACGAAGTTCGACTTTCCCCTACGGAAGAGCAAGCCCGAATAGGCGAGACCTGTTGGACAGCCAAGCTTTCCGGCAAGGATGGCCGCCTGATGCCAGACTTAGAATCGTTGAGTTCGTTCTGGCAGTCTCGTGAGGGAGAGATCTTTAGAGGTCAGTTCCAACGTAGACTTGCATGTTTTTTTTAAAACATGTTTTCCAGTGGATTCCACCGAAGAAGCAAAATCATCACTTTGCAATTTCCCCGAATTTTGCTTTTCGGGGGTGAGTTTTCTCGTCCAAGCGCGGCGCCTTTTTGTTGGTTTGTCAAGCTCTGGAAAACTCTACTGCACGACGGAGGGCTCGAAACCGGCAGAACTCACTGATAGTGCGAATTCATTTACAGTGGCTTCTGGTTTCGTTGTGTTCACTACAAACACTCATGAGGTTCACTTCGCTCCCGTAGCGATGTTGGTTGATCATCTCATCAATCGGTCACTGGAAGAGGATGGCCCCTTAACATCCAATCAGGTTGCTGCGGACACTTGGGAGAAACGCCGTGTCGAGCGCGGTTCAAGAATTGTAACTGTCGTGCCGGGCACGATGAGCCTTGTACTACAAATGCCGAGGGGTAATTTAGAAACTATCAGCCCTCGTCCTTTGGTGATGGAAGCTGTGAAGGATGACCTCGACGCGTTGGAGAGTCCGTCACTTCTTGTCTGTCGATATACTAAATGGGTTTGATAGGGGTCGTTGGCAAAAAGGGTTCCTGGCTTGCCGCAAGCATCGAATAAACCTGAGCGTCATTGTTGAACACAATGAAGAAGCATTCATGGCTGGCATATCCCGGTTCATCGAACAAATCGAAGAAGTAGATTACATCAACTTATTCTTGTCAAGTATTGGGTGTGTATCTCGAGTGCCCTCTCAATCTGACAATCGCTCACGTTACTGATAGGCAAAGTGAACTTTCAGCGAAAACCATATCCGATGTGTGCGATGCCGTTCGATTCGAGTTACAGACGAAAGACCTCCGCAAATATGTCAACTCGATTCTAACGGCATATGTGGTTAAGACCCCGCCTGACTACGAAAGCGGGTTAACATTACTACTGCAGCTGCGAGGCACGTACTGTTACTACCGTTCCTCTACTGAAACAACTAGACGCCTCTATCTTAAAGATTTGCAGCCGGAACGGGTGGAGGATGCAGTAAAATATATAATTTTCCTTGTGGACGCCGACAAGTTGTTTGAAACTGCGCTGGGGATGTATGACTTCTCCCTTGTGCTTCTGGTTGCCCAGCACGCTCAGAAAGTGTGTATTTTCTTTTTGAAAGAACAGACGTACCGAATATGTATAATGCAGGACCCAAGGGAATATCTTCCCTTCCTTCGAGAATTGAGGGCACTTCCTCCGCACTATCAACGTTTCAGGATCGATGACTATCTACGAAGATATGAAAAAGCACTGCGGAACCTTCACCTTGCTGGTCAGCATGACATAGCTGGACACCATACAGCAACTCACAGCATTTAGGTCCCACTTACTTCCAGGAAGCGCTCGATTACATCGAACGCCACCAGCTGTATGAAGCCGGCCTTGAGATTTGGAAGGGCATGGAACAATATCGTGTAAGCAGTTCTTGGACTCCTCACGTGAACTCCATTTAGTGAGTTCTGAAGGTGGTACTTGGCGTATATGGTAGCTGGCTCTTCGAAAGGCGGGACTACAGGCAGGCAGCTCTGGGTAGGTGGATCATACTACCCGCCAGTACCTCCTTATCTCTGTCGGCAGTGTTCGTCGAGGCCTCTGATCTTCGAAAAGCAATGGTAGCGCATGAGAGGGCCTTGGAATGGCAAGAGCTCTTTCAGTTGTCCACAAGGGAAGTGGTCCCGGAAGATGAGGTAATAGAAATTGCATTCCGCATCGCTGGTTGGTTATTTTTGTTCTTCCTCGAGCTGAAATGGTTGCTCGAGCACTTACTATAGGAGAGTTGTTGTTGAAGAAGCGGTATTCTGAGGCCGCAAGAGTTTTCATTGACTACGCAGGCGATAACCGTCAAGCAGTCACAGCGCTTGTGCAAGGTAACGAAATTTCAGAAGCTCGAAGGATTGTAAGAGCTTGTTGTAGTTGTGCATCAACTCCCCGTTCACAGCCCAATAGGTTTCCTTGCACGGCCCGCTAGAACTGCTTCAGGAAGTAATCCTGCCTGGGGCACTGGACATAAAAGCCCAGCTCACGGAAGAGTTGAACGAGATGCGAGAACAGCTACACAAACAACTCGCTCGTCTCAGGGAGCTCCGCACTAGAAAGGTCCAAGAGCCTGGTAAACTCTCCTTGCGCAGTGCCTCGTTCTTAAACCTTGCTCATAATTGTTCGCCCTGTGTAGATACTTTCTACGGAACAGAACAAGTTAACATGCAGAACATCGATGTAATGACGGATATCTCAATGGCGCCGACTGCCTTTACGAGATACACTGCAGCCCCCACCGCAACATCGAAAGTTTCCAAGTAAGCGGAAAGCAACGTATTATAATTCCGCGTTGACGCTGGTGGTTCATGCGCTTTGCAGACGCAGCTCGAAAACGAAACGAAAGATGGAACGTAAGGTTGGGTCAGGGCGGAAGGGCACCGTGGATGAGGAAGAGTATATACTAAAGTCGGTCACCAAATTGGTTGCCCGTTGTGGTGTTACGCAAGGTGAGATGCTACGCCTGTTCATACCATCCTTGCCGATATGACAGCATGATCTTAGTTGAGGTACAGAAGTTGCTGCCGCACCTTCTCCACTTCTCAGAACTTCATCGATCGGAGGCTTGTGTTGTTCAACAGGATATGGAATTTTTCGAAAGGGAATTGCGGGACTCTATTGAAGAGATATGGCAGTCACCGTCAACCACAGAAAACCCAGCTCAAGACTCTTGGGCAAAACGGATGCTAGCCAGGGAAAAAGAGCGGCTGGTGGACCCACTAGAACGTGTGTCGAAGCCCGTGATGGAAAGCAGTGATTGGGGGATTGGGTTGCTGCGTGCCAAGACCAACGTCCTAAAAACCGCTGGTTCGTCGAGATACTAGTAAAATTGCGGCCAGGCGCGCGCATACAAAATTTATTTTAGGCGTCCAAAGCAAAATTATTATACAGATTGGCAGAGCTTTACAGAAAACAGAAGGGTCGATATATGAGTGCGAATGCACAGCAGATGAAGTATGATATGGTGGTTTGATGGTAATGAGTGTGAGCAAAGGAGCAGTTGACATGGTGTACATGAGGCACCCGGAACCTTGCAAAATTTAAGGAGATGTGATGTCGAACGCAGAAAACAGAACAGCAAGATCTAGAAAGCACTATCAAGCAGAATTATAGGGATCGTCGGTGTCGTCGATGTCGTCGATGTCTAGGTGGAAAATGTTAGTAGTGGATAGAAGTCTTTGATCCTGCTCACCAATCGGCGACCTGAAACGTCGGATCTTTTAAGGGGCAGTGAGAAGGTAGCCGATGCAAAATAAAGGAGACGCACATAAGGATCCAAACCAAGCGAATGACCGTCAGAATGCGGTCTCACTAGGCGATTTGAACGATGATCGAAAACATAGCGCGCTGGAGACGGTGACTCGTCCGTGCAAGGCGTAGGAACACCATGAGAGTCCCAAACTCGCACGCGTACGTGGCCATCGTCTGAGTGAGGACGGCTAGCATCCGCCGGTCCCTCCGCGTCATAGTCCGGGGACGGTTCGTGTTCGGAATCAGTCGAGGAGCGCGGAGGTCCCGGGGTACGTTTCTCGGCCACTAGAGGTTCTGGATGGGTATCCTGTTGGAACTCCGCGGGAGGTACAGTGGATGCCTTTACAGCCACAGGTGTTGTAGGATAGTTAGGAGTGATGGTATAACCAAGTTCTGATATCAAAGAACGAGGGAAAAAGACCTGAAAGCCCATCTCATCGTACGATTGCGCACAACGGTAGAATCATGACTCACAAGCAAAGTTATTCCCGACGACACAAAAGAGCCAATGCCTCCTAACATCAAGAGAAAATCTGCAAGTTCCGTTTGAGCAAAACGCAGTCTCCTGGACCAAAATCATCATACCTGACCAAAATCTAAAGTCGAGATCAACACTTAAATTATCTATGCAAGACGAGAAAAATATGCACGCACGGACTCATGTTTATAGGGTGGGACCCTTGAACTCCATCAATTCCTAGTACTAACAGTGGAATAGAGAAAACAAATCGAAATGCAATACGGCCACACTGTACCTTGTGAGCACGTTGAAGAAAGAAATAAGAACGGTGCTTACATTCAACTGGTAGGAATATACGAGTCGGACGATGATATTGGGTGCTGCGCCGTCGTCCTTTACCTTGCGAATGAAAGCCGGAAATCGGAAAAGGACAAAAAGAAAACCAAGGGTCTCGCATGTTGAGGCGGACGACCCTACCAAGAGTATCCACGCTAGGCACTGATATAGTTGTGAGCACGAGGTTGACAGAAACTAGGACGAAATACCACTTACGGTGTCAAGCTGCTTCCTTGCAACAAGGGCAGTCACTGGCATTCCAAGGATGGCGACCATAGAACCTGAGGATCACCACTTTTAAGTACCTCTTCGCAATGAGCGACAAGTATGTTATTACCCCAAAGCCAAAGCTTAAACTCCCAGCTGTCGAACCACACCCGTGACCTGGGTCCCTGGTTTTGGAGGAACAGCCAGAAGGTCAGCTCTTCGGGAAGATTTGAGTTTGTGCAGGGAGCAGATAAATATCGTATTAACTTGCCTTCCAGATGGGTGATGCTAATAGAATTAGTTTAGAGAAGGGACATACGAAGATTAAAAGCATACTCACTGTTCACATGCCCATGCTATAGTGAATACAAAGAGCAACGGTAACACCCATTTCTTGTGAGCGGGGGAATAGAGTTCGAGGGGTGTCGAAGTCACTAGAAAACCTTGTACGTTGGAAGAAAATCAATGGTGAGATAACGACTTACCTTCGCCGTTAAACAGGATAATGTCACCTACAAGCCACGTCAGAACGCTGAGGTAAATATTGTACCGAACGACTGAAGGGTCACCTTCTTTAAATTTGAGCAATGTGAACGCGGCACCGAAGATGACGAGCAACGTGAGCGATGTTATGTACGTGTACTGCGCAAGGTATAACGCCTCAGCAGACCCCCAATAAAACGGGCACTAAACACACTGTCATCACCCGCTTGAAAGCCCCCGGACGTCTGTTCGCCTGACTCCATCTCATACACTTGAACCTATCGTAGTTCCACAGGTGAAAGATAAGAAAGCAGTAGAACTGAACCGTCGGATGGTATCGGTTGTATCGAGAGTTGACGCAGGAAATATGAGATTGCTTCTTGATTTTGGGATACGTAGTACAAAACATATTGCTCACCAAGCATGCCAAGATGGACCACAGCAGGAACGCCGTTGGCGATCCACCGGCCATTGAGAACACAAGACGATCACAAGAGTGGACGAAGGTGCAGTATGAAAAGAGACGGCCGGTTTTGCGAGGGCGCCAGGGGAGGGGGGGGGTGTATATAAGAGGCTGATATGAATGTGCGTCCTCGGCGTCAGTTTATTTCAGGGTTCAACGGGAAAAAAAATTGACTACGGGGTCTTTCAGATCTAAACCTTCCCCAGCCACGGAAGTTTTTGGAAACGCCACTAGCCAAGAAGGTACGACAGAGCACGAATAAATAACTATCACACCACTAAGTAGCCTGGAGCCAGCTGTCCTTGATAATGGTATAATCTGTGAGTTTGCCTTTTCTGCACGGGGATATCTGATGTTCTGGGACCATTTCATTAAAGACAGTCTCTGCTAATGACAGGCACATTGATTAGGCGTCAATTCGCCATAGGACTCCTTGGAATGCAGAGTGACAGAGAATGACAGACTAAGGCGTCGTCACTTCGTTATTACATTCTGCAATCCGACGCCGTTGGTTTCAACACCCACCAGATACGGCAACCACGAAAGCTGCAGTCGGCTTACTTCCACCCGTATGCATGTGGCTTGTACGCTTCACACTCGGCGGACCGCCCATAGACGCTTCCAGGCATCCACGCAAAGAACAAAGAGCTTTTCCCGTGATCGGTGGCCCTCGGATATCCTGTAAGGAACCGGGGCGTTGTGATCCGGGCACTCAAGCTCCACTCCATATTCCACCAAGCTCCGCACACAAACCGAGTCTATCTTGTGGACAGAGTGGCCTTGTCGATTTACGTCGATCGTGTACTATTTAGTTTTGGTCAATCAATGCGTTATGCGCCGTGCCGTCCATTCTCTGGCTCTTACAATTCCACGGTGGTGCAAAGTACCCAGGGTCATATTGGTTCCTGGAGCCCTCCGAGATGCATCGATTGCGGCAAGCGGTCGTTTAATAGCATTCAATGCCTGGGCAGCGTCAGGCGATGCGAGAACACCGGAACCTTCTTATCCCTCGTCCGATTCGGGCTGTAGTCAATCCGAGCAGAAAACCTACTTTCTGACCCTATGCACATACGTATATTGCCACCCCTCTCGCTTCTGAGTTCTCACCTAGTAAGTATGGATTTGATCCGACCTAAGAACGGCCCACTTTTCCAAATCCGTTACGCAAGCCAAACTTTCCAGGGTTGCTCACAGAGAGGAACACACTGAAATCTGTCGGGCGCAAGCAATTGACCACATACATAATGCAGCAGGAGTGTAACAGCAACATGCTAGGACGATGACGGTGTCACGTTGGTCTAGTCTTAAAAAGAACCTACAAGAACAAAAAGGCTGGTTTTGTTCATAAATGAACCACGTTCTATAATAAAAATAATGTTATGTGAAAGCCATTGCAAAAGATCAAACAATAGCTTTGCAGCTGATTCGATTTGAGCCACATAAATGCAACGATAAGTCAGTGAACTAAGTCCCAAGACTTCGAAATCATTCTGATCTTCGGGCAAGGAGGGCGGCCGCCACAACAACGGTGGTGACAATAACAGATCGAAGTCGTTAGATCTGCCTACATAGCCATAGGACTTGTCCCGTCCGGACTGCTTGCCCTGCGTTGGGTATTAGATTGGTTTTCAGGATTGTCACGACTTGACGGCAACGTTCTTTTTTTGACATGTGGAATGATTTCTTTGTGGTTTCCTTATGCGTAAGCATGTGCACTGGAACACTTATGTATATCATCTTCGTTCGACAAATGCTGGCAGGTCAGTACGCTTCGCTTCCTTAGACCACCGGCGAGGCTCCTGATGTAACTGTGCAAGTGGCGAGCAGTGGCTTGCGCGGCAACTTGTTCAAAGCTTGCGTAATGCTTTCGCCGTCAACAACCAGCTACCAAAACAGTATTTGAAGGCGCAAATATCGGTCCTTCTTTGGATTCACGACGTCATGCAAGGTATTGTGGAGATGCCGCCTTCTTAACCATGAAGCAGCTCCTGTCCTTCCCCTGACTACATGCCACCATGTCTTCTGTTCGTTTCATCGCCAGTTTGCCTACACGTTTACCACGTCTCGGTGGCTTGTCCACCGCTTCCTCGCCTATGCGCGGACTAGCTACAGCAAAGATGCCCTCAGAAGCTTCCCCCCAGACTCTCCTTCAGGACAAAAGGCACGGGTTCGGGTTCCTCCGTTCGAACCCACTCCCGGCTAAGCCACGCAAACTCGGCGTTACGGAAATTCGGGGGCCGTACTACTCGGCATACGGGAAGAGGCATTTGCAAGACGTTCTTGAGACAATGTCCTATCATGTCGACGGTCTCAAGTTTGCAGGGGGCTCATTTTCCCTACTTCCTGAGCGTGCGCTAGTAGAAATGATCGAGCTTGCCCACAAGCATGACGTCTATGTTTCTACTGTGAGTGCCTTTTGGAACGGAAGTAAATACGAGCCATTATTCACCAACGTGGTGCGCAGGGAGGTTTTATCGAACATGTATTGACTCATGCCGACGTGCTCAACGTCGTGGACAAGTACCTCAAAAAATGTAAGGATTTAGGGTATGTACCAACCACCTTGCTTTTGACACATTCGAATTCCGACAGAGGGATTGACTAGTTTCGACGTCGTTGAGTTATCCTCCGGCTTCCTCTCGTTTCCGCCAGACGATTGGCTACGACTTATCGAGAAAGTGCACAGCAACGGGTTGATTGCAAAGCCGGAGCTTGGGATTCAGTTCGGTGCAGGAGGCGATACATCCGCTGCCGAACTCGAGGCCGCGGGACAAAGTGACCCGTTCAAAGTTGTGAGCCTTGGCAAGAAATTTTTGGACGCGGGTGTAGAGCGTCTGATGATCGAGAGTGAGGGAATCACGGAGAATGTAAAAACCTGGCAGACAGACGTCATCCAAGAAATCCTCAAAGACCTCCCGATGGAGCGAGTCATGTTTGAAGCAGCGGATCCAGAAGTATTTAACTGGTACATCAGGGAGTTTGGCGTCGACGTGAATTTGTTCGTGGACCACAGCCAGATCGTGCAGTTGTCATGCTTGAGGAGTGGGATCTGGGGAATGGCTGACTACGTTTGGAAAGGTAGTTAGCTATCGCCAGTAGGGAATGCTTACTGTCATCTTACGGTGCCTTTATGTGGCTCCAGACAAAATATTTGTGTCCACGTTTCGTGTCAAATTTTCATTATGATTGTTGAGTCTGGGCTCTGGGAGGTGAGTGGTAATAGGTAGTACTGTCACTTGACCGGCCTTCATTGAGACATGTAATCGAAGTTGCCTCAAAAGAGACGCCACGTCCACCATCGTTTTCGTCAGTGCACATTATTGTCACCCCAGGGGCCTCGGTGTCACTGCAAGTCAAACATTAATAGTGCCTCTCTGGACTCACTGCCTTACTTCGGGTATCCTACTGACTTGTCCGCCAACGAAAGGGCCGGAAGTATCCAATCACTTGCGATGCCCATCAGATCAAAAATTATCTGGTTAGTCAATCAGTGGCAGTCCTATGATGGAAGAGAATAACAAATAGACGGTCTGGAATTGGCATTGAATTGCAACCTGTGTGCAGTAAAATCTGTTGCCATAATGAGGGCTCGCTTTATTGTGACTGCGCAGCCGAAGGCCGCCGTCGAGGTGTGCATGTGCATTACAGACGAAATCGTGGGCTACACCATACACAGGCATCACGATCCAAAGCTGGAAACGGATCCCCCTGGATTCCTTTCCACCTTGTAAAAATTAGACTTGAACAAGGCACTGAACGAGGTTCCGATCTCGATGCGTATCAGAACTTCGGAGCACGGTGGAATACAAGAGTCCGGTGTATGCATGCTGGCTTACCGAGTCTGGACAGTATGTACTGTCCGAAGTACTGAAGAGGAGATCTTTAGTCCTACTACCCTTTGGAACGGTGGGGCAGGCGGCAGACTGACCCGGATCCTTGCACTGGGGACCCGTTCACAGCGCTCTCAGGGCTTCGGTCGCTGTAACAACTAATCAGTTCATGCCCCATTGTCTGTAGTAAGGCACATGGCTGCTCCGACACACGGCACAGAGCAGCCTCTTCGCACAGCGGGAACAAGGAGACGTTACTATACAGAACTGCTTTAACAGAGCACAGATTGGGCGCCGTTCAGCACTGCGCGCTACGCATTGCACAGGCCCTGCGGGCACTGTGATTGGTCCGATCACGTCATGCAAATTGCCGCCATGATCGTCGGGGAGGCGGGGCTCCCACACACACTGACATACATAAAATTTGGTATTATTAGCACGTGTTCCCGGCCTTACCGCCGGTAAACTTTTAAGACACAAAGAGGCTGACTTGTCTAGCTTTTTTAAAGCTCCTCTGCAGCGTGTACTATCCCGCTTGCGACGTGCTACCATCTACTGGACTCTGTCCATTCGTTTCTTTCGACTGGGTTATTACCCAGTATCTTCTTTTCTTCGTTGCGTCCGGAACGCTAATCTAGTTTCTTCGACTTGACATTATATGTGTTTTTAATGGCTCTCTCTCTCAAAGCGGAGCTTGAGATCTGGGCTGCTGCCCTCAAAGCATACGATGAACAAGAGTTTCTTAAGTCTCTCGAACTGTTCTCGGTGAGTTGCCATTCATCACCTTGCTGGACAATATTTCCGAGTTTTGATGCTACCTGTCGCAACAAGCAAATTGCGGACTCGAGCAAGATTCTAACCAACATGGGTCTCATATACGCTACGATCGGCGAACATGAAGTGGCTGTGGAGCACTTCAGTGCTGCTACCAATCTTGACAAGTTCCTTGCAGTAGCGCAAGTCGACATTTCCTACATCTTTCTTTTGTTCATGGTGACGACGTCCCCTGCACAGGTATTTCCAGTGCGGCGTTTCGAATTTCCTCCTCAGTCACTACGATGCTGCTTACGCGAACTTCGAGGACGCGTATCTCTACCTCCGCGAAAACCTATCCATGTAAGCATTCTCTGCTGCCATCCTGCTAAGTCGGTTACATTTATTGTCATTTTCCATCCAGAAATTACGAACAGCTGGGACTGAAATTCAAACTCTTTTCTGCGGAAGTTTTATTCAACCGGGGTCTTGCCCAGTTATATCTAGGTTATACTGCGGAGGGTATGAATGACTTGAAACAGGCTGCGCAGGAGAAAGTAACCGTCGAGCACGATGTCATCGATGATGCAATCCGGGATCGAGGCGAACGGTACACTGTATTCAGCATCGTACGCTCATCCTCATTTGTTGTAGTTTCTGACATAGTGATGCTCATTGTTGCTTAATAGCCTGTTGGTGTGGTGTACCGTCCACCTGAAAGCAAACTGAAGAATTCCAAAGCGAAGGATTATTTGGGGAAAGCCGTATGTCGCATTCTAGCCCTTTTGTCGCTGTAGAAGCATTGAAGCCGTAAATCAATACAGAAACTAGTGGCCGCCAGTGACGTCAATGATATATATACCGAATTTTCTGGAGTGACGAAGCTCAAGCGAAACAACTCTGATCCCAGTAAGGGTTCCCTGTCGCAGTCAACCTTGAACACCGATTCCAAGGCGGACCCACCTGGCGTTCTGAATCGGAGCGCCACTGCACCTACACCTCGTATGCTTATTATCCTCACGTAGCGTTTTCGGCTGAAGTAACGATGGTTTTTACTGCAGGTACTATCTCTGTAGAGCCCAGTTCTTCCCTCCAACGTTCCAAAACTGTCAATGATGTCCCGAAATCCCAAACTCGCGACCACGACAAAGGCGGGGTGGGTGGATTTGGACGTGGGCGCGTACCTCGTGGCGGTTCAGTAGCACCTCTTCAAATCCTGAAGCCCACGTCGACTACTTCCCGTCACTCCCCAATTTCTCCCCATCATACAAGGACCCCTGAGTCTGAGGCTCAACCCCAGTCACAGCAACCGCAACATTCACCCCAATCTCAACCTCCGCTACCGACCTCTCAGCCTTTTCAGCAACCGCCAAGGCCCCCCAGTCGTCCTACACCACCTAATTCAGGGGACCAGCTTTCTGGCCGTCGTTCGCATTCCGTGTCACATGTGGCAGTGCCGACAACCAATGCGACAGTTAACGGGGGTGGGGCCGGCGCTCATTTGGTACGGCATAATACCTCGTCGGGAGTGATGAGGAGAAATGACGCTGGGATGGCCAGGGAGAGAGTAGTAATTGGTGGAGTAGGAGAACGTGAGCGGTCATGTGTTTTCTTCTTTTGCGGCAGAATGCTGATATTCTCCATAGAATCAACACCTGTATCAGCTCGCTTTGCAGCATTTTACGATGAGTATGTAGGCGCGTATGTCGATGATCGGTCTCCACGTGGATACGACGGGACTGGCAGTGCCAAAGGAAGTCCGCGCGCAATCCAGAGAGGGACGCCCGGGTATCCCATCAATGGATTCGGACCTGCGCATGGCTCCAATGGCGGGCTCGGAGCCCGGTCTAACGACGGGCGTTACGGAAGTGCAGATATTCCAGAGGACGTATATACGATCCGGGTCAAAGTACGTTGATGTGCCTTTTCTGTCCCTCCCAACTGATCTGACTTTCTTCTGGACAGCTACATCATCAAGGCGATGTCAGAGGTATGACGCTCTCTGCAAGCACCACACTTCCAATGTTTTCCTTGCGTGTGGCGGCCAAGTTGGGATTAGCACCAGAGGCGTTGAAATTGAAGTTTGTGGACGAGGACGGGGTGAAGATCAGCTTAAGAGATGAGGAGGACTGGGGCCTCGCAATCGAGACGGCGACGAGTAGGAGTGCTAATAGGGATGGCGGCAGAGCGACGGAGGGCCGGCTGGAGGTTTGGTGTGAAGATGTATGACGCAACGATGGAATCGCTCGCACCAGGACGTGCTGGCGAAGGGTGTACACTGATAAAATGGGTTTCTATATCTTTATGCAATTGGATTTTGTACTTCGATTTTCTCTCGATTTTGTTCTTATAGCAAGAAAGGCGTTTGGATACATACTATGTGCTTGTTGATAAGTCCCGTATAACTAATAAGTATCTACTGACTAAACAATGTTGTGTAGAATATGACCTGCCCTATATTGGCTCCCACGCTTCATACTCAAAAACCCCGACCCACGGTTTTTCATCTTCTCTTAGTGCGGCGACACGAGCCAATCGTTTCCCCATGTTGCTCATGGCTGCCTGTTTTTTATGCAGCTGTTCGAGTGTCAGGCCGTGTCTAGATTGACTCGGACGTCTTAGCACCCTGTATCGCGTCTTCATTCCCTGCAAGGGGCCAGGAAGAGGAGATGGGTCGGTGGTTCTGTACAATTGTAATGTTTCTTGTAACAATGACACAATGTGCATGGTTTTCTTGCAAGGTCTGGTCCTGGAGATGTCGACCGTTCAGTTGCGCAGTGTTGGTTTGGAGACTTGAATGTATTGTAGTTGGGTAGGTGATATGGTCTTCGGTTTACTGTGACTTTCATGACGCGTGGATCACGTGGTACACTGGTAATGAATCGACGCCCTCTACACAGTCGCCCGCTTCGCCTCCTAGACCACATCACGTCAGAGCAGCATGAGCACCTGTTCAATGGAGTCAAATGACGTCTTTCCTCAAGAATATCCCTATGCATGGTCTCCTGCCTCTTCCATGAGCATACAGGATTTTGTATCCAAGGTGGGCAGATTCACAAACAGTGTCGTGTTGTTTACCGCTCATTGCATCGCAGTACAGGCCCTCAATGGTCCAGAATGACGGGACGAAGCCGGTGAGGTTCTCTCTCACCAAATAGTGCTAGCTAACGCCTCGCAAAGTGGATATGGGTGCGAAAGGGACCGCCCCTTTCTGACCGCACTACCAAGGGGAATGTCGCTGCAAAGGAGGCTTCCGAATTATGTGAGTGACTAGCGGTGGGCTCCTTTGCTTTACTCGAATTCCCTCAAGTACAGAAGGTGACAGAAAGAGTGGAGGAGATCAAGGTCACCGGGCCTTACTTTCTGAAAGCTGGCCTTCTGACTTCTTGCTTAGAATGATAGTTCTATTCCGGTGCGATCCAGCAAGAAAACGGGCGCAAAGAGTAAAAAGGAACTCAGGGAGCAGGTGAGGGTGCTTAAACTTCAACAAGAGTTTCATCACTTTTATTAATTTAGGAGCAAGCCGACGCGACGGTGCAGCTGAAGGATATCTCGCAGAAACATGGTTACGTGTGTGGAAAATGGTACAAAGTTCAACTTAGGGGAACTTTCTGGCTCACTCTCACCTCACGCTGTAGGTTAATTTTTGCTCCTTCAGATAAAGTGGATGCAATTTGGGCCAGCGTTGCCAGTAGGGTGTAGTTCGATCTTGACTACTCAGGAGCTTATCTTGCGATTCTTAGACTCTTTGGTTTCAGGCCCGCTCTCCTCTACGGCTACCAGTACTGCGAAGGTGGCCACCTTACCGCAGCACGAAACACCAGGTTATCAACACGTTATTTGTGTCTACATTCCCGACGTGTATGACAGAGACAGTGTGGTCGAGGTACGGTCAGTGTTATGTAAATCGTCCGTCGCTCACGCAAGTTAGGTTATGAAAGTCTTGCTTCGGCGGCACGGCATCAACCTCAGTGGAGTCAAGAGTGATTTGTATACATCAATCGGTACGTGTCTCCCACCCCACTTCGTCATGATGGTGAGCCGTTTTTAGGATTGGATAGCAAGCATCCTAGTGGGGTACCTTCAACGGTACATAGTGGTCTTAGCCTTGAAATTCCGTAAGCTTAAATACCTTTTAGGTCTGGAAGAACACGGCTTTGTTACCGGATTCCGAGATTAAGGTGCGGCCGAATTGCGAATAGTGTGTTTCCGACCTACATAGCAGTTCCAGGAGCTAAAGGATGCATACTTTGCCGAATTGACGTCTGCGAAGATTGCGGCAAAACCTATAGATCGAAAGGAGGAAAATGCACCTCGGAAGCCAGGTCACAGGAAGAGGAAAGCAGAAACAGATGACCCATTCTCGTCCGACAATGACCAGGGTGACAACGCAAAGCTACAGATACCACCCCATGGATCGGCTGGGGGGGATAATACAGCAGAACAGGCTCAGGAGAACAAAAACAGTAAGGCCTCGATATCAAAGACCAAGAAGAGCAAGCTGTCATCCTAGTCTCGTGCACGGCTGACTTAACCTGGTTCTTTACTTCATATTTCCTTATTGTTATATACTTACCCAGGATTCTGGAACTTCGCCTCCGTCGAACTTGCGCCTTGGGCACGAATTCAAGGACCACGAGATCTTTTCTTCTTGATCTTCGTACATTTATGTTTGGCTTCTTGATCCCCGTGCATTGATTTGTGGCGTACGGCGCAATGTCGGAGCTTTGTCTGCCATTTTGTAAGGTCTGCACAGGGGATTTGCAACACTACGCCGGCTTCGATGGTACGTCCGCCAGGGAAAACTCCACCGCGTAATCTGTTATTGCGGTGGAGCTCACTTGCCCAACTGAAAAGAAAATAGCGCACGAACTGAATATCTTAGTGGTTAACTTGCATCATAGAAACTAGAAGCTCTTAAAGCCATGAATTGATCATGATGACGTTAAAAGAGAAGGTAGCTGCCTACCGTATAAGAGGGTCAGTGGTGGTCTTCCAATCTACATCCTGCCCACTCTTGTTAACCGTGGGTTACGATCTCTCGACCTTGTGTCGTGCAACGCTCATTGGGTTCAATAGTGATCATGCCTTACCATTATTATGCTGGCTGGCTCCCGAAAGATCCCGCCGACCTTAGGAAGTGGCTGCAGGTTGAACTCAGGAAGAATCGTTTGCGGTATGGTCAAGACCCAGAGACGGGAGCTGTCACACCTGAGAAGGCAAGGCAGATCTATGCAAGTTTAGCCGAACCCGTCCAGCGGCTTCAAGACTACATCGAACGAGTCCCTGAAGTTTACATGTGGTTCCACCAGATGTTTGACCAGGTCCCTAGCAGTGACGACCTGAAGGTGAGGAGACACATTATACAAGAAGTCCGATTCACGATGTTTGTGCAGATCACTGATTACCGGGAAATAATGTGGTTGATCAATAGATATATTGGCGAGGCACCGAGCTTTTCGTCGGGCCCCAGTGGCTACGTCAGCGGCGTTATGATCTATGGTATTCTGGCACCATTCTGTAACACGGTTGCCGGTTTCTCCGCCTTCGTCGATAAAGGGGTCAACGAATGTTTCAAACAAATCTTCCTGACATGGCAGGCCTACCTCGTTACGTCGGCTTCTGCCAGCGTGCTCAACAGCACAGAGGAAGGCGGCTAGTTCACTACCGAAGCTCTGCTTGCTTTAGGATGAGGCTGCTGGTGGTGCCTTCCGGAACGTCTACGTCTGCGACCCGGATGCGGAATATTGGGGCTTCAGTTCCTTTGACGATTTCTTCACCCGAGCTTTCCAAGACGACGTTCGCCCTGTCATGAACCCTGATGACCTGAACATCGTGACCGCATCATGTGAATGTGCCGTAGACAAATTTACATATCAGGTCAAGAAGTCGGACACATTCTGGATCAAGGGTACTCCGTACTCTTTGGAGTACATGCTCAACCATGACTCCCGGGTGGATGACTTCGTTGGCGGTACAGTTTTCCAAGGCATCCTCAGTTCCCTCAACTATCATCGCTGGCACAGTCCCGTCAGTGGTACTGTCGTATCCGCGTCCGTCGTTGAAGGGACGTACTATGCTGCTCGACTTGACAATGATACCGATCCGGATGTCGTTTCACGAAGCGATGACTTCATTTCCAACATCGCGACTCGCGCTATCATCTTCATTCAGGCGGATAGTGATGATATAGGTTTGATGTGCTTCATAGGCGTGGGGCTAGGAGAGGTTTCAACATGCCAAATTGATGACGGTCTGGAGGGCACACATGTGGACAAGGGAGATCAAATTGGAATGTTCAGGTTCGGAGGGTCGTCTCACTGCCTCGTTTTCGGTCCGCAAGCACAGGTGAATGCGTTTGTGGAGGCTGGCGATAATGTGAAGCTCAATACAGCGATTCTTGGAGTGACGAGTTCAACGAGTGGCTAACCTGATATGAAATGTTCAGTTCTACGCAGTTCTTGGTTGTTGACTTGTTGCATTGTATGAGTAGTGTAGTCGCGCCGGTTTTTGGACCTTTTCTGCAGTGTAACTTGTTGTCGCCGATAAACCACTCACTGAGCTGGGGTTGAGAACATCGGCTCTGTTTAGCTTGCATAGTATTGAAGAAATGGAATCATAAGCCCATTTTCCCTTTATACTGATTCTTGATTGGCGATATCTCGAATTGTGTGAGTGAAGTTGGCTGCGTCATTGCGAAAGGTCCACTGATACTAAGGAGGTATTAGATGAATGAATCGCTGCAATACGTTGACCTCGCGAGATGTCAGCGATCTTAGCACTCAACTCAGCGTCCATGGCGGTGGTCTACAGTTTGTTGTGCTCTGTCCGGCGTTCGGTCCGGTGGAATCAGTGTCACATTCTTTCCCTAGAATCGTATTAGCTGCAGCAGACCAATCTCTGAGTGCACCGGTGCAGAGTATCAGAAAAAAGAAGGCGGATATGCCTGCAGCCCTGTGGGCGATAAATCGACAACTTCGCGATCCCTCGCGGATTGTATGGTGGTATGATTCTTGCTGACATTTCTAGCATCACGGGTTACTATTGGTCACTTCTGAAACGTTATCAGGTATGTCAACCGACATCATTGGACAGTATTCTCGCTACGCATGACGACGCTCATGATCTAACTTCTTTAATTCATAATCCGTGACACCGACCAAGTAGCCGGACGGTTAAGGAGAAAGGAAAGCAGCTGCGGCGCTCACAGCAATGGCTACCAGATGTCCCACATTTGGTGCCCGTGGGTGCGATGTGCCACCTCGTAATACCCCTGGATTCTGTCCATTCGGTCTCCTTGATATTACCCACTGAGTACGTTCTCTTTCTCGCGTCCGGAACGCTAACCCAGTCTCTTCAGCGTCACGTTACAGTACTGTACACGTGTTTTTAATGCCCCTTCGCCTCAAAACAGAGCTTAATATCTGGGATTCGGCCCTCAAAGCATACGACAAGCAAAATTTTTCCACATCTCTTGAGTTGTTCTCAGTGAGTTGCATGCATCACGCTGCTGCATGGTATTTCGATTCCTGGATGCCACTGTAATAAGCAAATTGCGGACTCGAGCAAGATTCTAACCAACATGGGCCTCATATACGCTACCATCGGCAAACACGAAGCGGCAATTGAGCACTTCAATGCCGCTACCAATCTCGACAAGTTCCTTGCCATTGCGTATGTCGGCATCCCCCCTTTCTTGTTGCTCATGCTGACCACGTCCTCTACACAGATATTTTCAATGCGGCGTGTCGAATTTCCTCCTCGGTCGCTACGATGCCGCTTACGCGAAATTCCAGGACGCATATCTCTATCTTCGCGGAAACCGGTTCATGTAAGCCTTCCATGCTGCTTCCTGTTGAGTCGTTTACAACCTCGTCGCTTTCTGTCCAGAAATTATGAACAGCTAGGACTGAAATTCAAACTCTTTTCTGCCGAGGTTTTATTCAACCGGGGTCTTTCCCAATTATATCTAGGTTACGCTAAGGGTATGAGTGACTTAGAGCAGGCTAGGAAGGAGAAGGAGGTTATTGGGCACGAGGTCATCGATGATGTGATACGAGATCGAGGCGGACAATACACCGTGTTCAGCGTTGTACGTTCATCGTCAGCTTTCGCATTTTCTGATGCGGATATATTCATTATTGCACATTAGCCTGTTGGCGTGCTGTACCATCCGTCTGAAAAGAAGCTCAGGAATTCCAAAGTCAAGGATTACTTAGGGAAAGCCGTATGTCATCTTCGAGCCCTTTCGTTGCCACGGGAGCGTTGAGATTGATACAGAAACTAGTGATTGGAAGCGATCTCGATGATATATATAGAGAATTTTCTGGAGTGACAGAGCTCAAGCAGAACTCTGATCCCAGTACAAGTTCCCCACTGGAGTCAACATCGAACGCCGATCCTAAAGCGAGCCTATCTGGTACTCCGGACCGAGGCGCCACCGCATCTATATTCCGTACGCATCATATCTCTATGTTGTAATTTACGTTGACGTAGCAATGATTTTTACCGTAGGTACCCGATCTATAGGACCGAGCCCAACCACGGAACGCTCCAAAACCATAAATGGTGTCCCGAAAACACAAACCGGCTGACCCTGACGAGGGCGCCGATGGTGAATGTGGACGGAGAACGCGCACCTCGTGGGGATTTTATGGCACCTGTTCCAATTCCGGAGCCCCTATCGACCGCCTCTCATCTCTCACCAATTTTTCCCCATCGCCCAAGGACCCCCGGGTCTGACGCTCAACCACAGTCCCGACAGGGCCGTGCGGCTCGTTTCACTTGCTTGTTTCCTGTCCCCAGGTATAGATGTACGATTTCTCGCAGTCTGGCGACGATGTGCTGCTCAATACATAGATCCTCGGAGTGAACGAATCCACGACAGGCTAATGTAATATGAAATCTTCAGTGCATTCTGTATAGATCCTGATCAACGGTTGCGGCGGGTCATCCTACTGCATCATGTTCTGTCTCCAAGTATAGGTGGCATAGTTCGTGCAATCTGGCGATGGCAGCGAGACTCAATATGCTGATTCTTGGAGTGAAGGATTGACAAAGAATGACTTGTTGTATTGTTTGAGTAGCCCAGTCGTGCCGGTTTTTTGATACTTTTACTTTACTTTAGCTGGAATATAACCCCAGTCCCCAAAGAGCCCATACACTGCATAAGGCATTTCTTCTTGACCCGTCTACGGCATTAATGTTTAGGGAACGTCGCGACTTGGATGTGCCCAAACTTTTGTAAGGTAATTGGTACATTTTGGTGATCAGGGTGAACACACGGCTGAAGAACTGTACGATTGGGGAGATATCGGTGACAAAATAGCCAGCATTCGTATTCAGTGTCCACAGCGCCGGTTTGACGCGGTCATTTCACACACAAGTTGGAACTTGACGAAATGGAAGACAATTGCATAATATTTCATCCACAACGACTCGAACTGTGTGCTCGATCTGGTGGAATTGGAATCGCATCAGCCAGGGACGTGGCAGTATATCCCGGGGTGCACCGACGCAGAATATCTATATCAACAGAGACAGACATATGAGTCTGCAACCTAGTGCCCCACAACTTCGCGTTCCCTTGCAAATCGGACGAGAGGTGCGGTGGTATTCGAGCTGGAACCTACCGGGTATGTCAAGTTTCAGCCTACATCTACAGGGGGTATCCCAGTTACGACGTGCCATCTCGTGTAGCCCCGGAGCGCGTCCATTGAGTCGTTCACCTCCTTGTATTATCCAGTCTCTCTTGCGTCCGGAACGCTAACCCAATCTCCTTGACATTACATTACAGTACATGTGTTTTTAATGCTCCTCTGTCCCAAGACAAAACTTAAGGTCTGGGCCGCTGCCCTCAATGCATACGATGAACAAGAGTTCCTCAAGTCTATCGAGCTGTTCTCGGTGGGTTGACATGTACCACACTACTGCACGGTATTTCCAAATCTTGATGCCACCGCCCACAATAAGCAATTCGCGGATTCAAGCAAGATTCTAACCAACATGGGTCTCATATACGCTACCATCGGTGAACATGAAGTGGCCATTGAGTACTTCAATGCTGCTACCAATCTCGATGAGTTCCTTGCCGTCGCGTATATCGATATTTTCAACACTTACCTGTTTCTCATGCTGACGGCGTCCTCTTCACAGGTATTTTCAGTGCGGCGCGTCGAATTTCCTCCTCGGTCGCTATGATGCTGCTTGCGCGAACTTCCAGAACACACATCTCTATCTTCGCGGAAATCAATTCATGTAAGGTTTCTGTGCTGCGTCCCGCTGAGCTGTTTGCGCCTTTGTCGCTTTCCATCTAGAAATTATGAGCAGTTGGGCCTAAAATTCAAACTATTCTCTGCCGAGGTTTTGTTCAACCGGGGTCTTTCCCCAACTATATCTAGGCTGCACTGAGGGTATGAATGACTTAGAGCAGGCTAGGAAGGAGAAAGTGACCACTGAGCACGACGTTATCGATGATGCAATTCGGGATCGAGGCGAACGATGCACTGTATTCAGCATCGTACGTTCGTCTTCACCTGTCACAGTTTCTGAGATAGCGGTGCTTATCGTTGCATAACAGCCCGTTGGTGTGCTGTGCCGTCCTCCAGAAAATAAGCTTAAGAATATCAAATCAAAAGATTACCTGGGGAAAGTCGTACGTTGTATTCCAGCCCTCCCGTCGCTGTAGATAAATCAATGCAGAAACTAGTGGTTGGGAGTAACATCGACGATGTGTACATCGTATTTTCTGGAGTGACAAAGCTCAATCGAAAGTCTGGTCCCAATAAAAATTTTCCGCTTGAGTCAAACTCGAACACTAGTCCTACGGCGGACCCACTTGGTGCTCTGAAGCAAAGGCTCACTGCATTCATACTTCGTGCGTTTCGTACCCCCGGTGCTGCAATTTCAGCTGAAGTAACAATAATTTTTGATGTAGGCATCGGATCTGCAAAACTGAGCCCATCTCTCGAACCTTCCAAGCCCATAAGCGATGTCCCGGGAACGCAAACTGACGACCTTACTGAAGTGCCTGATGGTGAACGTGGGCGTGAATACCCATCTCGTGCCTCCGTGGCATCTCTTGAAATTTCGAAGACCTCATGGACTACTTCTCGTCTCTCAATTGTTCCCTACCACACGACGATTCCTGGGTCTGACTCTCAAGCGCACTCACGACAGGGTTTGGTGGGTCGCCTCACTTCCTTATTTTCGGTTGCTAGGTACAAGCGGAAGAGGTTGTGCAACTTAATACACTGATGCCTAAAGTGACGAATCGACGAGAGGCTAACGTGATACGATATGTTTGACTTGTTGCACTGTGTGAATGAGTAAACATGTACATAAATATTGCTTGGAAAGTTGTACCTGCGATATGGTCAACTCACTAACATAGAGAGTGGAACCTACGACCGCGCCAAGGGTTGATCTATGGTACGTTATAAGCCATGTACCGCTAGTGGTCCGGTTGTCGATTCGCGGATGTCATGGTGGTCTTCTTAGCCGGAGACATTCCCCATTGTGCATGTTCGTTGTGACTACATTTCCTTTGGGTTTGACACAAAAGGCCAGTCCATCCAAGACAGCAAAAATACGCATCTCCACCTGCTAGCACACAGTCCGAAGAGGACATTCTGCCCAAAGATAAATTGTAATAGGCACATCTATACAACAAGGCAGGGTTGAGTGGAACAGGTAGCTTCGTAGATGGAACTGCATACGCTCCGCTTGGCCGCTTGCTTCCGTTGTTACACATTCTAGTCGACTGTGCGTAGGTCTTAAGTGTTCACGACATCCATCTTTCGCAGCGAGGGTAGCTCACACTCACCTCTTCGGAAAAATCCTGAGGGGTTACACGAGGTGCATTCCCGAGGGAGTGGAAATTGTCTAAAGCTCTGTGGCTACAAAGATAGACTGAGCTGGCCAAGAAAGCACCGACGAGGGCAAAGGTAAAGAGTCGCATGACTGAAAATTGGTAGTGTGCAGCTGTATGAGCGTCCCGTCATATAATAATGAGAGAAAAGTGAGTCATATGATCACGAGGCATCATCGTGGATGAATTTATAACATTACGGGCTCAACGTGGGCAATATAATGACAGGGTTCCTGGCAGGTAAAGGGTGGACTCCACTGCTGGTCCGTTTGGGGCAATGCATGCTAGTCCGAGCTGGGGGGTGGAAGGAAACGGAAATGGGTTTAGTGCATTAGATAGGGCTTGATAGATGTCATTAAAACCGTGCTCATCCGCTTGGTAGACGCTGCTCGGATGACAAGTAGGTGAGCTCCCTTCATACAGATCCGGGAGATGAAAGGAGGAGTTCCAGACCATATATTATACTATGCGATGACTTGACAAGCACTTGCAGCCTTGCAGAATCCTCTTTGGGAGTTTCCCGCTAGCAGACGCTGTATGAAATGCCGACATGAGCGAGTGGCAAGCGCCTAGCCGGATGGCCGTGGAAAGAAAGCAAGAGCGACCCTGAGTGTGATGTGGTGATGATGGCGAGATTCCTTCAACGGTGAGGCGACAGGGAGCTCATGAGGCAGTCAGATCACTATTAGAAGGAAATGGGACGCAAAAAAGTAGACGGGGGACGAACATATGATATGTGTGTTCCAACTCGATCAACGAGACTGATGGAGAAGCGTATGAGCCTGACAAGACAGGACACCAGTGGCGAGGTGGCAGGTGACTACACAGACTTTGCACATTTGTTCTGCCAGCGGCTAGTATGCTTTTTCGCTGTGGTAATTCCAGACCTGCCGGTGTTTGGGACTCGGAATCTGGTCTGGGAACATTTGAAGACGGGAAAACGCTATGAAAATGGCTGCTCGAGATCGACCGTCAGAGAATATATACAAGGCTGATATTGCCTTCTGAAAGGATGCTCTCATGGATCGAGTCGGTGGACTCGGTCGATATACTGATCTTGAGTGACCTCGACTGCCACACGCTGTCACCGACAGCTCTATTGGATGTTCTTGTTAAACCAGGATGTGGCCTAACATTCAATACTACTGTCCTTGTCTCTCGACTGCCAACGCTCTGACACCTCCCCCTCCGATTCTCGCATCGTCCTCAGCAAGTTTTCACTCTCTGCACAACTTGTACTTTTGTGAGGAGTGCGACGCCGTCCGGTGTAACCGATGCGTCTCGGTTGAAGTCAGTGGATATTATTGTCCGAATTGCTTGTTCGAGGTCCCTAGTGCGAGTGTCCGCGCAGAGAAAAACAGGTGAGTGTTCGCTGTTTTCATAGTACACATGTCCTTCCACGACTGTGCACGCTAGATGCGCCCGGAATTGTTTTTCCTGTCCAATTTGCCGTGCAACGCTGTCTGTCGTGGCATCAGATCCCCCCGATGATGGAACCGGTCGACCTATCACACCCCTCAATAATGTCGGCGAGGGACCATATCTTTTATACTGCAACTACTGTAGATGGGATTCGACTGAAGTCGGCATAACATTCGAGAAGCCCACTGGGCTGGCAGGTACGAGGTGGCTTGTTCATTTTGTCTCCAATGCTCATATCAGGGTCGTCGCCATCGACCTCTCCTCTACAGCCCAGCTGCAAAAGTACGAGGATTCCGCGCCAGAGTCTCTGGAATTCGAACGCTTAAAGGAACACTTTGAACCTTTCCTCCGTACATCCTCTCTTTCATCTTCGACGCACTTGCTGCCCCCGACTTCTCACCACCTCCACACCTCTTCTGCCACGGCCGCTGCTTCTGCTGCGCTTTCGCGAGATATACCTGGTATTAGCAAGTATAATCCGCTTTCTCGTAGTCGTTCCGGCCGCGACCGTACGGCTAACAAAGACGAGATGGCCGAGTATAAGAGCAGAGTTGAAGTAGGCCTCTTTGGGCAACTCGGTAGCGGCGGTGACGACGCGGATGTGGAATTGCTCAGATGCACAGAGACGGTTGGAGAAATTGCGAAACTTGAGCAACGCTGGGGGAACAGTTGGATAACATCTCTTCGAATGAGGTGGGTCAATTCCATGTCATCTGAGGACCTAATTGTGATTCCTCTGGCAGTGAATTACGGCCTCTCCGTATACCTCTACACTCGAAAGTCTCCAAACGATGTCCCGCATGTCGACATATTCTAATCAAGCCGGAACAAAAGGCACAGTCCGTCCGATACAAGATCAAGCTGGCAGCGGCCAACTACTTGCCTGCACTCAGCGTTGGATTTACTCAAACACAAGCATCGAAACGGGCACCGGGGAAAGGAGTAGAGCCGAGGAATGTCGGCGTAATGCTGGCAGGGATCACCAATAATACCTTCCGAGTTGCTCTGACGAATCCACTATACGACCCCATCCAAGTGCGGCTGTCGCCACAGAGAGTTACTGATGGCCGCGGGTTCCAGGTGTCGCTTCCCCTGACGCCTTTTTCCATTGGTGCATTTGCAGAAGCATGGGAGTATGACGACGATGAGGACATGTTCGGTGTGGAAGATGACGAGCTTGGTCTTGAAGTGGGTAGAGGATCTCGCGATAAAGATGCGCGTGGGCGAACAAAGAATGTGGGGGTGTTGGAGAGAAGGGCAAACGTGACAGTTGTGGGAGGGGAGGTGAACGTTCACAGATCTTACCGAGAGCAGGTAAAGGTATGCGATCGATCGTCCAGGAGAAAGATAATACGGCTCACAGACGTGCCTTCACAGTTCAACATGTTGGTCTCATATACGTACAGGTCAGACGATCCGCTTCCGTCAGAAGACGGGGCAGGCACGCCCTCCCGTGCAGTAGTGAAAACACCGGAGGTCAAGACGTTTTCATTTTACACAGTAGTTGATCTTGGACCTGTTTTATCCAAAGACGATTCAGTCTAGGTAACAGATGTAAATTAGATGCTGTGTCGTAGTAGGGCGCACTCAAATCCACTCGTGTGGGGCGGTTTTTTCACGTGCGTTTGTAGTTAGACTCCAATGACGATCCCGACCCCGACAGCCGTCAATATTGTTGCCGTGGCTAATCCCAATTTAAATCACCTCAGCTCAGGCAAGGGCCTGCACTATTTCAACGCCCACCATGGCCCGCGTACCCGTCATCGGGAGACTTTCTCCCCATGAGTACATAGCCCTCGTCGCCAGCGTATCCATTCTTGCTTTCGAAACCCTCCTTCGAGTCATCATCGTCTTCCTTCCAAAGTCTGTCATTGACTGGTGTTATGGTCGTTCACGCATCCTTTTCCACCGTTTCTCGACGCATGCTTTTCCCAAATCCACAGAAGACAGGCTACCGAATGACATCCGCGAAGCTAAAGACTTCGGCGAACTGTGCGCTTTGTGGGGATACACGTACGAGGAACACGTCGTCATGACCAAGGATGGGTATTTACTTGGAGTGCACCGTATTCCTGAGATCAAAGGACGTGTGAGGACAAGGCCAGGGACAAGCACCGGGAAAGCAGTCGTGTATCTACACCATGGACTCCTGATGAACAGTGAAGTCTGGGTTTGCCTTACTCATGAGCAACGGTGTCTCCCATTCGTCCTCGCCGAGCAAGGTTGTCTCCACCTGATAGCTTTGTCGTGTAAGAGTGCGCTCATCTTTTTCCAGGTTTCGATGTCTGGATGGGAAACAACAGGGGCAATAAATACTCCAAAAAGTCTATCCACCACAGCCCCAATTCACACAAGTTCTGGGATTACAGTCTCGATAATTTTGCATGGCACGACATCCCCGACACCATCGAGTACATCCTCAGCATCACCAAAGCTGGGAGTCTGAGCTACATCGGGTTTAGCCAGGGCACAGCGCAGGCGTTCGCCGCTCTTAGCATTCACCCACAACTGAACCAGAAGGTAAACGTGTTCATTGCGCTGGCACCCGCCATGAGCCCGGCAGGCTTGTCGCAGCCCATAGTGGATGCTTTGATGAAGGCTTCGTACGTTCTTTCTCCTTCGGCGAGATGGGTCGCGGTAGCTAATTTGCCCAATGCAGTCCGACTTCTATGTTTCTCTTCTTTGGTCGTAAAGCTATCCTTTCTTCTGTGACGACCTGGCAGTCCATTTTATACCCGCCGATCTTTACCTATGTCATCGACACTGCGCTCGCCTTCCTGTTCGACTGGCGATCCCATAACATTGCTTATTCCCAAAAGCTTGCTGCGTACGCGCACCTGTATTCTTACGCGTCTGTAAAGTCGGTCGTGCACTGGTTCCAGATTATGCGAGAGGCCACCTTCCAGATGTATGACGATGACATCGGATCGGCGTGGGGTGTCCTGCATATGCATGCGTACACCCAATCCCGTCCTAGCTCCGTGAACAAGTCGAGGTGTAAGGATGACCCAAATTCCAATTACCCTCAGCCTACAAGTTTGTCGCTCACCACTGGCCCCTCCAATTCTCCCACTTCGACCTTGTCCCCTATTGACTCCCCGAAGGTGATCTCATCCGCGCACTCTCCGCCCACCGGAGGTGGACCTGCATACCACCACCCACCCTCTCATGCACGCGCGAGGTCGTACCGTCCTGTTCGCTTCCCAACGCGTAACATCACAACACCTATTGTCCTCATATACGGTACTGCCGATTCGCTTGTTGACATTGACACAATGCTTAGGGAGCTCCCCAACCACTCGACAACTGCGATCTCCCTCGATGGGTATGAGCACCTGGACGTCATTTGGGGCCAGAACATTCACGTGGACGTTTTCCCGGAGGTGCTGAACGCATTGCGCACGTGGTGTGAAGGTGGTGGTAGTGGTTCCGGTATTCGACGATACGACAGCAAGCAAGGGATGGATGGTGGACTCTCGAGGGTCTTTCAGGAAGCTGAAAAGGCGAGCATTCGAGCAGATGAAAGGTGAAAATCGAGGTATACGGACATCGGCTTCCTCGTACATATCGTGATTCCCTACGGTAGGACAGGGATATAATCTATGTAGTCTGTACGATGTGCCTCTACTACACGATTGAAGTGCGGGAATTATTGGGGGAGGGTATCCTGATCCGATCCTTTTTTCGATTTTCTCTTGGTCTTGTCGCTACTGGTGACCTTCACTTTCGCCTCCTTTCGTTTCTTTTCGGTGCTCTTATTAATCACACTGGTATCAGCCAAATTCTTCGTCTCTCCGTCTTCGTGTCGGCTGTCCTTCTCGATTTCGACGTCTCCTGTGTTTTTATCCTTCTTCCGTTTCTTGTTTTTGTGGTTCTCTTGATCGCCTCCACTTCGTGATCGCGAGTTCAAATATCCTGTAGCCAGCGTTTCCTGAGCAATCGGTGTATTCTCCAGCGACGGAGGTGAAGGGGTGCTCGCCGACGTAGATGAAACAAATCCCAGTCCGATTCGCTGCTGTGGGGCCCCATCCGCCCCAGAAGAGGATACCAAGGTACGAGACGCACCTAGACCACTCCGCGGGCGGTCATAGTCATCATCCCCGCTGGACGGAGTGGGGGTGGACACCGTGGATTTTTTAGCTGAAAGTTTATCCTTGAAGTAGTCTGCTAAACTTTTTGTTGATGTAGTGAGCTGTTCTAGGGATGGGTGTGTATCTTCTGGTGCAGACGAGGACTCTGGGGTTGGGGATAATTGCCTTGGGGTTACCAGCGATGATGACGGGGTGGATGATGAGGGCGCAATGCCTAGAATCTCTGATATGGCCGCTGTGGACTTGGTAGCGAGGCGTTTGGCGGCTTGGAAGCGGGCACGGTGGCTGTTTGTAAGTGTCAGGAAAGGGATATCGGATGCATCACAGGTGAAGATAGGCGTACGCCATGGGACGACCCTTGATCTTGGGTCGGAGATTATCAGTCGCTGTAGCTTCTACCGACGAAGAGGTCGGCGCGCTGTCATTTTGGACAGTGTCATCAACAACTTCTTGCGTTACACTATGCTCCCTTGTACTTTGCATTTCATCCTTTTGCTTCCGCTCCTTCTTCTTCTTCTTCTGTTCTTCAGATCCATCGCTTTCGTCGAGGTGTTTCCGCTTCCGTTTTCGTTTCTTGTCCCTGGCAATATCGACGCCCCCGCAATCTGCAGCATCCTCCTGCACCTTACCTTCTGTTGCAGAAACAAACCCTCCTTGCTCCACTGCTCCGTTCTCCTCTTCCTCCGCCTCGTCCTTGTTCGCCCCTTCGTTCAATCTCTTCAGCAGAACTTCAAAATCTCTATTCTGTCTCCACGCAATCCCATGTGGATCTTTTTGGTGTGCCGCGCCGATTCCAAGCATGTCTAGTTTTTGGGAAACCTTAAGGTTCGATTTCATTCCATCGCCTGATGCACCAAGTCCGACGCCCTGAGTTGCATCCCAGCCAAACTTGGAGAAGGTAAGCTTGACCGAAGCGGGAAGCGTCTGTCGGTGGGAGGCGTTGGGTGGATTAGCGAGTGTGCAATGGTACATATAAGAGAGAAATACCATCTGCCCATGACAGGTTGCGGGGGTCAGCTGGGATGCGCTGTTTTACTTTTCGACCTGCGAGGCCCATCAGTGGATGATGTGAAGGACCGTTAACTTTATTTATTTATTTATTTTTGCACTCCAAGTTTCCTCAATATTCTGCACGCCACAAGGCTCCACTCCAATGCAATGCTGAAGTCGGTGCGCCCGCTGCCAATCAGGCGGGAAGGCGTTCTTCTCGGCTTGTTGTTGGCCTTACTACTCTGGGTTTCGGGTACCAACCTCGGCGTCTGGGAGTCACGCTCCGCAGGTTCCTTGTACCACGATTTTCTAGATGTGACGGACCCTCAAAAAGGTGGCAACAATGAGCAGTGGAGGGTTCGTCTCCCCTGGCACACCAAGTCAAAAAGAGTTCCGCAAACGAACGTAGTCTACCATGCACCTGGTATGAGCAGAGTCTTTGGAACCTAATCGCGTCTTTCATAACTGTGTGGTGCAGGCTGGACGATCTTTGACAACCTCTACGTCCTTAACGGGACCGTGTATGTCGTGACAGACGAACCAGAGACCGTTCCCTCTCGCGAAACAATGACGTCGACGGGTATTAAAGTCGAGAATGGTGTGGAGGCTGTCAGGGCAAGATTGCCTACCGACCGCGAAATGCGTATTATCTCCACCGAGGAAGCAGGCAAACTGTTTGGCCCTACTATCGAGGTCATAGACGGTACCACCGTGAGTGTCCCCGTTCCACTCCCTAATATAATTGATTTTTCCGTCTCTAGTGGCTCGTTAACGACCCACCACAATTGTACGTCTTTGCCTGCTAGTTTTTGACTTATCTGACGTTGGCTTTCTCAGTATCACGCACTACTACCACTGGTCTGCTGAGCTCTTCTTCGGATTTTGGCGCACTTATTCCTCCCTTGATCCCACTATCCCTACGACAGGACGCACTCCACTCCCTTCGCTACGACGTGTCTGGTTCGCACATACCGATTCCGATCACTGGCGTGACTATGCCCACATGAATGAATGGGTCCTCCGCAGCACTTTTCCCTCTCTCACTTCTGAGTACTTGAATGATTGGAACGAGCGTGCCGAACTAGGCCGTCCCTTTATCCTCGACCGTGTCATTTTCTCGGACCGCGCAGCAGCGATGCACGGGGAAGGCTTCCTGGGTACGGGTCGTTTTGCTGCAGAGGCGTTTGAGTTGCCAGGCAGCCAGCACTGGTGGAGCACAATTCGGAATAACGTCATCAAATTTGCAGGCCTGGACGAGGACATCCACGCTGGAATAACTGATAGTCCTGTGATTACATATATATCCAGGCAGGAGTGGGGCAGGCGGATGTTGAGAAAAGAGGATCATGAGCGGCTGGTAAAGGAATTGTATGCCCTCAGGGATGAGCACGGGTATGAGGTAAACATCGTGAGCATGGATAAACTCTCGCGAGTGGAACAGATAAGACTCGCAGCCCGTACAACGGTGAGTATGGGAGTAGATTTTTGGGCTGCTTGTCTGTTGACCTCGTGTACCGCGTGATGCAGATCATGATGGGCGTACATGGGAACGGACTGACGTCGCTCGTATGGATGAAACCGTCGGCACGTACGACGGTGATCGAGTTTTTCTACCCAGGTGGCTTCGCACACGACTACGAGTACACGGCACGCTCGCTGGGGATGACGTACAACGGCTTTTGGGACAACAAGTCGGTGTCTCCTTGAATCTTGTGTAGGACAGTGACTGACCTGTCGCCGAATCATTTTCAGGACCTTTACAAGTACGGAACTACCACGCGTAGCGTATCCACAAGGTTTCCAAGGGAACAGTATCCCAGTTGACGGTTCGGCCGTTGCGAAGCTTTGTCGAGAGAGGCTCAATATCAAGAGTGAGTAGACAACTCCATGTAGACGCTATACGCGCGGTGGTACGCTGGTTAGTCCCCCCTGCAGCTTAGATTTTTTGATCTTGGAGTTCAGCACCAGACACTGTCACACATCCTATCGCAGTAACTAGCTTCAGCCTTCAGGGCATGGACCTGTACTCGTTGCTGCTTTTACCTACATACTATCACTACCATCGGACACAGCCTACGTACGTTTTTGTGATAATTCTTGCTCTGAGCTGCGCCCTTGCAGTATGTCTGTTGGCGCACGTGACCGTGATGTGTGTTGAGATTGCGGTGCCAAAGTCACCGCTAGACTCAGAACGAGGGGACATTATTTGAGGAGCAGCTCCGTCGTTGGCGGTGGCGGCCAAAGATCCAACAACTTTTTGTCGATGGGGAATGTCGACAGCGATGGGCACGGTTATGTGCATGGGCAGGGCTTACCCGCTGACGGTATGTCGGGCCCCGTGGCGCGTGTTGTGGGCGTCAACGAAATGGCAGGATCCTCAATAGAGAAACGCACGCGATCGCAAAGGACCGCCCCTGACGACATTCTCCGTGTGCCTCTGACGCGTTCTCCTCTGAAGGACGCCAGAGCACAGGCAAGAGCCAGGGACGCGTCACAGAAACACTCATTCGAATCATCCGCAATGAATCAGAAACGATTATACGCGGGCGCTGATTCGGAAGAAAGTTCACGTTCAGACAACCTGGAGTTTTACAGAGGACTACAGGCCACAGGGGGGAATGGTGTGGGGAAGTCTGAAGACACGTCGTGCGATGACGTCAGGATGTCCTTCAGACGGTGAAGGAAGTCGAGACGACAATGAACTAACTCATTCTATGGAAAGAGAAGTGACGAAGAAACGACCATCTCCGGACACCCAACCACGTTTTACAAGTCCGAGCGCGGTGCACGACCGGAAACGAGTCAAAGTTGAGGATGCAAGGAAGCCTTCACAGGAGAAAGAGGGAGAACATTCAGCACTGGAGTATGAGGTGCACCTGCGTGATGATGACGATAATGGCAGTTCCGGCAAGTACAACAGACGTTTCGTTCGTGCGTCATCGGTGGTTTCCCCGAGCAAGGCCCCGTTTATCTTCCCTCAGCGTTGCACATCTGTACCTCTAGATGGAGAGGATGTCGTCCCGTCTGTCGACCTTACGGCGATTCCACCCTCGCCTCAACGTTCCCCGAACAAGAGAGATATTGAAGTTAAGCGCGCACCGTCTCTACCTCCGATGGCCTCAGACTCCATGGAGGTGGACGAAGGGGAACTTCGTTCTGATGGTTCGACACATTCCGGCGATGCATTGCCCAACCAGCGGAAATTTCCCGCCTTCAACTACACGGTAAACTTTGCTACGCCTATCGCCAGCAAACGCACTATCTATCCTCTGATGACACCGCTATCTCCACTTACACCTCTTCCACCGACGCCATTCACGGGACGGCTGCAAAAGGCCCAAAGTATACCCCAAGTAAGTTGTATCAGCCATGTCAGTAAAGTCCTCTGATGAATTCGTTGGAACAACTGCTGCAATATATTCTTCAGGAAACCCTTCATGGGCTGGAGGATGAGATGGATACTGATGCAGATTCACTCACAAACATCCCTATATCCCCGACCGGTGCCACTTCCACTTTGGATTTTTCTACCGCGAAATCCACAGCTTCATGTGAACCCTTGCCGAGGGCGAGCTCCCGCCCGTCCTCAGTCGCCTCCTCGCTAACTTCGGAATTGACCAGTATTGAGGACATTACTGATCTACCAAACCTGTCTCAAGAACTCATGCCACCCCCTGCAGTTCCTCCATTGGAGCGTCAAGAAGACACTGCTGCTGGCTCATCTCCGCAGTCGGGACAGAAAAGCTTACCGCCTGCCCACTCCACCGCCACGAGTTCTTCAACGTCCAAGCCGGCGATTTCTACCTCTGTTTTTGCAAACCGACCTGGTGGCCCGCAGAAAAAGCGGTCAACCATCGCCGGGGCGATGAAGCCAAGGCCTGTGTCTTCAACCTCCGCAGTTCCTAGACGTGTGACGCGGAGCTTATCTGTGAATAAGACAAGTGGCGATATTCCCCAAGAAGATGGAGTGAGTCGACGCGAGTTTAATGGGCAAATTCAGCCTTATGTGCCTCGTACAACTGCCGTAGCGCCAATCCCTTCCAATCCGACACCAACAGGTAACCATTTGGGTCCTCGTTCTCCGTGCCTACCTCAACTAAAGCCTGTCCCTTCGCAGCTATTTCTAAACATGGACCTGCTGCTCCACAAGGACGTCCAACGTCGTCATCCACGTTAATACCACCGACGGCTGGAAAACTTAAGCAGACTTCTTTAAATACGTTTATAAGACCAAAATCGGCTGCTACCACTTCTACGACAGCTACGACAGCATCTGGACCTGCCCATGTATCGAATTCCACAGTGGCGGCTGCCGGCCCATCCAAACTCGCGCCTCTACCCTCTCCGTCCAAGATTCCTCTTCCTGTGTCTCCGATGAAACATACGCCTGGGAAGGCGAAAGGACGCGCATTCACTTCAACAATATCAGATTCTAATATATTCGCTGGAACATCGCGAGGGGCGGCCCTCTCGACACTTTCACACGCGCTGGAGAAACTCGGCGTGCCACCGCCTGGCCGGCCCAGCACGAGTTTGGGTTTCACAAGGCTAGATAGTGCAAACGATGACGGCGGCGACGGAGTTTCGGACGTCACCCAAAATGGAGGGAAAAACAAGGCCTCTAATGAGGGAACGGTCAAGGGTAAAGGCAGAGCAAATGATGATATGTGCTTACCCGGTGCTACGTCAACTTCAATGGCCGCGAGCGGAATCAAAAGGGCTGGCTTCGCCCGCCCAACTGCATCATCGTTGAAGCGCTCAGTGACGCTATCAGGACTGGCGACGAGGACTGGTGCTGGAGGGTCGTCTATTTTTCCGGGAGTACGGAGCCGTGACGCCGGGAGTGGAGCGGGTGCTAGACATGGGAGAAGCACGAGTGGAATGTTTGGTAGAACTGGTGAACGTGCGAGTAAGAACCCAAGTCTACCGACTGTGGCAGGCAGCCCCGTGAAAGGGTCTAACCCGAACGGAGAGGAGTCAGGGATACCCACGGGAGGAAAGGAAGGAGGGAGGCAAGAAGACGATGACAAACAGGCTGACGCTGTCGAGTCGTGGGACGAACGGGGAGGTGGAGCTGGGTTAGACGAGGGAGTGCAAATACTCGACCCCTCGATTGATATGACCAATGCGAGCCTTCAGAACTTCAGGGCTGACGGTGGACCTCCAATAACGTCGCCATCTTCCTCAGTAGACAAGGGCAAACAGCGTACATCACTGGCATCGTCGTCGCTTGCTCTAAACCCCGCGTCCGCAGCGTTGCATGCACTCTCTGAAAGTCTCTCGTCACTGCCACAAACACCGCCAGCCACGAAACCGAGGGTAATTGGAACTAGACGAGGACTCAGGAGTGCAAGTATGGCAGGCAATAAGACGAGCCCCGGATGCGGTGGTCCCGGAAGTGTCCCCTCTAATTCGAATGTTGTGGATGCAAACGAGACAAAGGATGCTGGATTCAGTGGCAGCATCATGTCTGAGAACGCCGGCGGAATAAATGGATCCGGGGGTGCCAAAAAGTCTTCTCTAAAAGTCCTCAAGAAATGTGCCATTTTTGTGGATGTGCGTACGGACCAGGGGGATGACGCAGGAAGTTTGTTCGTTGACATGCTACGTGGTTTAGGAGCGAAGGTATGCATCATGAAGTCGTCCTGCCAATTTTATAACTCGTCTGATCCGTGACGTGTTCAGATAATGGGAAGAGTCTGCCAGAGTTGTACGCATATTGTATACAAGAATGGATTGCCAAATACGTTGGCGCGATATCGGTGAGGAACGTCTATCTCAGCGCGATCTGTGTCTTGAGCCCTGTGAATGTAGTCTCCTTAATGATCCAAAACCATTTGTGGTTGGCATCGCATGGGTGGTCGAGTGCGTCGAACAGCGCGCGAGGATGGACGAGGAGAAGTATAAAGTCGATGTTGATCTTATCGACGTTGCAGGTGGAAATACCAAGGTTACTTCTGGTGTTTCTTCGTATGACGATGATGTAGCTCAACGTTCCCCCAGCGCCGGCGATCCATGCTTCCCAGGCACTTGATACCACTTTCGCCTGCGAACGTAGACTCCTTTTCGCTTCCTGCGAATATGTCTTCCGAAGGGGACGAAGAGGATGTTGAGACGGGGGATATGAATGAGTCACCCTGTATGTATGATTATTTTTTCTTCTGCTGCATGACTTACCGTTCTCGCTATACCAGCACGGGATGCAGACACCAGTATAAGGTCGAAGGACGGGGATGATCTACCACCGCTTGAACGAGCTCGACGCAGGCGGAGTGTTTTGCCTGGCGGACAGACTAGACTCTTTGCATAGGTAATTTACTGGCATGAACCCGAGATCTAATGATATACTGCTGTAGTTGTAGCGAATCTTTCGTCTTCTGTTTTGCCTTACAGTAAACGTTCTTGAATACGAACTTGCGTATCTATCGGATTTAACCGAGACGACTTGGAATGGGCGTCCACGGTCTTACAACTTATCTACGCGAGAACAAACGTGTGCTTGGAAAGACCATTCAATTTCCATGCATTTCAGAAGATGCAGTGACAACGATTGTCGTGGATGGCTGGTCGTGAGTCTTGCGAACATGCGATCTGTTAGGCTAAGTTTAATCGTGACTATGGCAGGTTCATTTTCGAGATATATCTACAATCCCATCTGCCATGGGTGTACGGAGGAGAGTACGCTGAATTCAGCCAATATGTTGAACAGGTCGTCTTGTCTTGGATCGCAGTTGGCCTCAAGGTGTACTTTGCCTTCGATGGTGTGAACTGTTCCAACTCTACTGGGACGTGCTCATTCACGGTGTTGCGCAGGACCCCGTCCAGAATTAAAGATACCGACACTGATCAGTCGTATGAACAGAGGAAACGTTGGGCAGTCTCTCATTTTCTTCCGCACGTCTCCTGCATCTCGATGCACGCCGCGCTTTCTTCGCGAGACCAGTATTCTTCCCCCCCTTGCCTATGAGGTTTGCGTCCAAACCTTGCAACGTCTTGCCAGATCTGGAAAACGGCCGCTTGAGGTGCACTTCGCTGATGAGGAAGCGGACCCATATGCAGTGGAACTAGCAGGACGATTGGGTGCTTATGTCGTTGGCAACGACTCGGACTTCGTCATCTTCAACTCTGGCCTCTATGCAGGTTTTATCTCATTAGACGATCTACTGTGGATATTACCATATACCGATGGGGAGACATCTCCATGCAAAGGGGGAGATGAGGATGACAACTTTCAAACAGTGGTGCATGGCAAAACAAGAAAGCGGCCCACTCGACAGCAAAATGTTACATTTGGGCTCGTCCCGCCAGCGGACGCGCCTCTGAAGGACTTGACGCTCACCGCGTCTGTCTATACACCAACTACACTTGCTTCCCACCTGAAAATCCCCGTTACGATTCTTCCTTTACTCGCAGCATTGGTAGGAAATGACTTCTCGAACCAGTCCACCACACAGCGCAATGTCCAGTCTCTCTTCTTTGAACGAAGACTGTCACTCTCGCAACGGATTGCCCATACCAGTAATACTCTTGCCGGTATCCTGGGTGCAGCATCGCAGCCGCGGAAAGCCCGACACCAAGTTGATTCGGTCATGGACCTAATTACTCGCACCGTGAATGCACTACTCACCCACTCCCCAAACCACGTGGCTCCCGGGGAGGTGGATGCCGTAGTTGACAGAATCGTCACCGCGGCGTTGAATTACGCTATTGATAAGTACGATGGGGAGACCTATGGCCCGGATAGCTTGTGGCCCACACGAATGTGTGCGTTGCATCACCAAGATGCTTGTCCTCTCGTAACGCTGTTTATGCGAGCTCAGCCTTGCAACAACCAGGATGATACTGGCAATGATGATGTTGCTTTGAGGCTAGGTGCAACGTACATCGAGGCTTTCCGGTCTGGAAAGTTGAAACCAGAGATCACGGACATCATGAATACGCGCGCGTTCTGGCCAAAACTGTTTCTTGAGAACCCTGACGTAGAAACCGTAGCAAAGTCGATTGGCCGACCAATTCGGTTGTGGATCTATGCCTTACTGGAGGACGGCGTAGGACTTCCAGACGCACCCGAGACCTCTTCGTCGGTCGCTGACAGTGTGACAGAGGATGGCCGACGTCTCAGCGAGGAAGATGAGGAAGACCTTAATGAGGTGGTTGACGTTGTTGAGGAGCATTCGTCGGATGACGACGACACCGACCTTCTTGCCCCACTTCGAGGCGAGCTTGAGCGCCTTCGTACCGCTGACGATTCTACTTCAGAACCTCCGACATCGGCTACTTCTCATTCCCGGTCCCGACCACCACATCGGCCCAAGTGCGTGACGGAGTACGTTCGTCGCGGGTCTCGTATAGCCCCAGACGAGGTACCCGTTCCGGACCTAGCGGTTCTTATGGCATCCTCCGGTTTCGGTGCCTTCATCGAGAAGGAATCTTTTGTTCCGTGGCAGTTTAGAAGCCTTGAGGAACGGATAACGTTGTTCCTGCATATTTTGGAGAGCAACGTTCCCGTGCTACGGGATCTGCCACCGGTCCAACTCTTTGGTGTCCTTGTGGTACGATGGGTCGTTCGAACCCTTCATCTCCGTGCTGTTGAGAACGGAATGAACAAAGATAGAGAAAAGGAAAGGTGGTCTCAACGTGAGGCACGTGCTTTCCTTGTTTTCTATCTCCGATCTCTGGAGGACAATGAGGCTGTTGGCGGTACAACAGCACATAGTGATACCCAGACGCAGCAAGTTGCCGGTGTACCCATCATGGACCGCGCCATCCAGCTCATGGCTCAAGTGCTGACGGCAATTGAAGCAATTCAATGCTTGTCCCAGGTACTGTTCCTTTCAGATTGGATTCCTATCAACATGGAACAGCTATCGGGCTCCCGTTTCCACGCATATTTATCCCAACCGGGTCCTATAGTGGGCCAGTCCTCAACGGAGAGCATGTGGAATGCATGCGTGCATTCGCTTGAGGATGCCTTTCGACAGGAACCGATGAAGAGAAACAAGAATGGAAGGATTCACAAGCTGAAACCAGTGGTTAAAATAGGGAGTGGGGCCGTTAGGCCGGGGCTTGCTCGTTTTGCGTTGCTGGGTGATGCTGAAGCTTAGCGTGGAGTTGTTGAGATTACCATATATTGCAGGACCTTTGTAACGCGCTCCTGTTCCGGACCGCCGGTCCTGAGCATGTCCGGAGGTAATGATTACGATAAAGAGTGTTTACAGTGGTTTCTCTCCATTTTTAAGATGTTTAGTTTGCTTTCGGTGTGTGATCGTTGGCGGCTGGGATTGTCTTTCAGTTTTCGTTGAAGCGAGATATGATAAGGTGACTTTCGCTTGTTTTTGTGGTTTGTTTCTGAGATTTGAACTCCCGGTTATAGATGTCTTTGTTGACCGAAAGTGATGACCATATCATGGTTCCTCAGAGCCATATAGTTATCGTTTAGTGCGAGACGTCCCCGCAGATGGGGGCGAGAATAGTATAGAATATGCATATCTTCGTCAGCACTCTGCATATCAGGGTTTCCAACAAGGTGTTATAAGTCTGCAGAAGATTGTGATCCTTGATAGGCAGGAGAAAAAATCACCGCGTCCTGGAGTGCCCGGAGGGCGGGTGTATAGAACCTGTGCCTATCACATGGTGATGTGAACTAGACTCCCAGCGGTTCGAAGGTTCCATGCTTTAATCCTGTGTGAACTGCTGTATGTATCGCATGGTTATACAGCCGACAACGACCTGTAACACAATATATAGACTAGGTACGTGACATGCTCTGCTGACACAGCCCAGAGAGTTTCATACATAAGAAGTAGAGTTGCCCAGAAACATCGGGGTACTCCAAATATCCAGCACCCAATACTCCTTATTCATATGGCTGGTTGTCGCACAAGTTCTCGCAGATCTCCCGCAGCCGCAGACGTCATTACGTACCGGCTGGAGGACAAGATGATGTATGTTCCACTGGACCACGATTGGAGGGTTCGTCCACACCGCGATCCGCTCGCGGGCTTCCGAAATGGGCTGATGCGCTTGGATACATAGGAAGCGCTTTCACAAGCACGACGTGCGTTTGAGAGTCTCGCGAAGGTGGATGACGGACGCATCACATTCTCCATCGACGTGATTAGTGACGGACAGCGAAGGTCGAATTGGGATCAGCCCATCTGCTTGGAGTAGCGTCGCGTCTCACCTAACACGCTATGAGGTTATAACCATCGTGGTTAAGCCAGAAGTCGTCGGGGCGGACGCGGAGGTTGCACCACCAGTGTACTCCCTTGCTTCCTCCGCACCAGAAGAGAAGAGGTCCTTGTCGTCAACCTCGCTAGGGTCGCGTAGCGAAAGCAAGTTCAGTCTAAAAGGTGTACTTCAAGCACTCCGCAAGGAATAGGCTCTGCCGGATTAGCGCTGCAACTATCATGTTTCCTTCGTACCCGGGCGGGCTACCTCCACGATATATCTGCGGTTCTAGCGTGCTATTTTGAATTTCGGATTGATCTGTCGATTTCCAGCAGTGGTGTTTTCGGCTTGTCACTTAGCATATAGATGTGCAACCTACTATCTTAACAGTGTATTACTCTGTTTTCGCATCCTTAAAAATCTCTGCCTTGACAGCTTGCGGACGCTCCTAGATAGTGTGGAGAACCACAGTATATCCTGTACATAATACATAACATTGTAGCGTTAGGTAGAGCGGGGAATCGTGGTTGCTACTTCTCGATCATGTTGCCTAGGGTCAGGTCCTTGCTCAGGAGTTTCCTGGACTAACACCATTTGCGAATTTGTTGCACAGCTCAGGTAATGTGATCTTCTATGATTCACATAAAAGGTATGCAAGGCTGAGGCATAAATCCCAAAAATCTAAAACATCTGGTGCTGCTTAGCCACCGAGGAAGGTCGTCGTAGTGTTAGTTGATACTAGCGGTACTCTGAAACTGATGATAATCGAAATCAGTCCATATCCTGTGCGGGGGGGAGGGAATTGACCAAGGGCCCAGACCTCCGAAGGTATCGCGCTCGTCAGATCGACCCTACTTCGTTCTCGAAAGTCATACACAGCACGTCAATTTTCCAGAGCAGCCTGATGCGAGATGTAATTTGCACAACGTGCCACTCCACTGGATATGAGTGCCCGTACTGAAAGAAGGTACAGCATGATGGGAGAAAGGTGCACGTGGGAAGGGACAAGTGACAGCCATTGGGGACATGCGGGACTGAGTACTGAGACTCTTACCTCTTGTGCAGCAGCCAGAAGTGCACATGCAAGGAACAACTGCGATTGCAGATGCGTGGGACGCTAATTTTGGGCTTGTACACGTACGAGGCGAGTGATTGCCATATATCTGTTCCCATAAAGCGTGCTGCATGTTCCACTCTACAGATGTTTTACCATCTCGCCCACCTAATCGGCGTATCGCCTAGCTATAAGCCTCAAAAGAGTTACGCTGTCAGTCAGCAAAATGTTTAGCCCATCCATCGCAAATTCACCCGAGTTTACGGGGCATCCTATCAGCCGACGGAAAAATCGAGGTACTGCAACGACCGTGCACTACGACCCGCTTCCGGCACGGCTGTACCTCAGAAGCGCTTTGCTCCGGAAGGTTGCGTTGTACTGAAGCAAGTTATTAATATCTCGCACCCAGTCATCCTCTTTTCCTGGCCCAACACCCTCCCCGCCTTCAGATCTAAGGGAAGAACTGTCACGTTCATCGCCTGTGGACGATGAAGCTATGTCGACTATAGACGAGCGATTGATGCACGGCACAGGATATGGTGACGCATGCACTGTAACAAATTCTCCAGGATTGAGAACGTGTACGGTGCGTCCGTCCATCGATACGCCTGCTGCTGCACGACTTTTATCACCGATCTGTGGGGAGTTGGATGAGAAATAAAAATGGAGTCGTACATATGCGACAAGTACCCTTAACGTGATCGATGATGAGGACGGAAAGACAAGGGGACGGAAAGAAAGACTGCGCGGACATATAGGGACAAGGAGGACAGCACTTAACGAGGGGTGCACGATTGGTCCACCTGCTGAGAGTGAATAGGCCGTTGATCCGGTGGGAGTAGATACGATTATGCCATCAGACTGCATAGAATCGAGTGCACGCAACGATGTCAAAGTGTGGGTTAAAAGGAACGGAAGGGGAACGCACCACAGATTCCGTTAGATGTTGTCCATCGACGTAGATGTCAATTGTGTTGAGGTGGGGGCTTGATCCACGATGTAGCGATATTTCATTCATCACTTGCCATGCTGTTGACAAGTAAGTTAGATTTGCAAGAGGGGGGAAAGGTTCCGGGACGTGTAGGAGCAAGGCAGCCAAGTGCAAGCGGAAATACAAGGATCACAACGTACCGTCTTCGTCCGATCCAATTTTCTTCCCATCCTGATCATAGAATGAACAAGAAAGCCTCATACGATGCAGAATGGTTGCTTTCCCGTCGAACACGGCCTTAAGGCCTTTAGCGTAGTCGTCGATGTCTGTTTCGCGCCGCATCAATCATTGTTCGTTTTCGTTACAAAGAATGCCAAAATCAAGGAAATTTGATGGAATGACTTACGGAACGGTAACAAGAAACCCAGGGTGCCCATCGAGAAGCTAAGAACGGGTGGGACAGCTCCATGGCTGAAGAGAGAGGCGGCATGCAATATGGTGCCGTCACCACCCAGAGTGATGACAAGGTCAACAGGCTCAGAGTTCTGGCCTGTAAAACGCATTTTTCGGGATATTGTTGTACAGGTAATCCAAGCGGAAACGGTTGCAGTAGGTATGTAGGTGTTTCGACAGTTCAGTAAGACAGATAGGATAACACAGGAAATTAAGAGAACCCAACGTACCCGGCCGCCAGACCTGCACACCGTCAGGGATATCAGGTCTGTCTTCTGCATAAATTTTGACATCTGGGTATAGTTTTTGGATATGTCTAAAGACGTGACAGTGTGGGTACACTGGCAAAAGAAGCCAAGGATAAGGCACGCACTGGAGTAAATCATCTATGGCCTTAATGATAGGTTCGGTTCTGAGCTTGTTTACAAGGAGAGCTGAGCGGGGTGGCTTCCATGGAGTGTGGTTCTGGCTGTCCTTCGTTCGATAGTGAGCAAACCTGACACCCTTGGAGAAAAGTACAGACAAACGCTTGTGGTGATGATACTGGTATTTGTGGCGGTTGATCGGGCTCTCTTCCATCTGTTCGTGCAGTTGCAGACAGCGAAAACTCGCGTACCCGGGTTCTCGAGCACGGATTCAAGCCCCATCCCGAGGCCTTGCTTGAAAGCCTACTAACTATACACGCATGGAGGTACCTTGGACTCATTCGCGACATAGACATGGTGGGGCAACGTCGATGTCGGAATGGCAACGAGTAGGTGTGCAATAACGAGGGCGTAGGGCTGGGTGAGGAAATAGAAGACGTGTCAGGGAATGCATGTACAAAATTAACGTTGACACAGGTTGAGTTGCGCGGTAGGATGCGCTGGACCCGTGCGTGGTAGACGGCAGCGACGTTTGTACTCATCGTCGAGGTCCGAGTCGTACTGAATATCATCGTGTCGATGACTAGCTTGCCGGACCGTACCGGACCGCTTGTTCAAGTGCGTTGTTATACACTACAATGTACATAAATACATCCTACCCATAAACCCAGATTTTACGAGGACGACCTGTGCACTCATACATGTTTCTGGCCCGAAGTCTCGGGTGCGATCCCGACATCCTGCTCGGGGGGGATACGAGTTTTAGACAGCCGCGCGTCTTTAGTTCTCTGGAACGGCGTCTCCTGTGGGAGCATTTCGTGGCGCTGACGTCCACGTCCAACTCGGCCTTCCCTCCGCTGCAAGGAAAATTTCCCATTCACCGTGATCCATCGAGTATCCTTCTCGATCGGGATCCGGGAATGACCCGTTCTTCACAGCGTTCACATACCCGCTGACCCCTCGGGCAACCTCCTTGCGCACGTCTGCGAAATGTCGAACAAACCTGAACCAGGTAAGTCCAAAAGACGGGAAAATGATACAGGAAAGTAATAGCCGCCCACCTTGGTTTATGGCCACTCCATGTCCCAACCATATCGTCCCACACTAGGACCTGTCCACTGGTCCCGGGGCCCGCACCGACCCCTATCGTTGGTATGTTCAGTTGCTCCGTAATGTAAGCACCCAACACAGCAGGTATTGCTTCCAACACGATAGAAAATGCACCTGCATCCTCTAGTGCGCGTGCAGCGCGAAGAAGCGTCGAGGCCGACTCCGCGGTACGCCCCTGGACTCTGTATCCCGACAGCGATACATACCGCTGCGGGAGGAGACCAATATGTGCCATGACGGGTATGCCGGTTTTTGTGAGTGCTCGCACGTGCTCCGCAACCTCTCCCCCACCCTCGAGTTTTACACCCTCCACATGTCCTTCATGTACCATTCTAATGGCAGATCTGATAGCGTCGCTCACGGAGGGTGCATATGTCCCGAATGGCATATCAGCGATGAGAAGCGGAGAGGTTGTGCCTCGTGCGACGGCACGGCAGTGGTGGAGCATCTCGTCGAGGGAGAGGCGTGTCGTGGATGGGTACCCGAGGCATACTTGGGCGAGAGAATCTCCGACAAGGGTGATATCGACCGGATGGGCGGAGCAAGCGAGTGCTGTTGGGTAATCGTAGGCCGTCAACGCCGTGATCGGCGTCTTGGATGCCCGGAGAGAGAGTAGACGTGCGATGGTCGTTTTCGCGTGTGGCGTCAAGGGTGGGGAGGTCGCGGCCGGAGGATGCTTTGCGGGTCGGACGCTCATCCGACGGACGGCTTGCAACGTCGGCGTGCAAGAAAGACGCCGGGAGTTCGGGCATCGAGTGCCCAAGAACTTTGCGATCATCATCGACTCCAGCAGGTTATTCGATATGGAAAAATGACGACGACAACGCCAGCGTTATATGGCTAACGAGACGGAGGGTTTCCGAGTCACGGCGAATCGTCTTTGAACGGAATAATCGGTCGAAGTGACACGTCGATTACTCAGTACCCGTCAAAAATTTCCAAGTGTAAAGTCAGACCATTGCAGCTTTCTATTGATTTTCAATCCGTTAATCGTGATTGCATGATCTCCGGGACAGACTGAACCTGTCCCGGTAGCACGTGATCCTTGCGATATCAATATTTTCCCGCGCATTGGCCACTGCCCTTGCCAGCGCACGTAGCGGAACTTTTCGTCACCCACCCTCGCTTTAAGTACTATAACGATGTGCTTGGTCTTTCCAAGAAAATGCAAGATGTCTACTATCCCTGAAAGTCTATACTTCTGATTGATAGATAACAAATCTATGAGGGTCATGATCGCCTCAAAGAACGCGGGACCTATCCGTCCACATCCTCACCCCCCTCGCCCCCTTCTTTCTTCCATACTCTCTCAACCACTTTCATCGCGAGCATCAACGGCTCAGGTGTCCATGCCTTTTCCCATGCACGCTCCCCGAAGGAATACAGCGATCCGTCAGAAAGAGCGCGGCGGAGGTGAGCGAGGGCATGGCTGGCTGGGTTAAGCAAGTTACCGATAGGTTCGGAGAGGGACTGTAATGGAGCCAGCAAGGGCGTGAGAAGGGATGAATCCGTCGATGACAGCGGATGGAGGCTGGAGTGGGACCTGGAGGGTACGGGTGAGAACTAAGCGAGGCGGGAATGGACGCGGACGAGACTGGACGTACCATGGTACCTTCGATTTGGCCAGACTTTGTAATCTCGATCCCGTCATCTAACACAACTCTCTCGTCCCTTACGACAGCATTCTTGCTACGCATATGTTCTCGGAGTGCGACCTCCCTTCTCTTGACCCACTCTTGGCGCTTCTGTGTCCAAGCGTGTTCTTTGCCGAGATCCATGGCCATCGTTTCTATCTTGTCTCGTGCAGCGCGGGCGGAGGTAGACGTCCAGACATATAAACCAGGATTCCATATCCGTGTCTCATGTGGTTTCTGTTGCGGTTGCAGCTCCTGGGGTTAGTTGGGTACCCTGGTGATGAGAGTGGCGAGCGCAGTCCGGAGTAAGAGCTGGAAGGCCGGGACAGGACCTGCTGCCTATCCAGCCCGATGATTTGTGTGTGGAGGGTTGGCCTTCTGGTGGGAGGGGAATCTCATGCTGGCCGACAGTCGGTGCTGATGTTGAAGTGCGAACCTCGACCTCGAAGGGATATACACGGCGGAGACAGATAGAACGGCAAGTGGGTGGCTTGTGCTGTGCGCGATGCAGGGCTGACTGGGTGCAGTAGAACAGACAGCGTTCGTCGGTGGTAGTTGGGGGTTGTCCTGGCCGATGATGTTAAGAGGTCGGCGGCAGGACAAGGAGAGCAACTTACCTGGAGGTGGACGGTAGAGGGATATGAAAGGAACGTGTGTCGGTGGTCTGCGAGGTGCGTTTGGTGCGTTGGCCGACGTCCCAGCGTTTCCCGTCGTTGACGGCGATGACGAGGACTGTCCGTCTGCAGCTTCTGTCGACATGCTCGTCGCAGTAGTACAGTAGTTTTGTCCGTAAGCCGGCAGGACCGGGGCTCAATCCGGGGGATGCCGAGATTATATCCAAATGAGGAATGCAGTGCAGTATATTTGCCGATCCTTTTTTTTTTTCTTTCCCTTTCTTTCTTTTCAACGGCATTGAGTGAGGAATCGCTGTCGCAGCTACACGAACAGAAAGCCATTCACTGGACTTTCGTACTGATTGCTGTGGGGAAAGTCCCCGGAGACACAGAGACAGTCATCGTACACGCCCATCTCCTGCCAGGAGAGCGCCCAGCTCAAAGTATGCTGAGGATATGTGGGAGGAAATGTTGCGGCGTGCGCGGTGCGGATGAGGTCGTTTTTACTTGGTATCATTCCCTTTGACGCTGTCGAGTGGTCTGACACTAGTATCACCCTCGTCCACTCTGTCGCCCGCTTTCATCGGTGCGCCTTCTCTACCCGTTCTCTCCCCCGAAAGGGCTTTGAGATGGGACATGGCACCCTCTGCACCAAGATATGAGTGTAGAGCGGTGCCGGAGACGTCCTGTGCATCGAACCGGGCGTACCCGTTGCTCATAGACAGAGTTATGCGATTGATGGCACCTTAGTTGCCATTCAACGGAATGGGGCTTACCATCACTTAATGCCCTGCTTGTTGACTTAATTTTTCCATCTTTTCGGGCGTTCGTCGCTCCGTGTTATGCCATCTCGAATGTGTAATGCCAGCCAGTGAGTTGACTTCCTATGCTTCATTTTCCGATGATGGTTGTACCGAATAGTTTGAATTTCTTCAGGGAGAATCCCGCGCGTGCGTGGGGATGTGCTCCACATTTGACTCTTCTGAGCTTTATATCGTACTGTTGGTTGCACCACTATGATTTACTGATCAGACTTTGCAGTGTTTTGCTTGGACTGTAGTAGTCCACGTCCAACCTGGCCAAATTTTCCTCCTGCGAAGTCCTCCCATTCGCTGTGATCGATCAATTCTCCCTGGTCATGTCCCATTTCCTACGGGTTCATGTAGCCATCGACCTCGCGTACGCACATCCGTGGACTGTTGGCAAGGCAGTATAGGTACATCCTACTCAAATATCTTATCTCCCCGAGAGCGTAGAAGTATGAGCACGAGTACCCCAGATATTTATAGTTGCTTTTGCAATCTCACTCGTTGAGTAGTAGAATGCAGGTGTCAACCAAAACGACCATATGAGAATACACTGGAAGCTAGAGCAGGGATGACAGCATAAATAATTAAACCTATATTAGATGAGTATGTCCAAGTCACCTATAGGTGGAAGGACAATCTACCGATTCCACGAGTGTTACGGCGACAAACTGGGTTCGACCCCCTCAACCTGATCACACAATCACCATTTCCGCTTAGCTCGGCAAGGTTCATATGGTTGCGCCACTTAATCAACGTCCATCTTGGCTGCACCACCACCTCGCCGACCCCCTCTGCCTCGCCGTCCACCGCGGTTCCAACGATGACCGTTGCGCGTGTTGTTTTTGCTTTCTGGTGGTATTTGTTGAGTATAGACTTTCGGATCTGCCCCTGGTGGCGCAACAAGCACCGTGGCACGAGGGTCGTTGGCCATAATCGAGTCGGAGCGCATTTTTCTGGGTTAAATAATAAGGGCTTTAAAACGACAGGAGACAAGAAGATGGGAAAAGAACTCACGAGCCACTTTCTGTCCCGTCTCCACCCATCAAGACGTCAACGCTTCCCTCCCCATCAACGATGTCATTTACACCTGCGATCCGCCCTGGTAGTGAGACGGCTTGGACGCCGACTACGCGTACGCGGAGAATACGACCATCGGCAGGCTGTCCGTCGAACTTGGACACAGCTGCATGTGCATCAGCAGGTTTCTTGAACGTGAGTCGTACGATCACGTTAGAGGAGGCGGACGAAGAGGCAAGTTCAGAGGAAAGGATGGCGCCACACCGTCGGAAGATTGCCTAATTGTGTGCGTGGATGGTGGGTGAGTTCAATCCATGACAGCGAAATAAACGAATGAGGAAAAGTCGAAAAGGGGGCATAATAGTGGTCGCAACTGTGAAAAGGTATCACATACTTCGACATCTGCGGCCGTGGTACCCTTGACCAGCCCCTCGACCTGTATGACATTCCCCGACGAGCCTGATGCGCCTTTGATATTGAGTGAGCCCGAGTTGGCAGCGTGGGAGGTTGCCTGCAGTGGCTTCACGAAGAGCGCGCTGTACGAGGACAGGAGTCTGCTCTTTTCGGCTGGGCGGCCTGAGGAGACTATACGAGACGAAAGGGGTGGGCTGGAAGCATCGTCGTAAAGGTCGTGGGACCATTGAGCATTTGGATCTCCTTTCGGAGGCCGAGGTGGACGAGTCTATGTTTTGAGAGGGACAACCACGCAGACGCGCGCCAGGAAGCGACCGTGTTCAGGAAGGGGTTCCATGCAGCGAAGGGCCAAATGCGAACGTGCACGTCATTGCGGAGAAGACAGAAAAGACGATGGGGAACGGATTTTTTTTCAACTGAGGATGCGCTCGAGGGATTGAATCGTATTTACGCACATATGGCGAACCACGGTTGGCCGACTTGGGGCGAACTGGACCACCCTCTGTTGTTCCTGATATACGAGCCAGCAGCGACATTTGGGTTGTGTTCTGAGTTGCTGAGACGCTGTCCATTGAGGAGGAGGCCAAGTGGTTGTTTGTGCGTGTTTGGTCCTGGCAGTGGAAAAAAAAACCCACAGCGTCCAGTCGAGTTGCTGGTGAATCCGCTCTACTCTTGCAGCCCTTGGCTCGTTGGTAAGTCGCATGTCTCGGCCACTGCGAGTGCCATCTGAACGTGAACTGTCGCAGCTGAAGTGCGACCTTGTTTGCCAGCACACTCGACCTCTCCAGGACACGTTGGACACTTCTACCCCTTCACATCGCTCTTCGGTCCTATCCATTTCTGAGCTTACTCGGCATTAGATACGATGGGTGGAACTGGTGCGTATCGTGATGTGTCTGAGCGGGAGTCCCCCGCTGACGTACTCCTGCGCTGCTGTAATGCTGGTCCGTTCTCGCTGCTGGAACGCATGGAACGCTTGCACCCCTTTTCATATCAACGTGTCACTTCGTGGCCACCACAGGCTGGTTATTCCTTTTCGCGCTCCTCATGGCCGCAGGACTTGCTCTTCACGATGGTTTTCTTCGTAAGTGTGGCTCCTCTGTGCTTCTACTCTACCCTCCGTCCCCCATTAATGACAATGCATCGTGTTCACGGTTGCGTTCGACGCCTAGATTATCATGTTCTCCGACCTCGAATGCGACTATATCAACCCAATAGATCTTTGCAATAAGCTTAACCAAGTGGGTTCATGGGCTTCTCCCTTGCGTTGATGCTGACACGGCCAAAATATTCGCCACCCTCTAGTTCATCCTACCAGAAAACATCGCACACGCAATTATCACCCTACTATTTCTCCTTTCTGGTCAATGGTTCGCCTTCTTGCTCAACCTTCCCCTTGTGCTATATAATGTCAACAAGTACGTCGTCTATCCATATTAACCGTGTTCTATCACGACTGAACACGCGTAATCCAATAGGATAAGAAACAAGAATCACATGTATGATGCCACAGAGATCTTCCGCACGCTGTCGGGACACAAGAAGGAGAGTTTTTTGAAACTCGGCTTTTACCTCTTGTCGTTCTTCTATTACCTCTATCGGTGCGTCTTCTATGCAGCTCTCGCTCTCGTACGCCCATCCTGATTTGACTTCCACCTAGGATGATTGTCGCACTCATCTCGGAAAGCGAATGAGGCTGATCCGTGGAGTGGCCTTTTCGTCGCGATCGCTTTACGCAATTGCTCCCGCTCAGGTTGATGGAGATAATTAAGACGAGCGGTGGTGTGCAGAGGCTTTGGCACATGTGCTTTATGATCTAGGTTACGTTGCAGACGTCGAGAGTTTCGTTACGTTTTCATGGTTGTTTCATCCCATCACGCATTCCCGTTGACTTACCCCTGGAACTTACTCGAGCAGAAAGAGCTCCAACCACTCTCGCAAGTTTGAGAAATGTGCGTGTGTGACCTATCCACACTGTACTTATTGGTAAGAGGACTGGGGCTCCCTCAATTTGCATGATTTGGTACCATTGTTCCGTTAACGAACCTAAGCCCACTGAATAAGGTACAGAAAAGGTATAGGAGCCTAGAAGGCACCATGCTACCTAAAGCAAGATACCGGATACTTGTTCGCGACCTACTCGTCTTCCTCCCAATCCACGCTTTCTAGTGCAGCATCCCCTTCCATGTACAACTTGTCCAGTCCAGTAAGAACCTCCAGGTAGCCTGTCTCATTGCAAGCACGCAGGATCATTGCAAAACCCTCCTTCTCGTAAACGTTTATTACCTGTACGGAAAAAAATCATCAGCGACTTTTAGTAGAACCAAGCTAGGTGATGAGTACCGCTTCACTGCACCCAGTGCATCCGTCAAATGCGGCGCCTGTAACCGGGAGAGTGCGGAATTGCGCCAGGAAGCCGCGTAACTGATGTGGTACGAGACCTAGAACGCTGTTGGACGCAGACTCAGATCCAATGTCGTTGGCGGTAGTGGATTGCGGTGGCGGTGGCGGGGCGTGGGCACTACGTCAAGCAGGTAATGCGAACGATGAGCTCTGGTGCTAATAAGTCACAGTCGGGTACTTACCCGTCAGGATGCTGTAGCAGGGATACCATCAACTCAACGGCAGTGGATGCTGCGATTGGTGCTAGGCCCGGTCGTGACACTGTACACATTTGATCGAGCGTGCGGTCGGTCAGCGACTACAGATGTGTCATGAGTTTCGGGTGTGATGCGATCGGAGTAGCGGAAACACATACGTCCGTCGGCGCGACAATATCGTTACAATAGTAACATCCAAGACGTTGAAAGTTCGGGGCTGAAGCAGCTGCACGAGCACCGTGCCTCATTACAACGTAGGTGTCAAAACCAAGTGCGGCATTCAAGACAATCTATGTATATGCGCCGTTATCAGCTCCTTCAAGGAATGAACTAAGGGGGAGACCCGACCTTGTTCTTAGCTGCTCCGAGTACAGTAGGTAGCCACCGACTTTCGCGCGAGTCCATTAGAAGAAAAATAGCATCGTGCTCATCAAACAACTTCTCGAGCAACTCAACGTCCTTCTGTGTTTGCTCCCTTGAGGATACGGGTATCGGGTGGCCGGGCATGGGTATAGATAAGTTGTATCCTGTGGCATTCTGTAAAACACGGTCACAAAAAGCGAGAAGCGAACGCGCCGGGGATGGACGTACGATTCCAGGGAAGATTTTCTTGAGATGCTCGGCCGCACATGCCGCCTTAGGCTTCCCGCCGTTCAGGCAATCGTCGAAATCAAAAAGGGGTTGCCGGACTGGGTTGCTGAACGACACGCGAGAAGAATCGATCAACGTGATGGTACGAACTCCCCAACCCTAGAAGCACTGTCAGTCGCGTCAAATCGTGAACACGGACGCAGCCTACTATTAGCGTGCGAGCTACGTAACAGCCCAGCGTCCCTGCGCCAAGAAGAAGGCACCTAGTGCGTGCAATCTTTTCGAGGTCTAAAGAAGGAATAATCCGCCAACGCATGAGCTTCAGGTTGAGATCCACCGCCTGATCAGCGAGCCTGGACGGCTAAGTAAGTCATTTGGGCCTCTGAGATGAAGTTGATCATGCCTAGTAGGATCCATCATCGGAGCCAAATCCGCCATACGGGCAGTGAGCTTATTCGTCGTAGGGTGTCTTTCCCATCCCACCGCTGTAGGTTTGACGGACTGACGATCGCCTCCGCTTGCAACGACACCAAAACGACTCTTCCATGCTCTTCCAGCAACAGGCAGTTCACCGTCTCTCCAACAAAGTACGCGCACTGAGGTACGTCTTAGATGGGTAGAGTGTTTGGAGGTACGTAAGGAGATTCCGCAAAGGCCATCCAGGATTATCAGGGGAAGCGGACGGATCGAGGAAACCTACAATAGTCTGCGAGAATAACTGATTAGTCCATGCCCTGTCAGCTCAACCTAACAACTGACAGAGTCAGGGGAATCGCTTGCAAAGAACACGTCCGCCTCATCCATTGGGATGAACTTCAGCAGCGTCACCAGTCAACTTTACAAGGAAGAATGGCTTCGTTTGGGCATGTAACGACTCGAATATGGATGTCAGCTTTGTGGAAGTGGAATCATATTAGGAAGGAACGATGGAATGGTGGACAGTAAGACAACATGCCTGTGACGCGTTGAGTTCATGGTCTGCAGCTTTCCAGCCTTCTGTTGATATATCCCACGCAGGTTTAGCTACGAAGGCTGGGAATGCGAACCAGTAGTAAATATTGATATTTCTTCAGGTCTGAGAAGGTCAGGAGCAAGAATTGGGTAAGTTTTGAGGTATCCTTGCTCTCAACGATGCTGTTCCACATCTGTGGGTACACCCGTGCATATTAGCGAATGGTGATATCTCGCACGAAACATCACGCGCACGTCGTTAGTGACCTCGTTAAAAATCGACGCTTTATCTGCGACTTTGAATTCTTCGATCGTATTGTAGTTCTTAAACACCCCACGTATCGCGACAGACATCGGGGGCACCCTGCCAGGGCACATCTTCGATACATTTCAATATGTCTCATCAGATAATCTTGACATACTGCGACGGCTGTTCAAACGCGGCTGCACCCAGAACCAGGTTACAACCCAATGCCACATCTTGACCCGTTTCGCGATCTCTGACGGATCTGCCGACGCTGTATGATCCGTTGACCGTCAACGACTCGTCTGAAAGGCGGAGGATATCGATCTTCAATCTAGTGAGTTCATGCCAGAATCCTGGCTGAACGAGAGATGAGAAAGGCGCGAATTGTACGACAGGCATGCTGTCGGATATCGTAGTTGGGGTTCAGGGAGAGATAAGATGCACGGAATAAGACCATCTTCCGCGACGACCCAAAATGGCAAGTGAGTACTGCTGGTTTTAGCACCACGTGACTTTATCGCGCCACTAGTACTACTCCTATGTAAGCCAACTCATTCAAATCTTTCCTGCCATATTCTTAACCATGTGCAACTTTGGACCACTATGTACTTCCGTACCGGTGACTCGCGAGCGCGATGGGCATTGTTGCTACACTACTTATTGCAGTCGGACTGGGTCAACATCAGAGGTGACAGGGACGTCTTCCGTCTCTTGTGCATGGTCAACCATAAGGCTGCGACAGCTGAGGGACGTACTCTGACAAAGGTAGAGACGAAGGAAATCGGAGGCAGCAGCCACGCAAACCGAAGATCACATGAGTAGATGCTGTTCGCAGTCGGAAAACAGGTGTGAGACGCAGGCAAATTCGGAACGGTTGCGAGGCTGAGGCTAATCTGAACTCCACGAGGTGACCTCTAGTTCTGAGTCGTTTTCCCATTAAGTCCGTGTAACTAGAATACAATCCACAATCGGGCACATTGGTCCTCGTACCTTGAAAGTGGGTACGAGAGCCCCGACTCCCCAACACGCCAGAAGTAGCGAACCTCGATACCTAGTAACCAGATGGCCGGGCTTCCGACTTCGACGTATCGTACGCACGTATGAGTCGTGCCTGGTCTTGACGATTGTTTTCAGTTTGGCTAAAAGCAAAACCACGGTTGCGTCGCATCCTCTGAACGGCACGGACCTTCTTGATCGCCTTTTGGAACCTGTACATCGGAACGTATATCAGCGGACTGGGACATGATGGAAAACAAGAACATACTGTTCTTGGCGTGGTCGATAGTCAGGGATATTATACTTTTGCAGCTCCTGGGCGATGTGGTAAGACAGTGGCATGTATGTACGACGATAGCTGATGATTCATCCGGTAAGCGAGGACCCGTGAATAATATAGGCACACGCACTATTTCCAAGCAAGGTCGCGAGCGAGACAGATAAACGGCACGAGTAGGAGCATAAAGTAGAAGACCGCATCGGTCCACAGCCGGGGAACAAGCCCATAATACTCAGTAGAGAACCCGATGAGAGGTGCGATCCATGCGTATAGAGGAAGGAATATCATCGTAAACACGAACGAACCCGGGATAGCTGCGGGCGTGAAACTCAGTCCCTGTCTCACGATATTGTCAAGGTAACTTACCAGCGACGGTGTATTTAGTCCACAAACTGTACAGTGGTCAGAAGGGATTTGTGTGTATAAGAAATATGAACTCACTCTGAGATTAAAGCAGCCTTCCCGAGAACAGTTAGGAGTACAATGAGATACAGTGTCGTTCCCCAGAACCAGTGTCCCGAGTCGAGCCCGGATGCTTGCTTCAGGTCGCCCCAAAAGATGATGACGGAGAACCCAAAGAGAACCTGCACCGACACCTGCGTAAGAATGATTGATACGGAACTCAATACACCTACCAAACTGTGATACAGCGCGTTAGCGATCCACAACCAGAACACAGTTTTCGTGAAGAATACGTTTCGCTGCCCCAGCATGTACAACTGCGGGTATCGATCCAAGACCCGTGCAGACACAAACTGATCAAAAATACCGATGACAAAAGGCGGAAGGACAGTGAATAGGACGTTGTAAAATGTAATTGTCCATGATTCGTAGGCGATCTGACCGGAGAAATTGTTGAAGAACGAGTACTGAATGAGGAGTCAGCACATCAATCTCGAGTTAAAAAGTCCCCAGACACACCCAAAACTGTGTCATGTAGAGGGTGATGTTCTTGTAGAAGGAGTCTATTGATACAAGGGGATGAGCATTAGTATATGCTCCAAAGAAACTTGTCAAGAGAGGACAGACATAATATAAGCTTGGATAATCGCTGATAACTCCAAGCTCCATGGACAAGTAGGAGCTTTTTAAGGTAGCGAAATTGCGATATCGCAACATCAGCAGATCGTGCAGCTTGAAGACCCTACGACCGAAAAAATTTTCACTTGAGTGTCATACACTAACTACATGACGTACCTCAAGTCCTGATATACCTACGCCAACGTGTGCTGCCTGAATCATGCTCACATCATTAGCGCCATCACCTATTGCAAGGAGAATTGAATCTTGGTTCTTCTTTACTAGCTTTACAACGAGTGCTTTCTGAAGGGGAGAGACGCGACCTTCCTGGAGTGGTCACCGACGGAACCATTATGATCGCGTAACGAACATACAACAGATGACGGCCTTGCAAAGCAGCGCAAGTTCAAGGAAAGACTTAGACAACTCCTTCTGAAGTGCAAAACCAAGACTCTTCCCATCTGCATACCAGGCTATAGGAATCAACGAATATGGGCATTAGAAAATGACGCACCGATAATGAGCGCGAGATCCTCCAGCTCTCCGGTACTCCTCTGGTTTCTAATTGCTGAAAGTCGTTTTGAGATGAACTCGCCCGTATCGCGGGATGTTTCCTCGTTCACGATGACCTTCGCATAATCCTCAAAATCAGCAACACAAAAATTCGCTTTCCGACTCACCAAGTTCATAGACTCGGCAATGAGTCGACAGGACATGCCAATATTTATTGCTGTTTCTTGACGGTCGCCTGTTAGTACCCAAACCTGCATATCCGGACTGAGGACACTCCAGGGTCAACGATCTACTGCTGACGTACCTTGATTCCTGCCATCTGCAAAGTGTGGATAGTATCTGGGACGCCTTCCTGAAGTTTATCCTCAATTGCTGTCGCACCGAGTAAGATGAGATCTTTTTCAATAAGTTCTGCTGCCTTGTCGAGTGCTTCAGAGCGCCCGTTGAGGGTTGCAGCGGCTTGGTCGTATATCGTCGACCACTGACGATACTCGGCCTCGGGGACATCGCGGTAGGCTATACAGAGCGTGCGCAACCCTTCCGTCGCGTAGTCCTTTAGAAGAGAAATGTTTGAAAAATTGTATGGGGAAAAGAATTGCAAAGTGGACTTCCTACCTCGAGATGCGAAAGCGTTTTTTCGGTGAGCGTCTGGTGCTTCCCAAGACGTTCAAGGATCACCGTGTCCGCACCCTTGCAGTACAATTTGATCTTGCCGCCGGGTGCGCGAACCACGGTTGACATGCGCTTTCGCGTCGAGTTAAACTCGCACACATTCAGGATCTCGTATTCAACGGGGGAGCCGCGGACGTTGATAAAAACGGAACGTGGCTTGCGAGTCTAACGGCCCAATCACCGAACATTGGTGAAGAACGATTTTATCGGCCGGATGATTATGAGAAAAAGTGGTGAAGCATGGCGAAAAGGAATCCTTACATGGAATTGATACCCCAAAAGCTCCGCTCCGGCCACAAGTGCTGCCTCATCGGGACTACTTGCCTGGTAGTTGATCTTTCCGTCTCGCACCTCCGGTATCACCGTATGACACACTGCCAAGAGCGTCATAAATTCGTCAGCCACTGCTGTTGCACGCTCGCGATCCTGTTCGCCGCCAGTTGCAGAAAGTTCTGTGCCACTCATCCCTTTGGAACCTTCCAACAGCCCACGAAGATCTGCGAATGTCCTCCATACCTCTCTTCCGTCTTCTCCGCTTGCACGCGCCTGATCAACCTCCTCGGCATATGCAAGCCCTCCGATACTGGCCGCCCGGAACACCATTTCGTTCCTGGTCAACGTTCCTGTCTTATCTGCAAATACGAACTCAACACGCCCGAGATCCTCTACCAGTGAGGAGGTTCTCACAACCGCCGGCGTGTCGCGCACCTCGTAGTACATGTCAAGGTCGGCACTGATGAGTGCGGCGTGCTGGAGTCTCACAACCTCCGTTGTAACAATGAGAGATATCGGAATCAGGTTATTATAAAGGATGATAAACGTGAGGATATCTTCCACATTAATATGGGATGGGAACGAAGGAAACTGAAGTATCAGAATGTTTGCGACGCGGCTTGCGGAATAACTTACCTTCGACAAAGGCCTTGGCTACAAAAAATTAGCACGGGGATAGGATCATTGATGAGGTTGCATACCTCGGCCGGTAAATGAGCTGGTTTGGAATAGATACCATTGCTGACCCGATAGAAACCACTATGATAGCGAGTGTTGCGATTGTGTCAGTAGACGAAACAAAAATATACGCAGAATTCACGGATTGCTCATAGCACTTACAGTGTTTATGGAGGCACCGATAGTCGAACCGATCGAAAGTGCAAGGAGAAAGCCAAACAGAAAGATAATATGCACGTTGACCTGCTTTTCCACTGCTGTGCGCTTAATAGGGGCAGCGCTACCAGGCGAATATTAGCCGAGACCATCATATCTCACTCCAAAGACTCACGTTGCGTTACGCATCAACTTTGTTTCGTGACCAGTGAAAACGACTAATCCATAAACCCAGGGCGTATTGCGCAGCTGCGCCCCTCGAAGCAGGAGCTGGTCTGGACCTAGCGGGACCTGCTTTGGCATGCCAGCATCCGTCACGAGATCAAGGGTACCCTCATACGTGTACAGTGAATTGTTAGGCTGTTCGGAGCGCAGAGAACCGTGAAGGCGACCAACGAGCGGGGGAGAGGTAAGAGACGACGTCTGGGGCGAGGCCTGTTTAATTTTGAGGTTGGTCTCCCTGAACAAGAGTGAGTGACCTGAACAATGGAGGAGGAGCTACTACGGACCCATCGAGATTGGAGGTCTCGATATAACAGAGACCCTCAGGCTCCGAGGAAGAAATGAGAACAAGGTCGGCGGGAATGAACTCGTCGGATTCGACCCTGACGACGTCGCCCACTTCGAATGTCCTTCCACATACGCAGGTCAAAATTTAGTGATTCATTCAAAACCTTGGCGACACGTGCGTTGAGTTCGGAATCGGAACGATGGCGTTTCTGTGGAAGTGTTAAGAGTAATACCAATGGTAACCGAGAAGGTACGAACCATGTCCTCCTGTACTTCTTTAAAGGCAGATGCAAGAAGCACGACGGCTAACGGGGCGATGGTAGTCCACTGGTTGGTTGGAGAGACACCAGGTATTTGTTGTATACAAGCGGTAAACAAGAAGAACACGTTTGCATATTTGGAGAATTGTTCTATATAGGGTGTAAGAAAACTGTGAGACGGACTAAGAACTCAAGCCCACCTTTGAGAAACTTTGGGGTGAATGTAACGGCATTGTACTTGCTTGTCGAAACGAAGTTCGAGCAAAACTCGTCATTCATAATAGGATTGTTGAGGGCAATTACACGTTCGCCTGAGGGTTGTACCTCCTTCTCCCAAGGCCATCTCCACTTCCACTTTTGTCTTCTGCGAATCGAAGGTTTCCTCTGTGCTGACGGTGCTCCCGGAAATGACGCGCCGCCCGGAAAAGTAGCCTGGCTCTCGAAACCCCATCCGTAAGGTTGCCCGGCACTCTGGGTGGATAGCGAGGGGGATGACGAGTCTACCCCAGCGGGTGGGGCAGCTGCATGGGTGAGAGGAAGTCCGCTTTCCTGTGACTGCATTGGGCGCGGGGTGGTCGCCGGAGACAAGTCCAGAAGGTCATCGTCGTCGTCAAAGAAGGGATCCATCAAACTGGACACGGGTTGGGGCTGAGACTGTGCATTCGCAGATGGTGGATAGGTAGGAGGATGTTGACTACTTGAACCTTGAGCTAGCGAAGCGGACTTGTAGGCTGCAGGGTTAGCGGTGTTAACCAAGGCGGCGAACGAATCCTCGCTGTTCATGGTAGATTCGACTAGTCCCCTAGGCAGACTACAGTCGAGGTAGATAGTGTAGGATGCACCTTGGCGACGAACCTCCTGAATTTGTATGAACGCGGACTGCGCAAGTCTTTGCTACTAATACACGCCGCCACCTCTCCTGACTTGTCCATCCTATTACACAGCCACCAGTTCACTCTTGGCCTTTCAAAGGCAACCCTTTTGACATCGGCTTTGTAGTGTAGTGGTTATCACTCGGGATTTTGACTTGCTAAAGACTGTTTCCCGAAACCCAGGTTCGAACCCTGGCAAAGCCTGCCTTTTTGTTCGCCGCGCTAATCAATGCTATCCGGATCGTGTAATTCACGAACACCTCTGATACTTACACAGGAATCGAAGTTCCCTTTTACTAGTGTATCCGCTTAACACACTCAAATGTTATTCCAAGGAATTTGCGAAGACTGTAAATAGTGCCATTAAAGTACAAGCAAGCGCCGATGAAATGAGCGAGCCTCCGATGCTTTGCGGATGGATTTTCAGACCATACGGCTACATGGGCTTCGAACCTTCGAGCTGTCAAGCCAGATTTACAAGACCCTGAACCGCGGGATGCGGGTCCTAGTCCACCAGCGCAACCAGCACGCAGACGACAGGAAGTTGATCCACCATGTTACGGCATGGATGCTCTGCTGCTCAACAGTGACTGCGCCATGACAGCGTGTACATCTATGCATCTGTCCTGGCATAGCTCCATACACTGTCGCAGGGATACAGATATAATCACCGTATTATGTGCCAGTGAAGAAAGAGTCACCTTCATTGCACCTTGAGCGCTTACTCTCCCTGACTGATATACGTTCGTAACCGAAGACAAAGCGGGCATACATGCGAGTATGACCGTGCCATCTGCCGCTGCTACCTCTTTTTCCACAGGGTCCAAACGGATCTCATCCCCACGTACACCCTATTGGGTCAGTGAGAGTGAAGTGACTATCTCGATCGTCAAACTCACGGCAGAGCATGATGCTACGAGACCCAGCATTTCGATGCCTGCATCAGCCAAAGCAGTGCTTGCCGCGATCGACCCCGAAGCTATGCAGCCCTCAATCCCGTCATTTTCTATGACGACGATGAAGACGTCGATCGTAGATTTTGGAAATAGTTCTAGACATATGGACGAAACAATCGATTGATGGATCGCAATGGCAACAGCCCTGTCTTCTGCGTCCTTGACAGACCAATCAACCAGCTAGTATGGAAGTCAACTGAAACGCGTACTCGAAGCGGGGCCCTCCTTCGTACACAGGAAAAGGGCGCAAACTTGACTTCCACGTTCAGACGACCCCTTTCACTGTACGTTGTCGTTTTTGACTGCCGTGGTCCATACCTAGAACGAAGCCAAAGTCAGACTTGTGGAGGTTTTGTGGGGTACGATACACGAACACAGCACATGCGAGCTTTGTATTTTCTGTTTCGATGTATGCGGAGCCATTTGCTTGACTTACCAGTCCTGGCTGCAAAACTGAATCGAGGACATCAATCGTCAGTGGGGTGTGATCAGCATAACGATGGTCTTACAGATAGGTCGTATGTCCTCCGCCCCTCGACAGCGCTTCGCCGTCCACCCACGCCCACCGTCGTCCTCGTCGTCGAACATAGGCGGAAACGATTCCTCTGGTCCATTCACGCGTCTCCGGTCGAATGTGCTCTGTGCCATCGAGTTGAAAGGGACTAGCTTGCTTACGTAAGCCACCATCCTGATGAAGTTCTCCCTCACCCTCGCCAACAAGAGCGTCGCGACGAGGCCAGCGGGGACAGCCCCTCCCCTCAAGCCTTTTATATCCCTCGACGACGATGCGCCCACTGATTCCGCTCCAAATGCAGCAAATAACAAGAACGCTGCTGCGAACAAGAAGTTACTGGTGGAGTCCTCCAAGGTAGCCCAGAAGCGCATGGAGAAAGAGCTACAGCTGGACCCCACAACCTACCAATACGACGAAATTTGGGATAGAATACAGGAGGTCAAACAAAAACAGAAGGAAGTTAAGGAAGCAGATGCCAAACTTCGTCGAGTGAGCGTATCCCCTCGCCTTCGATGCTCACTGGCATTCATCACATATCGTGCTTAGCCCAAATATATCGAGGGATTGCTAACTTCCGCTGCGACTCGCAGACTGGATCGCCTGAGAGCCGAAGAAAAGATGCTGCAGCATGAACGGCAGATGGAGGGAGATGAATTTGCGGACAAGGAATCATTCGTCACACAGGCTTACAAGGATCAAATGGCAGAGGTCCGGAAAGCTGAGGAAGAAGAAAGACAACGAGAAGGTGCTGTCTTTAGATCTCTCTGACACCCTACTTTGACTAAATCCAACCTTAGAGGCCGAGAAGAAGAAAAAGAAGGGGCCAACGACTGGCATGGCTCACTTCTATCGCAAGCTACTCGAAGAGTCTGAGCAACAGCATGAAGAGGCTGTTGAAGCTGCGTCTGCACCGAAACGTATCATTGGTCCTCAAGGTCCTAACCTGACGATCACCAAACCACCTGACATGGCTCCCAGGTCAGACCTTGAATTGGCACGAATAGCTCAAGAACAGGGAAAGGACGTGGAGCTCAATGACGACAACATAATTGTTGACAAGCGAGAATTGCTCTCGGCTGGTCTCAACCTCGCTGCACCGAACACGCGACGCCTAGGGCTACAGCAGTCTCAGCGGAAGGTGGTACAAGATGAAACTGCACCATCTGTGCACAGGGGTGTTGGTACAGCTGCGAGCAGAAGAGAGGTCAATGAGCGACGGGCACGGGAGGTTCTTCGACAGATGGAAGAGGAGCGGGAGCGGTTATTGAAGGAGAAAACCAAGGCGGAAGAGGAAGCCACGCAGAGGGTGACACAGAAGAGGAATACAGAGGACGATGTCCAGGATGCGAGGTCGCGGTACCTGGAGAGGAAACGGCGAAGATTGGAGGAGGAGCAGGTCGCGCAGGGTCATACCTAGTAATGTTAGTATGTCCGGTGTATTACGTCAGTAATACTATTCCTTTTCGTCCAAGATTGACTCGGTGGTGGATGTGGCGAGTCAGACTTGCCATATCACTTGCCCATCTCAACATCGGTGCACGCCTCGCCCATACTGCGGCCATGGCCAGCGTAAACAGGACTGCCCATCCATTTGACAAGAGCCGCTTAGAAGCTCTCCTCAATCGCCGATTTTTCTACGCCCCTGCATTCGAAATCTACGGAGGTGTGTTCCCATCTCCCTTTCCTTTGCCCAACTAACCAACAACAATTCCAGGCGTAGCTGGGTTATATGATTACGGTCCCCCTGGGTCCTCCCTTCAAGCCAACATCATCGCTGAATGGCGTCGACATTTCATCGTAGAAGATCACATGCTTGAGCTCGACACGACGATTATGACGCCCGCGCCGGTTTTCGAGACTTCCGGTCACGTTGCGCGCTTTGCTGATTGGATGGTGAAGGACGAAAAAACTGGAGATGTCCTTCGCGCCGATCATCTCGTAAAAAACGTTCTCCAAGCGAGACTCGCAGGAGACCTGGAGGCGAGGGGCTTTGCAGGCAGATAAGGTCATGGAAGACGAGAAGAAAAAGAAGAAGAAGATCAAGACAACTGCCGTGCAGTTGCCTGATGAAGTCGTGAAGGAGTACAAGAGCATCCTCGCTCAGGTGCGTTCTCGTCATCACTGTGATGACTTGTCATGTTTGACGCGTTCACTATGTCGTGGGGTATTTAGTTAGACAACTATTCTGGACCGGAGCTAGGTCAGTTGTGCAGGAGTCACGATATCCGCAATCCGGACACCGGAAACCAGGTCGGAGAACCCCAACAGTTTAATCTTATGTTCGCGAGTAGCATCGGTCCCACCGGTCAACACCCTGGGTAAGGTCTTGCGACTTCCTCCTTTCACTTCGTCGTTAACGGCTCTGCCTCAGCTTCCTCCGCCCGGAAACTGCACAGGGCCACTTCCTCAACTTTTCGCGCTTGCTTGAGTTCAACAATGGCCGGATTCCTTTTGCATCCGCCCAGATTGGGAAATCATTCAGGAATGAAATCTCTCCGCGTGCCGGTCTCCTTCGCGTGCGCGAATTCACTATGGGCGAGATCGAGCATTACGTCGATCCTGAAAACAAAAGCCATGCTCGATTCGCTGAAGTCCGCCACATCGTACTCCCTCTTCTCAACCGCTTCGTACAAGAGTCCGGGTCCACGCAAGTAACCAAAATGTCCATCGGTGCAGCAGTCGACAGGGGCATCGTGGCTAACGAAACTCTAGGCTACTTCCTTGCCCGTATCCACCTCTTCCTGCTCAAGATTGGAGTAGATCCACGGAGACTGAGATTCAGGCAACACATGGCGAACGAAATGGCGCACTATGCAACGGATTGCTGGGATGCCGAAATCCAGAATTCATCCGGCTGGACGGAGTGTGTCGGCTGTGCCGACCGTGCTGCTTACGATCTTTCAGTCCACTCGGCACGCACTGGGCATCCACTAGTCGTCCGCCAGGCCCTCAAAGAGCCAATAGTCACTGAACGAGAGGTACCCGAGTTCAACAAAAAGGTTCTTGGAAAGACGCTGGGTCGGGATGCTGGCCTGGTGCAGCGTGTTGTTGGGGAGATGAGTCAAGAAGAACTCGTCAGGTTAAAAGGAGAGTTATCCCAAGGGTAAGTACCACCGGTGAACCGCATTTCTCGTAATTTGATATGCCATTCTTTTTCGTCCGTGGACAGGTCCGCGACAATATCTGCAGACGAGAAACAAATCGCTCTCACGCCTGAGCTACTTACCATAGAACGAAAGACATTCAAGCAATCTAGTGAGTTTTATCTCGTCTTTCTCCCGACAGATCTCAACGAACTGTTCAAGTCCGTGAATTCGTTCCAAATGTGATCGAACCCTCGTTCGGTTTTGGGCGGATTTTATATTCGCTGCTGGAACATTCTTTTTGGTGCAGGGAGCAGGATGTCGAGCGTAGTGTGAGTGCTCACACTTTGTTCTCTCCGCGATGTACAACGTATATGCAGGTCCTCTCGCTGCCCCCGCTCGTTGCGCCAACAAAAGTCCTCATAGTACCTCTGAGTGCAAAAGAAGAATTTGACCCGCTTATCGAGGAAGTCTGTGCGTACTTTTTTAACTTCGATTTCGAACTTGCGTTCACAATGTAATTAGCTATGAAACTCCGCAGATGTGGTATATTCTCCCGCGTCGACGATTCGAATACGTCGATCGGCAAACGGTATGCTCGTAATGATGAGCTTGGCACGCCGTATGGTGTCACGCTCGATTTTGCTTGTGCGTGGCCTTCACTAAATGAACGCACACCTATCTAATAGTAATACATTTAGCGCTTCAAAATCGGACGATGACACTCCGGTAAGTCATACATGGATTTTCTCCGTTACAAAGAACGGGACGCACAGTGCTAACACTCTACTCCTGTACGATGGCAGTGAACGCGACACTACCGACCAACTCATAGGTTCTATCGATGACGTCATTTCCGTAATAATGGGATTGGTCCATGGAGCGCTCACTTGGGAAGATGCATGCACGCGCCTTAAGGCATACGGCGGTGTGCAAGCTATCGAGTAGACTCATGTATATGGTCTCCGGTCTGAGGTGCATCTATTTCAGTCTGTAACGTAGGTCATTGTCTACTGAGTACAGGTAAAGCTCGGAACATCGTAGACTCGTAGATACCAGAAACGTAAGAGTTGGACAGCATTGCAAGTGAAGTGTGCATCTGGAAAAGTCGATAATTTCTGTGACTTCAGCCGTGATTAAGCCACTTTGCGCTGGATCACCTAGGTTTTTGGACGGGCACAAACAAACCTGCGAAGAGGGGCTGCAACCCGCTTTAAACGGATTAAACGTCATGGAGGCACTAGAGGTAACCAAGAAGCAGACAGACTGTGGAGCTGAGGGAGTGAATGAACGATCTCTAGGTTCATTAACGCACTGGGTCGTTAACCTTACTCACAAAGGACCAAGATTAACCTGGACAAAACGATACCTTGTTTTGTGGCGGCTTTGTGTTGTATGATGTAATGCCATATGACGAAAGAATCTCCGTCCGAGTTCATTGATCATCGATCATCTCCAGATAGGACTAATAGTTCAAAGTCACTCGAAAGAATCAACCTGCGGAAGAAATCATCTTGCTCCTGTTTTCATCTTGGCAGTGCTTCTTCGGGTAGGTGACAGCTGGCATGAATATAATTGGACACTGTTGCGCTGACAGAATGCACTACACACTCCAAAGTCTGGAGTGTGTAATGCTTTATATACAGCGGGGAAGGATTCTATGGTGATCTGGTTTCCCCCTTGTCTATTCATGCACAATTTCGACTGTATTTCGCCACGGCAGTCCAGTGAAAGTTGGTAGTGGTGGTACTCATAGTAGTCCGGCGGAACAGTTCTCCGGATGAAGCAAGACACATCTCAGTATTTCAAAGACTCGTGAAAGTACGGACGATTTCCATCTTTGTTACAAACAATCCATCGGAGACATACATTTACAAACCACCATTGCGGTGATCTACTCCGAAGTATTCAAGGGCAAAAAGTGACCGTATATACTGCATTCTTGCTTGCAGGGCATGTAAACAAAGCAGTGCTATCATCAAAGGCATAACAATATGCATTTGGACAATTCGACTCTACATAGAAGTCAGTTCACCACCAGAGAATGTAAAAACAACTAATCACTTACTGAAATAACTGTAATAGGCCACACCAGAAGAGGGACAGGTTTGTGGGGTGTCGTACTCCCCCGTACAACAGTTGGGCGAGTTGGCTGCATCATGGAGTTGATTGGCTCAGGTGGAACGGTAAACGGAAGCGCTCTAGCATTACTTACACGGGTTTCCATCAAGGTTTGCCTTGCAAGCGCTTTTACAGCCAACAGGGAAACCTGTAGAATCGAACGGACCTTTGAGAGGTGCAGGGCCTACAGTAAATTATTTTTAGCCCTGCATTTACAAAAAAGCATTAACGCGTTTACGAACAGTTCGGTCCGAGATCAACCGGGCAGTTTGCGACTGGACAACCAACGTTGTTGGTAATGCTCATTGGCAGATTATAGCCATCCACAAGGGACACTGAAACAAGGAATGGCAACGATGGTTGTTCACTGGATCGTGTGCATGAGACGACGAAATACAGACCGTCATAGTAGTCTAAGCCGCCACTCTGGTTAAGGCTAAATTCCGCGAGAGTAGCAGGTGGTACGCCCTAACGAGGTGATGTAAGGAAGGGTCATCATAGAAGGGATATGCAGTGATGGCTCCTCACGGTACCGGTATTTGGGTCACATTCCAAGCCGCCGTTGCACCCACCGTCGAGGCACGAGCTAGGGCCCGGGTTAGTGCTAAAGTTGCAGTCACGACGCCCCTGGAGGTAGATCAGGCTGCAGTCTCTAATGGGTGCGATATTGTGCACGAACCCAAATCCTGCCCGCTTGCCAGTTGTCAGGGACCTGCAAAAGGTGGGTCAAGAAATGAAGGAAAGCGGCGATAAACCTGTATTCACAGAAAAGGTCACAAATGTATAAGGGGGAGCTTCCCATCTAGCAAAACATGGATCAGACATCAGTAGAAGTCGGTAAAAGAGTATTACGGACCCTGTCGAATAGGATGGACGTGTTCCAGTCCCTGTGAACATCTATCTCGATTAATCAGTAGGGACAAGCACATGGTATAATGCCAAGGTACCGCAGGCCTGTGTACGAGTTGTCAACAGTGGCCGTGAAGGGTCGGAGGAGTAACTCACCACATAGTGAAGGGGCAGTGATTGTACACTGTCATAGTACGCGCAAGTGCGCCAGGTACGAGAGTGAGTAAGGCTGCCAAAATCAAGGTTGACATATTTGAATGTATGAGAAGCGAGGGGTCGAATTGATATTGAATCCTGGAAGGCGCCCCTACACTATTCTTCTTATACACGGTCCGGGGGAATCGTGGTGCGCCATTTCCGACAAAGTATACTTCTGATGAGGAGCTAGTACTCCGTGTCCTCGCGATGCTTGTCACCCGGGCGATGGAGCGTGTAATAATAGCAACGGATTGCACACGTCAAGGGGGGGCTTCATAGGGCAATGTAATTCCAGTGTTCAGTCAGCAATACAGATACTTAGAAATGTTGACAGACGTACCGCGTGGTTTCTGCAGGTAGGGGACAAGACAACCTACCGATGGGAACGCCGCGGACCGCCCCCCCCCCACAACGGCATGGAGAAGAAAAAGGAAGAGTCCTGGTAGGATATCCCTGCAATAGCCATTAAATGCCTGTGTACGGGTAGCTCCTGGTAGCCCCGTAACGAGATACGTTCCAAAACTCGGGATTCCGTCGACTTGGGCATCGCCGGAGTTAGAATGCTGAAGATGGCTTCAGTCTACTTCAGTGCACCAGGAACTATGAATGCATATAAAGTAAATACAATACCTGGAAGACGGAAAAATAATTACTATCGAGAACTTTAAGGTTGGTGGGAGATGCGGAGTCATTGCCGTGTCGTTGGTGGCACGTTTGGTGTCAATGAACATAGTGGGTGATGAATCAGTGACGGTGAGAGTAAAGCGCTTAGCAGTACCCCTCGAATAACAGAACCCACTCTGGTTTCGTGATTTAGGGGGTACTGTAGGCGCGAGAGTGCTTAGTAGTGATTGGTATCATGGAGTGAGGGTGCACCGACGTGGTGGTTGTGCTTAGATGAGTTTCACTCATATATCTCGTGGCCAGAGCAGCTAGCGTCTTAATTCCTTCAGGTTTGGCCTCTACGGATTCGACTGCAGGACACCATTCACCGCTCCGTCCTCATGCTCAAAAATTACACCCTCCCGGATCGTGTGATCGCGTTCGCTCGCGAAAGAACACCTTTCTCAAGCTGAAGTTCAAACCGGTAGGGACGTTATTTGGTGCCAGAGGGCAGAGAAGTGTTACCGCAATAATAACTGGTATTCTTCACTATGCTCATATTTGCACGTCTTGACACAGGCCGGTCACTTCCCAAGTGACAACAACTTCCCTGCGCGCTGTATCAACTGCCTTGTGGTGCGGACGCACAGGTTTTGCTTGGATATGCGCCATGGATACCTCAGTGGTGACGGTGGCGGCAGCCCAACGATGACATAGCCAGCCACAATGACAGACGATTATGGCGCCAGCGGTACGATGACAATGCTGTTTCTGCTACAGTGGCTACTAATGAAGACGGCTACCTGTGCGGATGGACACGCGATGACAACTACCCTACCGTTGCAGTGACTGATGGTGACAATGTAGGCGGCCAGTTCTGCTGCAGTGACCGATGGCGGGCTGCAATGAATGCCACGACAACCACTTGATAGATGACCAGGTGATGTGGGCAACCAAGTGCAACCACAATCACGAACAGAGAAAACGACCACCTGGTCCAAACCTGGATGGCCAATATTGCCTAACAGCAACCGCATCTTTCTAACTGTCATCATTTAATGTGAACGACTTCATAGTTCATTTTGTGATTGGATTCATGGCCGAGTTTATGTTGGTGAATAGCCGTGTATCCGGCAACAACAAATCTTCATAATCTGATCATCTGGCATAGTTAGTGTCAACAGAGACAGGGGCGCCAGAGTCAGTTAGAAAAACCAACTCATTGAGAGAGTAATTTATGATGGTGAATAGTACGTCCCAACAACAGGCAAGGTTGATACCCGGCTGGAACCATCACATCGCTGGCTGGCGTTCCACAGCATGGCCACCGAGGCCATCGTTATCGTTGCACCACTGTCGCCATAATCGCCTGTCGTAGTGGCAATCTTAGTAAATGTTATCGTCGCACGGCTACCACAGACACCACTGCGGTGTCTAGCAGATATGAGTGCTTACCCGCATCTCATCGTTGTCCCAGTCCACGCCATGTTGTAATCGTCGCTGTGAGTTGACCGGTCTTCCTTTCGCTTGGGCAGTTCGTCAACCGCTAAGGACACACTTCCATACAGCTCCATCTCCATGTCTTTCAATTGTCTCGTAAAGATGGGCTCGGCGGGATTTTTGGCCGGACATGAATGATGTGTCCGAGTGCATCTTTCAACGTTATCCCCTTCCGCTTCTTCAAGTATATTGCGACGACCGTAGGCGATCTCGATATGCTTGCGACGCAGTGCACTAGGATCCTTCTGTTGTCCCTATTCGGCGCTACGGTTCCATCGATAACATTGCAAGCCGTGCCCGCGATGTTGCAAAGGGAGGACGAGCCGTTGTCATTGATAGGGAGACTCCGGTAAGCTACACCGTCCACCTGCGTGAAAAGACGAGCGCCAACACTTAAAACGTGAGTGATGGCGTTCTTTGTGAGAAATGACTCTGATGACGCTGCAAAGCATGGCCCTAGGAACAAAAATGGGGGTAGTACGAGACAGGCTGAGCGCTGTGAGACCTGAGACGAGACTTGATGCTTCCCGTGCATTCAAACGACAGTGAGTTTTCCAAGCAAAAGCGAGGGGTCTCAAACTGTTTTTAAGGGGCTTACGACTCACTTGACTCAAGTACGTAGACATGAACAAAATGTACGCCACCAAACCTACGGATATATGACAGGAGAACCAAGTTGCCACTGAGGTATTGTGCTTACAGCTTTCGCCGCTTCCCGACACTGCTGTCCCGTGCAAGATTGGTTTTCCTTTTGACACGTTCTGCTAGGTTGTGGAGGCTCCGTCCATCGTTCGTGTCAAGGTTCTTGGCCGATACATCGCCTTTCTCGAGGTAATCATCCCTGCGGCGTTTCGAGCGTTCTTCTAGAAGAGCTAACATACCCTTAGTCTTTTTAAATCTGAATTGAAAACATACTGTTAGTAACGCCCTCCAAGATATGCAAGGATGGAAATTGCTTACTGTGGATTACTAGGATCAATTGCGAATTGATGATCTTCGTGCAGCGCCTTGAACCGGTCGTCTTTCACATCGATTAAGAAGTCCGCTTCGGCTTCCGAGCCATCATCATGTATATTGTCGTCACTACGCTTCTTTTTCTTCGTCCTCGGTTTCACAACCTCGGTGTGAGGATCGACTTTGGCTGTATCTTCAGAGGCAGCCGCCTTGCGCACTTCCTTCCTCCGCCGGCGTTTCTCTCGCACCTTCTGTTCGTACCTTTCCAGCGTAGTTTGGTCTTTACAATCCTTCGCCGTGCTTAATCCAGGTGCAAACGTGATTTCCATGTCTACGTCACTCCCTGCTTCCCCAACTTTCTCTGCTTCCTGGGCGTCCTCCCAACCCTCCGGTACGCCGTCGTGGCTTCCCCCAAGTAGCAGTGCACGTAATCGCTCCCTTTCGCCCTTCCTTGGTATCTTGCTATTACTATCCTCACAATTATCCTCTGACTCCGAGGATGATGCAATGTAAGCTTTGAAATCTACGGCATCAATGTCCTTCCTGGTCAAAGCGCACCGAGTTAGACGAGACCGTTCAGGATCTTCCTCGTCCCACGTAAGTTTGACCTTAGAGTGGCGGAGTGCCTAGGAAAGTCAGTCATACGATAGATAATAAGCCGAAAGAGGAAATGTACATCGGTTGCAAACTCGATGGCGCGATATGGTACATTGGGAAGCTCGGTGGCCTCATCCCTATGGATGTCCGTGATGACTATGGCTACGCAGCAGCATGAAGAGAGGATGTACCTAGGGTCCTCTTCGAAGGTCATGTCATCGGGTACAAAACTGAGATCGAAAACATTCGCGGAACGCTCAAGTTCGGTGCCGTCCAGTTCATTAAATATATGGGTAGCAGTTTCCGCGGAATCGCATTCAACTATGGCATAATAATAACTGGCTTGCAGCCGTTTGAGACCACGTAGTCACCAGCAGCTCAAATAAACAAGGTGACATACCGCAGTCGTTCCAGCTGATACACACGCAATGCGTCCTCGTCATAATCCTCCCCGGACCCTGGCTCGTAGACCGTTCTCTCGCTAACTTCGTCTTCGTCTTCGTGTAGCTTTTTAAATACTTCTTTGGGAGGCCCTTCTTGCTCTTCTTTTTCTATGCGTTTCTTGCCGAATTCGCTGGGATATACACGCACACTGAGAATACTTCCGCGAGCAATGTTCACCGTCGATGACTGAGACGAGGGTGGGGCAGTGGAAGAGACCAGCGACGAAAAAATCTTGAAGAGGTGTACTGCACGGATGTGATCCCAGTCCATGTTAACAACAGCTAGCCTGCGCGTCTTCTGGACTTCTTCCTGAGCTTCTCCTCTGTCTGTTTCTGAATGAAATGGTTCGACCTCTTCCTCGTTGACCTCGCTTTCATGAACATCGACAGACACATGGTCGCGCTCTTCTCCCTCCTCGTCGGATGATTCCATAAGTATGATTCCGCGAGCATAGTCAGCTATCGACACGGTCGGCCCTTCTGTGGCCTTTGCTTCCTCCTCATGCGTTCGGGAATTGACTTGGAAACGTTTGTCTTGCACAATCTGAGATTTACGTTTCTTCGGTCGGCGGAAACGTGGATCGTGTCTCAGATGCAAAAAACGAGGATCAGAAGACATGACTGATGGATGAAGTGGACTAAGTTTTTTGGAAGAGTCAGTCTAAGAATTGGAAGTGGCTGTGCAGCTTCACTGCTACTAAAGCACTGATGGAGGTCGCACATTAAGAGCTACCTAAACCTCACGATAATCATGCAGTGATTCTGTTGCCAGTGCCTACGATGTACATACAGTTGGTCGGTTAGAAACAACACCTTCAAGCGATACCAAAACGTTCGCAGATGCTCATGTAATTCACCAGCCACCTTTCGAAGATTTGTCATCAACGTTTCTGTCATAGATAATGAGCTGGTGAACACCGGCTGCAGTGACAGACCACAAAGTACTGGACTCTTACCTTCTACTGTTCTGGACTCGCAAAAACAACCAGTCCACGGCTTCACGTATGCCTTGTCTGCATGGCTCGAAATTAAGACCCTGGGTAGAAGGTACATGACGGAGCACATCCCAACTCACCCATCGAGTGCCGATATACCCATGACGTCTAAGCTAGCGATACGTTGACGCCTCCGTTCCAGCTCTGCTTCTTCGTCCTCCCCAAATCGCCTCCTTGCGTATTCTCGTCTGTGTCGATCCCAAGTTTCGTAGTCGTGTCTGATCTCTGTGGCCGATAAACTGTGGGGTGAATCTTGCTTGTTTGCAAGTAGGAGAAGCGGGACATTGAGGATTTGAGGAGCAGATAGAACTGAATCTAGTTCGGAAATGTATACCATCGTGAACGCACTGAAAATATAGAAATAAGCTGACCGAAGACTTCCCACCCCTCGCCCAGTCGCTCACGGTCCTGAGCATCGATCACGAAGACGACAGCATGGCAATCATCGTAATAACGATGCCATATCGAACGCATTGCTGCGTTGACCACCGAGGTCGAAGAAGTTGAGGATTGTAGATGGCAGAGAAACCTTTCCAACTGATAGACGGTGGGACATGGATATCATTTGCCAGCTCCACTGAAAGGTTGCAACACACTATTTTGCCCGACGGTAGGTCCAATCTGAGAGGGTTCAAGTCCTGGAGTGTCATTGTACAGAGTCTTGATTTTTTCCAAAAATGTCTGCGAAGCATGAAATTCAGTCCTACCAAACACTTGAGAGGTTGTGGTACAATGCCGTCTTCCCAGCACCATCAAGGCCAATGATAATTATTGAAAAATTCCTCCTTTCTGTGTAACTCAGCAGCCTGTGAACTGAACACCTGGCGTCTTTACCTTGTAAGATATTCGTGTAAGCCCTTGAGGAGATGGTACATGTCGGTGCAGTGAGATCACGTGCCCTCTGTCGCGACCCGCCACCACGTGGCCGCAGGTCGCCCTTGGCTGACTGAGCAACTGCTGTACAGTTTTGCGGCATTTGCCAGGCAGAACGCTGTGGTGTGAGTGATTACACGACTTTCCGAAACTTCGTACGCTTCACTCATCTCTGTCAAAATGGGTCGTCGTCCCGCTCGCTGCTACCGCTATTGCAAGAACAAGCCATATCCCAAATCCCGCTACAACCGCGGTGTCCCAGACTCGAAGGCAGGTCTTTTTTTTGTTCACAATTAGCTGAGACATCCCTGACTGCCATGTCTTTTCCCCTTTCCCTGTATCCGTCCTATCCGGCAGATTCGTATTTTCGATCTCGGCCGGAAGCGTGCCTCCGTAGACGAGTTTCCTTTCTGCTGCCACCTAGTCTCGGATGAGTACGAGCAGCTTTCATCCGAAGCTCTGGAGGCTGCCCGGATCTGCGCCAACAAGTATGTCACAAAGACCTCTGGCAAGGACTCGTTCCACCTCCGTGTCCGTGTGCACCCCTTCCATGTCCTCCGTATCAACAAGATGTTGTCATGTGCTGGAGCCGATAGGTTCGTCACTTCACTTGATTTGCCTCGCATTCTCCCATCTATGGGTGGGCGCCCATATGTTGGATTGGTAATCGAACCATACGTGATTGGTAATGACCTTCATTCCAGGTTGCAAACTGGCATGCGTGGTGCTTGGGGAAAGCCTTACGGCACTGTCGCACGTGTGAATATCGGACAGATCATCCTGTCTATCCGGTGCAAAGATTCCAATGCACACGTCATCCAAGAAGCTCTCCGTCGTGCACGTTACAAGTTCCCTGGTCGTCAGAAGATCATTGTCTCGAAGAAGTGGGGATTTACAAATGTGGCTCGTGAGGAGTATATGAGACTCAAGGAAGAGAAGAGGGTGTTGCAGTAAGTATCCTTTTTCACTACTTATACCTCGGACGCTGATGTACGACCGAAGGGATGGTGCTTATGTACAATTCATCCGCCCGAGGGGACCTTTGGAAGCGAACCTCCGAGCACAACTCAAGGCGTGAGATACTGATACATTTATTGGGTTTATCAGATGTATCTGCTTCGATGTATTATGCCATTGCCCAATAATGCCTATCATAAAAGTCACCGTGTACGGCTTGAAGTCCACATTCAGACAGGCTGATGCTTCTTGCGAAGGTATGTATTTAATTTAGAAAAGTTCAGTCGCAGTTTTGCCGCTGTTTCAGGCCGCGTCCAATCACTGCGCGCGCGTGGGGCGTGCACGTGATCCCGCTCCCCCTATTCCGATCTCCTACATAGTCTCCTCGGCAAGGCTCCGTCTCTCTCCACTGTACGATAAACATGCGTCAGTAGTCTCGGAAGCTTCCTCCATTCACGCTCACTCTAACAACAGGTCTCATTATTCGCGACGACCCTGCGGCGGTTGGCGACTACATCGCCAACTACATCGCCAAGCGGTTTGTAGCAACCCCTCTTATCGGGGCTGGCGCTCATCGTTGAACCTTTTTTCAGAATAAACGACTTTGCTCCGACAGCAGAGAAACCGTTCGTACTTTGGCCTCCCAACAGGCTCATCTCCCATACCCACTTACCAGAGGCTTATCAAGCTATACAAAGAGGGCAAGGTGTCGTGCGTAGCTATTCACTTCTCACACTCGTTCCAGTGGATTACGTGTACATCACAGCTTTAAGCATGTTGTTACATTCAACATGGATGAATATGTTGGTTTGCCTAGCGAACATCCTGAATCCTATCACACCTTTATGTTCAGAGAATTTTTCTCCCATAGTACGTCTGGGACCTGCTCTATCAATGCCAGACCTTGACTCTCGTCGAATAGTCGACATTCCTCCATCACAGGTTAACATCCTCGACGGCAACGCACCTGACCTGATCGGAGAGTGCAATGCGTACGAGTCGCGCATAAAACAATATGGGGGTATCGAACTTTTCCTGGCAGGTATTGGGGAAGATGGGCACATCGCCTTCAATGAACCAGGTACTTCTCATTCTGTCTTGACCTCTTTGTTTTATTGATTTTTTACATGTCTGTGGATTCATCGTAGGCTCCTCTCTCGCCTCTCGTACGCGTATCAAGACCCTCGCCTATGATACTATCCTCGCAAATGCTCGCTTTTTCAATGGTGACGTCTCCGCCGTGCCTCGTATGGCTCTCACTGTCGGTGTCGCCACCGTTCTTGAGGCTCGCGAGGTCGTAGTTGTTGTCACTGGCCTCCGCAAGTCACTAAGCGCTCAGTCACGCTATTGAAGGCGGAGTGAACCATTTGGTGAGTGGAATATTCTGGAAAAATTGAGGATACACTTGTGCATTTGTTGATGACTTGCTACACTAGTGGACACTTTCTGCGCTCCAACTACACCCCTGGGCACTGATCGTCGTTGATGAAGATGCCACTGCAGGTATGCTACCCCTTTTCTTTCCCCTTACGCCCACTGGGACAGGTTGCCTACCTGCTCCCGTCAGCCGTTTGACCAATTTCTTGGCGTGCTGACATCGGCAAAATGTACAGAGCTCCATGTCAAAACTGTGAAATACTTCAAATCAATTGAGCGTGTACAGGAAGAAGTCGAACGAACTCAGCGCGCACTGGCTGAGCATGCTGCTAGTGGTGAGCTTCGCATTGGTGAAGCTGTTGCTGTTGGACTTGGTGGAGAGGCAGCAGCAGCAGGTTTGGCAGGTGGTATGGAGTGATGACCCATCTATTGATCACTTAGAGGCTCTTAAGGTAATCATGGTGTGAACATTGTAGTTGGTGATAACAGAAGATGAGTATGTGTCATATATGTACCAAATGCCACCTTGGTGCTCCTGGTCCTTGTCAAGACTTGTTCTCCTTGGTCTTACTCAGGGGTCAAAGGGTTGTAAGGGGGGACAACTGATGTATAGTGAAGGCTGTGAGAGTTGGCTGGCATATAGGGTCACTACTGAAGGGTGGCTGATGCAGGCTGATGAGATAGGGGCTGCACCAAGGCTGTCTGATGCAGGCCAATGGTTTAGGGGCTTGGCTGACCCAGAAGGCAGAGCCAACTAGGGAGGCACTGCTGAAGGCCAACAAAGGGGGACCTACAGTAGATGTTCTCATAATGCATAATGTTGGGACAGGTCATGCCTGGATGCATCATTAGAAATATGCAGGCATGGATATGTGTGACATGGTGTGACATCAAGTAACTATGTGACAGTGACTAGTCACATTCCACTACACTACTGCTAAACCATCTCCCCAATGTTGGCTGAGCAAGATGGCAGCTGAAAATCCTGAGAGTGAACACATTGAGTCCACTGGGGGAAACTTCTAAGAAGCAGCAGCATCTTCTGATTTTTTTTTCACTTGCATTGCTTGGGTAACCAGTGAACATGTCCCCCAAGTGTCAATCTAATAATGCATCATTGGGGGCATATCTTGATGCATTATGCAAAATGTGAACCCCCAGGCTGCCCAACTTGGGACCTGGCCAAATCTGATGCAACATTAGAAATATGCATGGTGAGATCATGCATTATGAGAACAGCTACTGTACTTGGGAGTTGATCTGCTGTCTTGCTGAATCAGCAAAACCCTTCTTTTGGACAGTCCCACAGTAACTACAGCAACATGAAGGCATATGACTGTTATGCTGTGCTCACATTTGTTCCCTTTTATAGGCTTTGCTTTGTATGCTATACTGTTGCTGTCCTTGATGCTTGACATGTTGTCCCCACCTGTACTCCTGTTGTGATTCAACTCATGCTCAGTATGTTTCCCATCTGGCTTTCTTTACTCACATGCTGTACTATAGCTGGACTTAATGCCCAGATGCCTTTCTTCCCATGATTGCTGGTGGACCTTGATCTGTGCTGCCACATGACCTTTCTGGATACCAGAAAGTCTATTTCACATACTCACACATGTTCATGTTCCCCTGTCCATCCCTCCTTTGGGTTTGTACCTGCAGTGAGGGTTTTTACCTGACTGCTTAGGTTTAGATTGTAGAAGGTTTATGACCAGTCACAGAGAGTGAAGAGATGAGCAAGTGGTGGCAGTTGTTATGCATAGTGAAGACCCTGCTGACTTCAGAGAAGTTTACCATGCAAGCAATGTCAACCACCAACCCTCAGGTATTGTATTTAATGGCACTACTTTTATTTACATAGCTTATACTCCAAACAGACAACAGTGATGATGAACATAGTGACAGTGACTGGTCCACTACTGTGAGGTACAACCTTAAATATCAGCACAGCAAGAGAAATTTGAGCTGGGAATTATGACCTCAACACTCATCCATCCCTCCTCCTGACTTTCCTTCTTCTGAAGATACTGACAGAATACTGCAGACACTGAAGATACTGGTGAACTTAGAAATGCAAAGGGAAATCTACTTGTATTCTGCCCAAGGTTGGTAGATGCTCTGAATCAACAAGGATGGGCTTGCTGCAGAGAATGGGCCCCTGACTTTAAGGCATGGTAGGCTCCCCATCAATGCCTTACAGAAGCAGGCACTCAGTGTGTGCACCACTCAAGAGCCCAAGCCATTGCAATGAATATGGAAAAACACTTGTGTTGATTGTGGCCACCACTGGGCTCACTACTAAGGCTACCTGGGCTGAATCAGTTTGGAACATACATTGGGCTTGGTATGCAAGTACCAACCCTAAATTGTCCAACAAGTGAGTACCTTTGTGTTTGTTTCCCTCCTCAAT